CATCATCRTCATCATCATCATCATCATCATCATCTGCCGACTCGACCTCTCTGTTTATTAGATAGATGAGGGATATAATACAATAAATATAATAATAATAATAATAATATAACATTGATCATTGACTGTTTCATTGGTATTGAGTCTAACTCCATATACTAGTACCAACTGTTGGCTTTATCTATCTCTTGTCCAATCTGAGAATTMWTCATAACAACAAACAATATATAACTTCACAATAAACATTATCAACCGACCAATCAATCAATCTCAACACATCACTTACATATACAGATATTAATAGATTGATAGATATATATATATATATATAGATAGTATAATGAACGCATATAACTTTGTTAATCATTTAGAGTTCATGTCGTTGCCATCGACTAGAACAAAGGTGTTGTATCTGTATAGAAGGATATTCAGAATGGCCAATCAATGGGAGAAGCCAACAGAGAAAGAGGATATAAGGTAGGTTGTATATAAGAGTTGAGTTGTATCATCATCAACATGATAGTAACATCGTAGTCATTCCTCATTGATCATATGATATTATAGGACAGAGGCTAGAATATCATTTAGAAGGAACAAGGATCTGAAAGATGTTACAGAAATCGATGAGAAGATTGAGGAGGCAAGATCAAGGATGTTGCTGGCCTTGCACTACAAGTAGGTGTCCAAAGTACTACTACTACTACACGTTACTGGAAGGACTGACTGACTGACTGATTGACTCTACTTCATAGGATACCATACCCAAAGAAGAGTTACGCACCAAAGTCACAAGGAGTGATGCCTGCCCACAATGACCCAAACAACGAAGCAAACATCAATTGAATATATATATATAGATAGTGATGAGCGATCGTTGCTTGATGCAACATAACCATCGATTCTTCCTCTCTTGTACAGGTACATTCTCTTCATAGACAGATCAGATCATTCAGGACATTAACTATTATATTATCATTGTGATGGTTTAACAATGATATTGATATAATACAGAAATAGATATAGATAAAGTATCTATGCTCTCTTATCTCTCTTGTACAAGCAAGGAGTTAGAGTGTGTGTTGGTCATTGCTTAAGCATTGAAATATCCAACAACACACATTAGCACATTTTCACTGACTTTATCTCGGCACAACAGCAACACTTTCGGGATGATGCACCATCGTCAGATGGGTCTGGTATTCAAGCTCCCACCACCACATCCACCAGCTATGTCGTTGTTGTTGTGAACTGTTGTTATTGTTGTAGTTGTTGTTATAACATTAATATATTTAGTACTACTACTACTTTAGTTTATTACTATCAATCATAGACACTAGTGACTTTTGGTTTACCAAAGTTAAACGATTTGAAACAACAAACAAAGAAGAGTCGGTTGGGGCTAAAGGTCCAACAACCCCCGCACACACCAACAACAAATCAATCATTTGCAAAGGTTCTGACGACATCGGACAACATATTATCACATTCATACAATCATTCAATCAATCATTCATTCATATTAAGACCAAACAGAGACAAAGACACAGACAATGATTGAAATTAGAGACAGCACACTTACAGATGAGGTCAATCATCTGAACCAGAAGGATATACAGGAAAGGGTAAGTTGTTGATTGGTTGGTTGTACATTGATTGATTGTCCTTGCTCTAACATATCCACCCCAACTATAACAACAACAGCAAGACAAAGTTTTGGCCACATCTGGATGGAGAGACTGCATGACCTTTCTATATGACCTCTCCACAAGCTATGGATACATCCAAGAGGAGAGGCTACTACTCAACATCATATTACCAAAGTACACCAAACACAACTATCAACCAATGCAATTCGAGGTCACAATCAACTGTTCAAAGCCAGAGATCATTGCTGTAAGTGGCAACCTAAGTGGACCCCACCTGGAATGATCCCAACTAACCCATCAATCTTACAGGGTGTAACACCACAGACATCAAACTACTTGAACTTTGAAGGACAATGTGTCATTTGCTTCGAGAATGTTGGATCGGCCAAGAGGAAGGGTCTGCGCGCATTTGAGTTTGAGTGCAATGGTAGACAGTTCTTCCGCCAGTTCCCACCATATCCTTACTTCAACTTCCACAACATAATTATTGACAAGCAGCACATACCACAAGTTCTCACACTGGACACGATAAAGGAGCTGCTCGAGATGTGTGAGCGCATGCCCGGCTACAAGGTGGCGTCCAACTCGGATCGCGAGGGCACAGGTGTCACCAACATGTCGCATCGTCACTACCAGGCAGGCGACCACCCCTACGCCGTGTTTGAGGCTCGCGTCAAGAAGACCTACGACCTGCTCGGATGCCAGGTGATGTGGCTGCACCACCCATGCTGCTGTCTCAAAGTGGTGGGCAGCGACCGCGCACAGATGGAGCTGGCCGTCAACTCGGTGTTCAAGGCCTGGCGCACGGGCGACTTCCCCGCACTGCAACAGCCACTCCAGACCTGCTCATTCATATGCACGCTCAATCCCGTGACGTCCAACTTTGAGTTCATCCTGTTTGCGCGCAATGCCCAACAGCCCAGGTTCCTGACCAGGGCCACGCTGCAGTGTATCAAGAAGGAGTTTGTCGGAATATTCGAGCTGTGTGGCTATGGTATCCTGCCCGGCCGTCTAAAGGAGCAGCTCAAGCAGATAGAGAAGGTGTTGGAGTCGCACGAGCAGCAGCCCAACTTCCAGCAGCAGTATGATGACTCGTTACTGCTGCCCACCGATCTTCAGATGTTCCACGATTGGATCAAGGAGTTCTACGTGCAAGTAAGGCGTGACAACCCGACCATGTCGACCAAGAACGTCCTGGAGGAGACTCTCCAAACGACGTTCATAGCCATCCTCAAGGACAACAGTCCTGTCGATGAGGATGACGAGGCAACCATTGATCTCTGGATGTCACAGTGTCATTGATTGATTGGAGTTATATAACTCTTAGCATTAACATTGTAATAAAATCACGTGATTGATCAACCACAACCATTCTATCACTAACACTTCATTCAATCAATGATCATCATCATAACCCCCCACAACCAGATCAGTCAGGTGATCAGTTTGTGTGTCTGATGAGGGAGCAGCATGTTGTGTGTTGAAATAAGGAAGGGTCGCACACGGGTTACTTCAGTCAACAAGGGATTTCATTGATTGGGGATGGATTGATGGGCCACGCGCCGTACCAAAGCTCGTTGGTGATCCCTACATATAGGCATCAGTCTAGCTCCCAACCACCATCATCACCCATCACCTCCTCACTCATTGTATTGAATCAATCTATTCTATCTACATCCATTGCAAAGATATACTATATTCCTTCCTATTATCTCAACATGGACTTGATACAACTAAATATAATACTACTACTAATACTCCTTGTTTATTCATTTGTAAGTAGATTGATTGATTGATTAATGCTGATGGTCCACATCATTGACACCCCTCCCACTCTACCACTCTACCACTCCCTTCGATCATTGATCAGTTTACAAAGAACAGGAGATTCTCAAAGGATGACCCTAAAGGACCATGGGCATTACCATTGTTGGGTAATCTACATCTACTTGGAGATAATCCACATAGGAGTTTGACGGCATTGATGAAGTATTATGGTGGCTTCTATCGTATATGGATGGGCGATCATTATACTATTGTGGTCAGTGATCCACAGTTGGTCAGAGAGGTATGGGTCAAACAGTTTGACAACTTTGTCAATCGTCCACATCCCGCTTCGTTCGAGATCTACTCGGGCAACTTCCAAGATTTGGCCTTTAGTGATGAAGAACTGTGGCGCAAGAGTCGTGCACTCGTCTCCAACTCATTCACCAAGACCAAGATGAAGATCATCTATGGACATCTTGACAATCAGATCGATCAGCTGATCGCAACCATGAAGAATCATCAAGGAGTCCAACATCCAGTAAGTCAATCACTCACTGGAACTATTCCAATCACGCAATTACACTCTCCCACTCACTCAATCGAACAATCAATCATTATAGTTCTACTGCAGACCATATTACAGCAAGTTCGCACTCAACATTATATTCAAGTTGTTGTTCTCTGAGCAGATTGAGTATGAGGAGAGCGTGAATGAGGGAAAGATGGCAAGATTGACTGGACCCATTGCCGTGGTGTTTAAGAAGTTGGGCTCTGGCAGTGTCGATGACTATGTCTCTTTGCTCTATCCATTCTTTTACTTTTCAAGACGGTCATTCAATGCTGAAGTGATGAAGATCAAGTCATTCATGCGCGAAGTTTATGATGATCATGTTGCCAACCTCGATCCAGAGAACCCCAAAGACCTCCTGGACCTAATGATCATCGAATCTGATGGCAACAACATTGACAACATCCTACATGTTGGAATGGACTTTATGCTCGCAGGATGTATGTTAGTCTCTCTCTTTTGGAATCATTCCAATCTCAATCACTAACTCATTCATACGTCATTCAGCCGACAGCACTGCAGGAACAATTGAATGGTTCTGTTTGTTCATGATTAACAATCCAGAGATACAAGAGAAGGCCTACAATGAGTTGGTCACTGTGATTGGAAAGGGATGTAGACCAGATGTTAAGCATCGCGCCAACACACCATATATCAATGCAGCCATCAAGGAAGTTATGAGGATGCGACCCATTGGTCCATTGGGCATTCCAAGACAGGCCAAGCAAGACTGTATGGTTGGCGGATACTTTGTTCCAAAGGGAACTCAGATGATCCAGAACATCTACGGTCTGGCCAACAATGATCAATATTGGAAGGACCCACTAGTGTTCCAGCCCGAGAGATTCCTGGACAACTCACATCCAGATCGTTGTATTGCCTTTGGCATTGGCAATCGAAATTGTGTTGGACAGAATCTGGCACAGGATGAGCTGTACATTGCCTGTACCAATATCCTGATGAACTTTAGGTTGAAGACTGTTGATGGGCGATCATGTGACGAGACAGAGAGTATGTATATTCAATCAATCATTCGATCATTCGATCAATCATACTCACTCATCATCCACAATCAATCACTACTATAGTCTTTGGATTGACGATCCATCCAAATCCCTTCCCAATGCACATTGAGGAGCGTGTCTAATATATAAATATAAATGAATAAACCAAGATTGATGATTGGATTACATATCATTGTTTGTTTGTCTTTGATTGATTGGGGTGTTGTTATGGAGGATCTCCTACTGGGTAATCCTACGCATAAACAACGGTTAAGCTATTCTCCGCAGAGGTAGGTAGGCAATAAATTGTGCATGTATTATTCGAAGTAAGAGATAAGTCTATGCATACATTGCGTATGATTGCGACATCTCTAGATCAGACTGTTTTAAGGTTTGATTGAGGTATTTTAAGGTAACTGATTTGAAATACTCTTCAACCTTATCATTATATATACTATCAATTATTAATCATATTGTGGGAATACTCTATTCATCCACCCATTCTGTCCATTCAACAATGTTCAACAGATAGATAGAGAACATTTCATCAACCAGTCATTCAATCAAAGAAAGAGATAATTATTTGCCAGTTGGAAGTTGAAATGAAGGGGGGAGTCTTTGGAAAGTTAAAGGAAAAGATTGGGTGCGGTCTCATCCAAGTTAATTAAAGGGATGGAAGTGTACACCTTCCAGTTCCATGTATCTTTGATCAAAATAGGTGGATGCATGACTGGTTCACATGGTCTTACAATTGCCTACAGAGCGAGTGCAATATCCTTCGAACAAGCCGAAGGTTGCCTGGAGGCAGTCGTAGTCTGGCAGCAGTGAGGTGCGGAGGATACTCGAGGGGAATGGAAGTGAAACAGATGATCATCCATGGAAGGATAGGGTATTCATAAATGAATGATTGATTTTGGAAAGCCGGTTGTTTATTTACGTGGAGGACAGACGGGCTGTTGAGGACCGACTGGCCTCCGTGATCGAGTGTCCAGTGTTGCAATGAGCGGAGAGGCACGGGACTACTGAGGGACGGACGCGACGCTACTATGTTGCTTAGACATTTGGAACGTTCTGGGTGTTGTATCCCTTCTTCTTTCCGAAACCGGTGACAACGTTGACGAAACGACGGTTGTACAACAATCTCTTCTTGGCACGACCAACCTTGGACTTGCGGGTCTCCTTCTTCTCCACGTTTGGAGTAGCGTTTCTGACCTTACCAGCTCTGTTCAAACCTCCGTGAACCTTACCTATATAATAATAGTATCAAAAGTATTGATTGATTATCATTATGATCATAGATTGATTATTATGATTGATTGAATGAATGAGGTATGTTAGTATATGTATAGATAGGATGTAGCATTCCTTGAACTCATTCCCAAAGACAACGACGACGATGATGATTGATTGATTGATTTCTGTTGAATGTAATGTTGTTGCTCGACTTTGATTGATCGCCCTTCTTCATGTGCATCATTTGTTGAACAATCCCTTTGTTATTGTTGTCGACCGATATGCTGAGCATTGATATTGTTGTTGTTAATGCTGTTGATCCAACACATTGATCAATGTCTATTATCAATTGTTAATCTGGTTGTGCCGCTGTCATTGTTGTCGTGTTGTCGTTGCGTTGTCGTAGTCGTTGTAGTTGTCGTCGTCGTCCATTGGGTAAGAGTCCAAGGTAGTAGCCTTGGCAGGCAGCACACAAGTCAAGTAGTGATAGACATACCCATTTTGTGTGATGTGTTATGTTCGTTCGAGAAAAAAAGGATGAGTCAACTGTGTCGCAGCCTTGTTTTGATCTCTTTCATTCGTTCAACTTGTGCGTCTCACAAACATTGAGAGAAATTGAAGAAAATTAAAACAAAAATAAATTTAAATGTGAAAGAAACCCACTTTGAGCGATTCACCCTCCTTTCATTTCAAAATGAATGCCCGGGCATACATTACTAACACTAACTTCTCATTTGTGGGATTAGCAATTCATTTCGGTGTTTGACTTCACTTCCCCGACATGCTGACGAGATTAAAGGTGTAGCGTGTCCAATCTAATATATTACAATAGCAATAGAAGTAGTAGTACAGCACAAACACATATATTATTATTATTATTATTTATTATACAGATACAGAGATAGAGATACAACAACAATAACAACAACAAAGATGTCAGATATTGGTTGGGAAAGAATGATGACTGCTGTGATTGCGTTCACGACAAACTTGTCTTGTATACCATTGGGCTACGAGTGTATTAGACGTGGACATGCTTATGAGGCCGTGATTGGAGCTGCTTGTGCAATCTCATCGATGATGTATCACGTTGGCGAGATATATGAGAAGACGGCCTGGTTCCAAATGTCAGGCCTCAACGCAGACAAGTGGCACAGACTGGACAACATCTTCACGATCCTGTCGTTCCAGGCGATGATGTTCTACCTGATGGAGTACAACCATCCGCAGATCGTCGACCTGCTGCGATGGGTGTTCTTGGTGTTCACATTGTACTGCCAGATGCGCGACCCCTGGAACCTGCTGTTCACCATCCTCCCAATCTTGCTGTCGGTGTTCCTGTTGGTCTGCACGCACATCTACAAGCGACGTGTTCCAGAATGGTTGAAGACGAGACATTTTATGTATGGCGTTGGCACGCTCTTGGTGGCGGCCTTCTTCTTTGCTCGTGGCTTGGACGATGAGAATGACTATCTACGCATCAATCATGGCATCTGGCATTTACTCGTTGGCTTTGCATTCTGGTTCATCTTCCAGTCGCGGTCCAAGCATCTCAAGAGCCATTTACATGTAAGTCGTCGGCATCGAGTCGGTGAATCATCACCATCCTACAAGGTTTGAGTGAGTGATTGAGTGATTGCAATGATTGAGCCCTTGCTGTCCACGTGTAACAAAGGGTATCAACTGACCCATCCATCCATCACCCTCTCTCCATCTCTCATCCAGAAGAGCTTCTAATGTAGCTCATCAATGGTCGCGAGACCCTGACGCAGCTGGACTCTGGACAACATATCTACGAGGACATGTTCATCCCTAGACGAGCGCAATGTACATGGAAAGATAACAATGACCATTATGTTTATATAAGACCATCATTAAAGAGAGGGTAGCGATGCCCTTCGTTCGATTATATATAGAGTTGAGAAGTTGGATGTTGGAAGTTGGAAGTTGGAAACTGCGTTGGATGTATGAATGTTAGGATGGTGGAGAGTGAGACTAGTTTACTCTCCAAGTGCACTTGGTATTGGTGGAGGCGTGGCGGATGGTATGTCATTGTTGGACTTCTTCTTTCGTTTGTTTCCGGTTGGCAATGGCCAGTCCTCACGATTGGGCAGCACCATCATGTCGAACAACTCCGACTTTAGCTTGTTGACGATCATCTTGGCGATCTTTGGCATGTTTAGGTAGCTGAATGTCTTTGACTCGCCTATCGACGTGTCGATCTCAATCTCACACTCGGGCTCTTCGTAGAAGCCCACCCAGACGCGCTTGGTCGGTGGCGGCAGACATTGTAGATTCATGCGGCCATGCAGCGACTTGACCAACACAGATATCACCAAAGGAATCGATATAGTCCTGCCTCGAATGCTGAATGACACTTCAATCTTGATCGTCAGTGTAAGTCCGCCATGATAATTTACAACAAGGTCTACACTCTGTTGTTGTTGTTGTTGTTGTCGCGCGCAAGTAGGTGTGGCGGGAGTGAGTGGAGGTGAGGTAAGTACATGAATGGCTTGACTGGAACTGTTGATTGAGATACATACCATTTCACCTTGGGGCGTGATGAACATTAGTTCAGCGTCTTGTAGGATTGGTAGGTTGGGACCAAACTCAAGGTTCTGTAATGTGATGCTTTTCTAAAATGCGCGTTGTGGCGATGGCAACAGTGATGAGAGGGAGAAGGAACAATGTTAGTCCATCGATCAACTCATCATTGTCCTCATCCAAACAAACAAACAACAACAACATACCAGTATTGATGGCTTCTTTAGCTTGTTAAGCTTCTTTGTGATCTTGGATGAGACAAAAGCGAGAAGTTCGTCAGTGTCGTAGAGGTTAAAGAACACTCGACCGACAAGTACGTTCAACCAATCGTATTGTGAGGCACTCGGACCGGATACCTGTCCATCCAATGTTGGCAGTAGACTTGAGATTGATTTGAGTGACGATGGTGGCATCTTTGCCGTTTGTTGTGGCGATGACGCTCCATTTGATACCGTTGGTGATGAGTTGATTGAACGTTCGATCATGATCGAGTCCTCCAAGGCTGATGACAGTGACTGGTTGGGTGAGACGACTAGTGGCGTCGCTGGCGACTTGGGGGATGAGGTGCCCGTCGTCGACTTCTTCTGTCCAGTGGGTGATTGCAGTGAGGCGGCGGCGCCATTGTGCATGCTGCCAAAGGTTGCCTGATGCACGGATGGCACGCTGGCGCGCGATGGCAGATCTAGGAAGAACTGCTGGCTGCGCTTGCTCTCGTCCTGATCGTCCTGTGTCTTCTTCAATGTGATTGACGCGGCTTCCCTGAGGAACCAGAACCACGTCTCAAGCTCCTTGCCATTCTCCAAATAGAAGTTCAGCACCTTTGAATGGAACAGTAGCTCCCTCTCGGCATGCATTATAGCAATACCATTCTTCTTATGGAACTTTGATGTCTTGTTACGAATGACACTAAGTACACATCCATCAATGCAAAGTATACCAACGGCAGATGTATCCTGTTTTGATTGATCGCGATTGATTGATTGTGTGTGCGAGTGTGTGAGTGAGTGTCATGTGACCGCCCAGTGACATCATCATCATCACACATACAGTGGCATGCTTGAACAGGAACAACATGTTAGTCTTGAGCACACAATGGTACCATTCTTGTATCTCTGAGCTACTGTTGTCGTCTGGCTTCTTGATGAGTACTCTTCCTCTCTTCTCAGAGTTGAATCTTGATGTGCTTGATCTCTGTGTGGCACAGTAGACTGTGTTAGCTAGCTAGCTAGAGGTCTTACACATTTGGTTATCTCACTTACCATCTCCGCTCTGTCTTGGGCAGCTTTAGCCAGGACATCCTTGAACTCGGTCCTGTCTACATTTGCCTGAGCAGTCTCCAAGAACCTGACGATCATGTACACTACACTGATGACCACGGAGAACACTCCAAACAGGAATGAGAAGATGTGAGCAAACATGTTGTTGTTATTGTTATTGTTGGTGATGTGTTGCCAGTTGTAAGGCCCTTAACCAATCAACCCCCTTTGATATCAATGTCCAATGGCCTTGTCTTGTGTATCCTTTGTGCTTGTGTCTAATCGTGATTGATTGAGATTGAATGAATATACTATCTATATCTACTATATCTATATCTATATACACTTGATTTGGAATAAAGGTGATTGGATTGATCAATAGACTTTGGAGGTGTGGTGGGGGTTTGAGTGCCAGCTTTGATGAGTCCCGAGCCCTGGACTTAAAGGATGCAAGCCCCCATCACTTTGAAGGTAAATTGGATGACACACACTCCACAAAACACAATAAATGAATGAAATTTAGATTACAAGGTGTCGAACAATGTCAGCATGGAGTCGTGGAAGGTCCTAACCGATGGTCAATGGTACTTCCAATACATCCAGTGCACTGGACCATCAATCGTCAATCAATACAGTTGAATGAGTAAGTGAATAGGATACAAGACTTTTCATTTGATTGATTGAGTGAATGAATAGATGGTGTTCATCAAAGTTGATGGACCTAGTGCGTGTGAATGAATGACTGACTGACTGACTGATTGATTAGTTGGCGCTGAGTAGGAAGTTGGTGGCAGCATTCAGATCGTTTTGTGTACGCTGCAGTGCTATTATGGCTTGTTGTCTGTCGAAACCCATGGCCTCTAGCATTTGGATGTTCTCCTCGGATGGTGGCGCATTGAACATTGGTTGCAGTATGTTCTGCATACGTTGTTGCTGCTGCTGTACACGACTTTGATTCTCTATCAGTGGCCGCATACTGGTTGGTTTGTTGGGCGATTGCAACAGCGGCAGGATCCACTTGTTGCACAGGTTGACGAGGCCGGCGGGCATCCTCCTCTTTTTGAGATTGAACACGTCGATGTGATAGAGAGTGCCGGCGACAATGCCCATCACACTCTGGGCAATGTTGGAGTTACTGCCAATCAGCAGTGAGGCTGCCGTCAGATAGGCAAAGATCTTGTCGTTGAATGGGAATCCAAATAGTTTGAACCATCGTGTCGATGGTATCTCCTTGAAGAACAGTACCAGACCAGCAAAGATGAGTCCATATGGTCCAGGTGATCCAGCTGATCCCCTTCTAAATATTACAATATATGCCAACTGTAACATTGTCGTCATAATCAATGATGACAATATGAATATCTAGTTTGATTGATTGATTGATTGATTGATAGTTAGAGTCTATTCATTGATTGATGGATCGACATGTGATGACACATACACTATACTTTGATGAACCCATTGTCCTCTCGAATAGCCTGAATGTATATAGAAGTGCTGAACCAAAGACTACTTCGTATATCGATGTGAAGTGGAAGTGATTGGTGAATAGTGATAGTAGTGACTGTAGTTGTGCTGCCTCTGTCCCCGTTGATGTCTTCTTTGCTTTGGCATTCATATATGTCAATATGATTGAACTACCAATTACAGTAAACAGTAGAACCTTTGTAATTGGTGCATTCTCTACAATATCAATTGATTGATCAAGTCAGTCATTCATTCATTCATTCAGATCAGTCTCTTTGTCAACATACGCAATCCAGCTGGTCCTGCATTATACATGTCTATATATGATTGTTTGATTGTATGTATGTATGTATGTATGTATGTATGTATGTATGAATGAATGTATATGTATTAAGATATAATGGAGTAATCTATAGATTGGCGAAGAACTGATCAGAGAGTGAGTGTGAGTGTGTGTGTTTAATGTTTGATTGTCGACAAGTTCACTGAAGTTATGATGGGAATGTCAATGTATGATGCATCGAAAATGATGACATGATTATAATGAAGTTAGTGTTGACTAATGATCTTCATTCTATACTATTCTATTTGTCTCCACTCTCCATCCATCAAATATAACATTTGATGAACATTGATTTGATAACTAGTTGTTACACCTTGGGGAATGGAAAGCAAGGTCATTGTAATCAATCATGGCGCACATAGTTTGAAGCTTGGATTGGCATCGGACAACATACCAAAGATCATTCCAAACTACATTGCCAGGAGGATCAAACCAAGTGTCACTCAACTGAAACAGCAGCAACAACTACTACAACAACAACAACATAATGTACAGAAAGTGCAACAACATCAACAACAACAAGATCAGAGACCGACAACAACAGAGGAAGTGAAGAATGAACAATCATCATCAATGACATCAGATATAACAAAAGACCCAACTGATATGTTGGTCAACAAACCAATCAATGGTGATCAACCTCTCGAATCATCAAATCCCGACATCACTCAATCAATCAAGTCCGAGGCTACATCAGTTGACATCATCAATTCGGATGGATCCTCCACTACTGGCACTCAATCAACATCAACAGAAAACGATACCAACTCAACATCAACATCGACATCAATGGATACAGACTCCAAGCCACATCAAGAAGATACAAAGATAAGCGAGATGGCGAAGCCTGTTGAGGACGCCCCACCACAAACACTATCACAGCCACAACCACAGCCAAGCACTGTTGAGAGCGAACCAATGAACTTGGATGTTGGCGGTGGCACCAATGACAACGATCAATCAATGCTACTTGATGTGGACGACTCTTCTGCAGTATCTACCAATGCTCATTCATTGCTTTCACCAGCTGATGTGGGCACGATCAATGGTACAGATCAACAAGCCAGCAGTGCGTCTGCGGCCATCGAGCTGACTGGCATCACTCCAGCACTCTCTGACGATATCCTTCGTCTCAAGATCAGCTCAATCAAAGATATACAACAGACCATGAAGGATGCGGCCAAGTCACTGCCGCTGATCAACAAGGATGTGGTGGTCAATGCCAAGTTACCAAAGCAGGCAACAATATATAATGAGTCTAACTCGATAGCGATAGAGACCGACACGACGGGCAAGAAGAGGAAGAAGAAGAGGAAGACTATGACTGCGACGGGCAGCACCAACAACGATCAGGTGGCGCCCGAGCCCAAGCGTGGCGCATCCAGTGCTCAGTCCCTCCTGGAGGGCGTCCAGGCAATCGATCTGGAACAGGTCGACTACTGTATTGGCGATGATGCCATTCGTGCAAGCAAGGACACCGAACACTGGGTATGCTACCAACCCCTTATCGCGGCCACACTATTCAACGTCACCAAGAACAAGTCACTTCGACACCTGCTCGACGACCTTGTCCAAATGTGGAAGTTCGCCATCCAACGTTATCTCAACATCTCGCCTCAAGAGCTCAACGTATGTCACGCCTGGAATCATACCATTCAGTCGATCATTCAATCAATCATAGTACTAACTCATGGCCGCGCAGTCATATGGATGTGTCTTTGTTGTTCCAGACATATTGGACAGGAGAGAGCTCAAGGAGGTGACGAACTTGCTGCTGAGGGAGATGCCATTCACCAGTGCATTGCTGTATCAAGAGTCGGTATGCTCGATCTTTGGCGCATCAGTGGGCACAGCATGTGTCGTGGACATTGGCCACAAGTCAGTGACAATATCATGTGTGGACGAAGGCTATTTGATACCGCAATCACGTATCCATTTGAAGTATGGCGGTGAGAGTATCACCAGGCTGTTGGCATACCTCCTATACCAGGCGGACCAAACAGACACTCATCCGCCGGTCCACAAGTATCACTTCCCCGTACCCTACTGCGACCTTGACTTGGCCTACTACTTCAACCAAATGGAGACCATAAAGAATGAGAATGCCAACTTGTACTTGGTAAGTATGACCCGTGTACGTGGATGGCATGATCATCACTCACTCATTCAATCAATCAATCATTGGATGACATTAGAATGATGAAGGCAGGATCAGACATTCAACGCTGGGCGTGAAGGAAACACCGCCACAGGCAACAAGCCAGACAACAGTGAGATACTCGTTCAATGGAGATGAGGCGTATAAGGTGGCCACAATGTCATTATTCCACCCGAATAGTTTAAAGCCATTCCGCGCAGACATTTCTCCTCTGACAGACTATGAGGAGTTGTTTGATGACTCCAAACAACAGGAGGCAGCAGGCGGCGAGAGGAATCTGGTCTTGCCACTGGACGTGGCCATACACAAATCAATCAAGCAATCAGTCGATCGTTCGGACTTTAGGAAGAAGTACTACAACAACATATTGGTCGTTGGAGGTGGTGCACTGATCGCTGGTCTGGAGGATATGTTGAAGCTCAGGCTACAATCGCCACAAGAAGATACCAGCTCATCTTCATCATCAGCAACGACAACGACGACTACCACCGCACCACCAACAACAACAGCAGCTTATACACAGAATGTACGACAGGACATGGATGTTAGGAATATGAGCTGGAAGGGTGGTGCCATCCTTGGATGTTTGGAGAGCTCCAAAGAGATCTGGATCACAAGGAGTGAGTGGAAGGAGGGCATGAACTCAAGCATCATTAAAGATAAGTTGAGCTTTTAACTGAATGTTATTCATTCGATGATTGATTGATGTTGTTGAACAGAGTTGACGTTGAAGTGTGGCGCCACAAAAGGTTGTTTATTAGACTACGCTCTATGTGTGGCTGGGCATTGATATCGAATATCGTTTGATGATTTACAAGTAAGTCCGACTACTTCTTCTTCTTCTCTCTCTCCTGAATATAACTAATTAACTTTTCGCGCTTGTTGTTTGGTTCTTTGTTGTTATTGTATTTGTAGATATAACATAACATCTTTAGACACCACCGACGAGAATGTTGTTGATTGGGATGTGAATCAGCTTGACGAAGAATCCAATGAAACCCATGATGAGGAATCCAACCAAAGTAGCAAGAGCAATCTTTTGGAACTCTGTTCAATCATCAAGTATTATTGTTAGTAGTTGTACTCAATCAATCAATCAATCAACTTGATTCATGAATCAACTAAACATACCTTGCTGGTCCGGCTTGGTGCACTTCTTGAACAGACGGATAGAGTTCTTGGCGAACTCCTTAAGTGGTGTGGCGGTCTCTTCTACTAAGTCCATTGTGTATATTATATATTATATATATGTGTATGTTATTACTGAATCAATCAATTAAATGAGTAATGTCAGCATGAATGTGGGTCAAAGTAAGAGGCACAACTGCAGCCAGCTCAAAGTCAAACACACAATCAAACTTGAACATGCATTCAACTCATCACTCTCTCACTTTGACACACAACACACAAAAAAATAAACAACCAAAAGTCAGATGAATGACCAAGTTTGACAAACTTCTGCTCGAACTTCCCTTGAATTATTGCTATTTAATTCTGATTTAATTTGACAAACGAACGAACTCCCACTCACACACATTCAAAGATCGCTCGAAACAGAAGTTTACTCTATTACATCATTGATTCGAATAACATACATATAGTGTACTCACTTTGATCATTCATTCATTCATTCAATCAATCAATCAATCAAACGAAAGAAGAAGTTGAAGAATGGACGATACAAAGAGGAAAGCACATAGGAAGTCAAAGGTTGGCCAAAAGGCCGAGAAGAAGAAGGCAGTCAAACAGAGAAAGTTAGGAATAACAAAGGAGGTCAGATCAAAGAATCCAAAGGCATTCGTATTCTCATCGGCACATGCTGCACTCAAAGCACAGAGACGTTCACTCGACTTGCATCAAAAGCGTGTCGACCTACCAGTCCTCGATCAATCAGGTACCGCTGACGAAGTACCTCCCATCGTCATTGCAGTAGTTGGTCCACCACAAGTTGGCAAGGTATGTTCATTCATTCGTAGGTTCAATCGTTCACTCATACTCACTCGAACATTCAATCAATCAATCAAATATAGTCCACACTCATTAGATCATTGATCAAGAATTATACAAGATATTCGGTTGGTGATATAAAGGGACCAATCACTATTGTGGCCAGTAAGAGACGTAGGATTACATTTGTTGAGTGTAATAATGATATCAACTCTATGATCGATACGGCAAAGATTGCCGATTTGGTATTGTTGCTGATTGACGCCAGTTTTGGATTCGAGATGGAGACGTTTGAGTTCCTCAACATCCTCCAAACACATGGATTCCCCAAGGTCATCGGTATTCTTACTCACCTCGATGGCTTCAAGAACAACAAGACACTCAAGAAGACCAAGAAGAAGTTAAAGGATCGTTTCTGGACTGAGATCTATCAGGTATGATTCCATTCATTCATTGATCATCATATCCACAGTGACTGGAGCTATTCCAATCACTCAATCACTCGCTCCAACACCATCATGATCCATGGGTCCATCCCATTCATCTCTCATTCACTCACTCAATCACTGGAACCATTCCAATCACTCACTCACTCAATCACATGATCACCACCCACGAACTATTCCACTGACTCAATCAATCAAATAGGGCGCCAAACTCTTCTACCTCTCTGGTATGATTCATGGAAAGTATCCAAAGCAGGAGATACATAACTTGGCCAGGTTCATTTCTGTTGCCAAACTCATTCCACTCAGCTGGCGCAACACTCATCCTTATGTGTACGTCGACCGTTTCGAAGATACGACAGACGTCGAGCAGATCAAGCAGCGACCAAAGGACGACAGATCCATCTGTCTCTATGGTTATGTGCGTGGCACCTATCTCAAGCCTCACATGAAGGTACACATTCCAGGTGCTGGTGACTTCCGCATGAAGTCGATCACACCACTCAGCGACCCATGTCCACTGCCCGATGAGCGCAAGAAGGTGCTCAACGGTAAAGAGCGACTCATATATGCCCCAATGGGTGACATTGGCAACGTCCTGTACGATAAGGATGCAGTCTACATCAATCTCCCAGACAACAGGATCAACTTCTCAAAGATCAAAGGTATGATGTGATTGAATAATCGTTTGAATGAGCTCGCAACTGACATTTCTACATCAACAGAGGGCAAGATCGTGGAGAAGGACAGCGATGATGAATACCAGGAGGATGGTGACCAGGAGTCAGATGATGAGATGGGCGACCAGGGAGTTGGAATGGTCAGGAAGCTGCAGAATACTAGAGTGGGCCTTGATGAGAAGATGGAGGAGTCAGAGGTGTCACTGTTCTCAAACAGTGCTCCAATCAAGCTGAAACCAATCTCAAACAAGAGGAGAGCCGATCTGGACCGCGTGGACGAGCTGAGCGATAGCGAGTACTATGGCGGCGAGCCCGAGCAACAAACACAGCTGGCCACGGCCAAGTCGACCACCAAGAAGGTCGAGGTGCGCGAGATTGTCGACGGCCGTGAGAGAAGGAAGGTCAAGTTTGTGCAACTCAAGAAGGTGCCAACCGACCTGGCCAGTGACGAGGAGGACGACGATGACGTCAATGGCGCAGCAGAGGGCATGGACAGCGATGATGACCAATCTGACGAAGACGACCAAGACGATGACGATGATGGAGAGCACAAAGTACAAGATGACAGTGATGTCGAAGGAGAGAATCTACGATTCGACGACGAAGATGATGGCAGTGATGTAGAGTTGGACGACGAAGAGTACTATGACCCAGCCAACGAGGACAATGACCTCGAGGGTGAGGACGAAGATGAGGATGATGAAGACGAGGAAGAGGTGGAGGTCGACGATGATGAAGACGAGGACGAGGAAGAGGAGAGCTCCAAGTGGAAACAGAACATGAGCAATCACTTCCAAGCCAGCAAGTTGATCAATCAAAAGGTCAACTTGGCCAAGCTCATTTATGGAGACCAATCACAGTCCAAGAAGGACACAAACAACAATGACGACGATGAGGACGATGATGGCGAGTTCTTCAAGGTCAAGAAGGGTGGATTCGGCTCGATGAGACTCAAGAAGGACATTGAGGCACAGCAGTCCACTGGACTCAATCAACTCGATTCATCAAAGAACACTGCATCAGTTACACACACCAACGAGTTCAGAGACGCACCCGACGTTAAGGCTCTGCTCATGTCAAGATTCGTGGACAAGGACGAGCTGGCCGCCCATGGTGCCGTCGGTCGCGAGGGTGACCAAGACGACGAGGTACTGTTTGGCGACTTTGAGGATCTTGAGACTGGCAAGAAGTTTGGTCCAGGCGGCAAGGAGGCTGGCGATGACGATGAGAAGGATGCGGACGACTCAGAGGACGAAGATGGCGACAAGAAGGGCTCAAAGAAGGGAGGCAACGGCGACAAGGACGATGATGACAAGGAGGCCAACTTTGACGAAGACAGGAATAGAAACAAGGAGCGTAAGGAGCGCGAGATCAAGAGGATCAATGCCAAGTACGAGGCCGAGGAGGAGGACTATGCCCACGAGATGACCGAGGCCGTCAAGAGACAGCGCGCCATCAACGAGGCAGAGTTTGCCAAGGATGACAAGCTGAGCCGTATGCAATACGCCGGTTTCCCCATCGGTGTCTATGTGCGCATCGAGTTTGAGGCCGTACCCTACGAGTTTGCACATCACTTTGATCCACACTACCCATTGCTCGTCGGTGGCCTGCAGGCCAACGAGGAGAACCTGGGCATGGTCAACGTCAAGATCAAGAAGCACCGCTGGCACAAGAAGCTGCTAAAGACGAACGACCCCCTGATCATCTCGATGGGCTGGCGCCGCTTCCAGACCATGATGCTGTACTCGATTCAGGACATCAACGGCCGTAACAGAATGTTGAAGTACTCGCCGGAGCACATGCATTGCCAGGGCAGCTTCTACGGCCCGATGACGCCGCCCGGCACGGGCTTCATCGCCTTCACACAGCTCAACTCCAAGCAGGCGTCGTTCCGAGTGAGCGCCAACGGCATCATTCTGGACCTGGACAGCACGATCAACGTGGTCAAGAAGCTGAAGCTGACCGGTCGCCCCTCCAAGATCCTCAAGAAGACGGCCTTTGTACAGGGCATGTTCACATCACGTCTCGAGGTGGCCAAGTTCGTGGGCGCCACCGTGCGCACCGTGTCTGGAATTCGTGGACAGATCAAGAAGCCGCTGAGCGCACCCGAGGGTGCCTATCGTGCCACATTCGAGGACAAGCTGCTGATGAGCGACATCATCTTCCTGAGGACCTGGTATACTATCCAACCAACCAAGTTCTACACACCCGTCACCAACATACTCAAGCAGGACAAGTCCGAATGGCAGGGCATGAAGACCGTGGGCCAGCTGCGTTACGAGCACGGCCTGAGGGCGCCCATCAAGGAGGACTCTGTGTATCGCGAGATCGAGCGTCCCAAGCGCGAGTACCGTCCAATGGAGATCCCAGCCTCACTTCAGAACCAGCTGCCATTCGACCTCAAGCCCAAGTTCAAGAAGGAGAGGAATGAGGCCGATGCGCTGTTGTCACATCGCGCCGTCGTCCTCGAACCACACGAGAAGCGTGTCGCCGACCTGATGAACAAACTCGAGATGATCAGGAATAAGAAGATCATGAAGGAGCGTCAACATTCAGAGGCCAAGCGTAAAGAGAACCAAAGAGTCAAGAACAAAGAGAAAGAGAAGATGGAGGAGCGCCAGAAGGAGCAAAAGAAGCGCAAGTTCAAGATCGATGCTCTCAAGTCAAAGAAGAAGCCAAAGCAGCATGCTTAACTTTATTAATTAAACAACTCATCATCATTACATGATGTGATATATATATATATATTATACAAATATAACTCAACGAAATTTATCGCGTGAGGGTATGTCCGCGAGGGTATGAGTCGATCCGAGGATAATCCACGAAACCGATTTTTTGATTTGTGCCAAGATGGGTGTTGTTGCCTCTTCCCTTTGTGAGACTCGCCTCACTGCTCCCATCCATGCATGCATGTTAGTTGATACTAACAAACAAACAAACTAACTAACTTATTTATAACTTATATATAAATATCTATATCAATACAAATACACACATTTACAACAGGTAATTAAAGACATACGATTTTAGTTTTAGATTATATGATGAAGGTACCTCGAGAGGCGAGGTCAGATGGTTTTGAAGGCTCGTGGTCGAGGTGACCAGCAAGTTATTATTATCCTTGAGCGACCTCTCCATACCCTACACATCATCATCACAAACACGATCGTCGGTTGATCGAGCAATCGATGCAATCAATCAATCCTCACTGCATTGCTCTGCACTGTTTAACCCACCACTCACTCAAACAGCGCAACAACAACAACAACAACTCATCATCCATCGCTACGGCCCAACCAAGATACACACAAACACACACACACACATACTCCCATTGTAATATATCTTGTGGAATCCTATCCTCAATCAATCTGCTTGGATGATGGATGATGGACGGAGGCGCTGCGGCTAGCGCCGTGCACCTCATCAATCAATCAATCAGTTTGTTACTTGTTATTGCTGTTGTGATGTCATGTGATGTTGAACGTCAATCTAACAATCAATCATTCAATCAATCAATCAATCATTCAAGGCATACTAGCTAGGGTCATGTGTACTTAGACATCATCACATAGACAGAAGACAAGACTTAATACTACAACAACAATAGTCACAGGACAAACAAACAAACACAGCCATTCAATGAATAAGCCACCTAATAAGCTCCATCAGGCTATTGCCATGAAGGATTTGGTCAAGTTGAAGGCACGTCTATCACAGTCACGCAAGGCCAAGCTCGAAATGAATGAGAGAGACTACTTGGATCAGACACCACTCTGTGCAGCACTCAAGTCTGGCTCATACGACATCGTCCGTGAGATACTAGCCTTCTATCATTCAAACAAGTATGTACCTTATGTCACGGCCTCATAATGGGACTACCTCCACTCACTCTCAATCAATCAAAGGATGGACGTTAACGAGCAGGATAAGAATGGATATACACCATTGCATGTTGCAGCGAGCAATTGTGATGATCAGATAATGACACTGATGTTGAACCATGATGGCATCAAGGTTAACTTGGTCAACGACGATAAGAACTTGCCACTGCACTACTTCTGCCAGAACTTCAAGTCGCCAAACTGTCGCGAACCCTTCAAACTGTTCCTCGAGAAGGGCGTCAATGTGAATCTACAGAACAAGAATGGCGAGTCCGCTTTGCACAAGTCCATATTCAACAACAACATACGTCTGCTCATGGTCAACCTGTTGCTCGAGGCTGGTGCCGACGTCAACGTTCTCACCTCGCGTGGTGAGTCGCCACTACACTTTGCCGTGCGTCTTGGACGTGAGGACCTCGTGTCCGTTCTAGTCAAGGCTGGTGCCGACCTAAGTATCAAAGGCAACGAGAAGAAGACCGTCTATGATCTTGCCAGTCAGAGTGGCAATACTAAAGTGACCAACTTCCTAAAGAATGTCCAAGGTATGGATTGTAGTTAACATCACTCAATCAATCATTCAATCAATCGCTCACTCATTCGATCAATCAATCAAACAAAACAGAGATACACAGTTGGCTAAAGACTATAGAGTTGGAACAGTATTGGCCTAACTTTGTTCGTGAAGAGATATTCATGGATCTGTTACCAGAGGTGGATGAGAAGACGTTGGACTCGCTCAAGATCACCTTCAGTGGACATCGTTTGAAGATTATTAAATACTGTAGAATACTCAAGGAACAACTGAATGGAATAGCCAACAACAATAACAGCATGAACAATCTAAACATTAGTGGAACGATCGATAAACAGCAACAACAACTACAACAATCACAGCAACTACAACAACAACAACAACCATCATCTATAACACTTACAACACCAACATCACCACCAACAACAACGACATCAACTTCAACTGCTGGAGCCAAACCAAACCTCTCGATGGAGTCCAACAAGTCGGGCTCAACACCAAACTCTGCGGCATGCAGTCTCGAGTCGTCGGGCTCGATATCATCCGATGGACTGAAGGAGTCACTGGCAACGCTCGAGGGCATCAAGTCAAACACGTCGTGCGTGATTGACCACGCCGACCTGGAGTACACGCTGAAGCTGGGCTCAGGCTCCAGCGGCAAGGTCTACAAGGGCATCTACAAGAGCAAGGAGGTGGCGGTCAAGGTGCTCAAGGCCATCACTACACAGATACAGCTAGAGGAGTACAAGAAAGAGATACAGATCATGGCGGCCATTCGCTCGCCCTACGTCGTCAACTTCTTTGGCACGTGCTTTGAGCCCAAGTTCTGCATGGTGATGGAGTACTGCAGTCGCGACTCGCTGTACCACGTGATGAACACCAAGAAGTACGACATTGGATGGGATCGCTTCTTCCAGTTCACGATGCAGATGACACTGGGCATTCAGACACTGCACAACTGGTCACCGCAAGTGCTGCACCGTGACTTCAAGTCCCTGAACCTCCTGGTCAACGAGGACTGGGAGTGCAAGGTGTGCGACTTTGGCCTGTCGCGATTCAACACGGCCGAGAACCTCGAGACCCTGACCAAGACACGTGGCACATTCGCCTACTGCTCGCCAGAGGTGGCCACGGGCTCGGGCGCACTCTACACCACCAAGTCCGATGTCTTTGGCATTGGCATCGTCTTTTGGGAGTTGCTGATGCGAGTGATCAACAGAGAGTACTCGCGACCCTACAACGAGTACCCCAACATCAAGTTTGACTACCAGATCATGATCAGCTCCAAGGATGGTCTGCGTCCAACGCCGCCACCCAACTGTCCACCGGGTCTGGCCAAGCTCTACAGACAATGTGTGCATCAGGAGCCTCAACAACGACCGTCGTGTGAGGAGATCATCAAGGTTTTGAACCAACTTCGCAAGGAATACACAGAGGCCAAGTCCGAATGGGATGACCTCATCATCAAGAAGCCAACTCTGTCATCAACCAACAACACCTCAACAGCATCACTATCCAAAGGGGATTGAGATAGACTGACTGACTTAAAATTAAAATAAATCAAAAATAACGTTTGTTGGGAAATCCAATTGGATTTTTGATCAAGTTGATCAGCGTGCCAAAGGGATTCAAGGCCCATTCATGTTGTGTACCCTCAACAACATCATTGACAATCAAGCAAACAAATACAACATGTTGGATACACTTAGTTCTTTACTATTGAAGAATATTACACTATTCTTGGATGGCATCGATATACTTTGTTTTACATTAGTTTGTAAAAGAACACAACAAGAATGTTTGATACCTCATAGAAACAACAAGGAGTCAAAGAGTGTAATACAACTACCACCAGGCTATAGAGAGAATGAATTAACATTTGATGATATGTGGAACAAGCCAATTGAGCCTGGCTCAATCCCCTCGATAGTGACACAAATTACATTTGGCGAACGGTTTAACCAACATATCCCACTTGGAGCATTACCACCATCCTTGACAGCACTGAAATTTGGACACTCTTTCAATCGACCAATTGCCCCTGGAGCCATTCCATCGTCTGTCACCAAATTGAAGTTTGGAAATATGTTTGACCAAGTAATCATTCCTGGATGCCTCCCTTCTGGGCTCAAATCTCTGGACTTTGGTGATTGCTTCGATACTCAGCTCCCAGTTGGCTGCTTGCCTCCCTCCTTGGAATCATTGTTTCTTTATTATGCCATATATAACCACCCAATCCTTCCTGGACTCTTGCCCATGTCCCTAACTCAACTTGCACTCCCCCATCACAAACATGAGATCCAGCCCGGAGTTATCCCATCCTCAGTAACCTCTTTATGGCTCGATACCAAATTAATTCTCTCCCAGGGAGTTATACCCGACTCAGTATTGAAGTTATGTTTTCATTTAGGACCTCATTCCACCTCATTATATATTCCGTCATCTGTTACTGATCTTTCGCTTCAATACCCAGAATTCTTCAGGGCTCCTAAAAGTGGATATAAATGGATACCCATACCCTTGACAGTGAAGCGTTTAGTAATATCATGTAGCCAACCAATCACTCCTGGATCAATTCCACAATCAGTCACCAAACTAAAGATCATTGGTGGGTACAATCTCCCTATCATGCCCATGGTTATTCCGTTATCGGTTACATCATTAGCATTTGGAGATTCATTCACCCAACCAATCAGGTCTGGGGACATTCCATCGACAGTCACAAAGTTGTCAGTTGGATTCAATCTCAAACGGTTGCTGACACCCAATAATGTTCAGTCATCCTACCAAAGCTATTGGAATGGGGACACACCCCAACGTCATCTTGGTGATCTGATCAACGCTACATCAATTGACTACTTGATAATCAATCAAACAATATGTCAAGTAGGTTTTTCAGCCAAACCATCCGATCAAACAAGGAAAGTCAACACTGTTAGAATTGTAATCCCTGACCCTGAGACCGGAATTCCCTTTGAGGAACGCAAAGTCAAGACTCTACCATCTGCATCCAGCCTTTTTAATAAGTTCAAGGCTAAATATGACTTGAGGTGTTACTTTGGTATTGCTCACAACAACATATACATATTTGATTTTGGTCGAATTGGAACAACATCAGTGCATTGCAGACAACTGGACAATCAATCAATCTTGGTAGATTGTGCGGATTATTTTGGATCGGTCTCACTTAACAATTAAATAATAATAATATTAAATAATTAATTATTTTAATTTAATGTTTGCTCTTGATGATACCCAAGCGATGAAGAGGCCAAGTGCTGCGACGGCGGACAGGGCTACCACGAGCATGATCATCCTGTAGGACGACCTTCCTTCAGTCTTGTTGACAGTGCTTATCGTGCAACACATCAATTGTGACTCTGCCTTGTTAATCTCTTGTGTGACATACTCTGAGAATGCATTCACCTTGGTCGTTAGCAACACAATCTTTAATGCCACCTCATCCTTTTGAGCTCTAGATGTTTGGTTTGATGTGTTAGGTGAGTTGATTCAATGAATGATGACATGGATACTTACTTCTTTAAGAGTAACTCATTGCTTGTCAATGTCTGAAGTAGGTCTATTGCCTCAACAATGTCTGAGTTGATGATATCCAATTCGTCATGTAGACGACTAACTGTTGACTTGACTAAAGGTAGCTTACTTGGCGCAGTATGATAGAGTCGATCAATCAGATTTCCAGGAGTTGGCATTAGATCAATATCATATCCAAGTGAATCCAATAAGTATTTCTAATATGATTGATTGATTGATTGATTGAGTGTGAGTAATGATGATGGATAACGATGAATGATTCATTCATAATCATACCTCTGAGAATATTGATATCTTGGACAATGACTTCTTGAGAGATGTTGCAGAACTTTGTACATTGGTGATGATGGTGTTCCTGACGATGGCATCGATGAATATCTGTGATATCTCAGTTCCATTGCCAATGAATCCAAATGGATGCTGTCCATAACTCCAGAGATAGTTGTTCTTTAGTGAGTTGTGTGGAGCTGAGTATCTGAGTGTTGGACCCATTAGACCTTGCGATTGTGCCAGTCCAGAGATGATATAACGTGTGACTGAGTGAGGGAAGAATGATACCAACTTGCTGCCCTGGTAATGATTGCCCGCGAATGCTTTAGATGATTGCAACACAGCCACAGCTTGTTGATTCCTAATAGATGATTGAGTCAGTCTAACATCCTGTAGCCACAGCTTGCTCCGGGGGAATACATACGCCACTGAGAGATAGTATTTGTCGAGTAGTATGTTGGAGTCAGTGTTCTTCAATGAGAATACGTAGACGGGAAGTATCTTTGTTCGAAGGTTACCCTTCTTGTTGAGAGCATTTGGTACAGAGTTGAGGAAGTCGTCCTGGACCAGTCCACTCGCCAGTATATCGTCCTCGTTCCTGAGCTTCAACAACAACTCCTCACTATCAATGTATGTCTTGGAACTTGTCTCAAACCTAGTTGTGTTTGGATTGAGTTCAAAGCTTGAGTGCGTCCTAATCGACTTTGATAGCGCCATTGAGATGTGCTTGTGCTCGTGCAATGAGTGCGATCCAGTGACCACCGTGACCTCCGCGAATGGGAACAGTCGTCTGCCTTCCTTCTTGATCAAGTCGATCTCGATACTTGTCTCATGGCCCGGATCAAGCGGGTCATAATCATTGTGATCTCTGAATATCAATATCGGTATGAGTACCTTTTGGTACAAAGGTATGAGGTTGTACTTTGAGTCAGGGAGTATAACATGTTGCACTGCAGAGATGACCAATGATGCCATGTGCGCCTCTATCTCAATCTAAAGGTCGAGTATTGGTTAGTGATCAATCACAACTGATCAATCAATCAATGATACATACAGGTGATGCACCTTGGAGTGATGTTCCAGCATAACCATCCTTTTGGAAGTACTCGACCAGACGTGGCAGGGAGTCATAGTCGACAGATCCTTCGGATATCTTCTCCATGGTTGACTTGTGAAGGGTAGTGCCGTACTTTAGCGGGCCCGCAGAGAGGTCCACAACGAGATACCTTCCAGCGCCTATCCATGCTGGACCACATATCTGATGATTCAGAGTGTAGATGTATTTCCTGTTGTCGTCATGCAACATCCTTATCTTTGAAGGGTTGACAAAGAACACAGTATAGACTGGTGTATCAGTCTGTGTTGCTGATATACCATATGTCTTGATCTCATTCTCAAAGTATGGTTCGAATGGTTCGATCGATAACCAATCTGTCTCACCATCAACAGGCTATTCATTAAGTGAGTTAGTGATTGATTGATTGATTGATTGATTGATTGAATGAATGAATGAATGAATGTATGTACATACGACCAAGGCATCCATGAATTGTGATAGCATCAGTCTTTCATAACGCTCGAGTGATTGCTTGGGCAACTTCTTGACATTGTAGGTTATGTCATAGTGAGTTGATAGACTGACGGGATTGTGTACCTTTGGTGCACCATGTATATCATTGTTATAGTTGAGTAGATGATAGATCGATGTCTCAATTGAGTAACTGTTATGTTTATAATGAGACTCTTGTAATAGATCATTCAATCTCGTTGGGTCTAAAGTGTATTCAAATGCACCATCCTGTTGGAATCCAATCAACAACACCTGTATCTGTATTGGTATACCACCTGGTTCATCCTGTCATGTCACATGTTAGTTAGCTTAAGTTACTTGTTGTCGTTTCATATTATGTACCTACCTCAGGACTGTATGCATATGACAAGATACATATCAATGAAAGAAGTAATAACAAAGATGACTTCATTATATAAGTATATATATAGTATGATTGAATGAATGAAGGAATGATTATGTGGGTGTGAAGTTGATTGAACAAATGAAGGTTGTGGATGAACTTCACCTGATTTGAATCAAATCCCATAAATCAAACATTTCGAAATCGATAAAACGACAACTTGATGAATACAAAGACGGTGACAAGGACACAGAGAGACTATAGATATTTAAGTTACACAATATGTTACAACATTCAAGACAATTGATTAGAGTGTCTACAACATCTACAACCTCATTGACTACATCCAACTTGTGTTTGTTGACAAAGACGAATGTATTTGGTTGCAATGCACAGCTTGGCAATCAAGTACGTCACATGTCCTTTTGGTCATACTTGAACCCATTCAAGTTCTACAATAACAATGCAGATACACCTCAAAAGAAACTTGTGTAAGCTACCCTTCTACGCCACCCTACCTTGTCACCTCACTCATTCATTCATTCATTGACTCAATCAAATCGATACAGACAATACGAATTGAAAGAAGGTGTATCATGGGACTATAAAGAGATACTGAAGAATCCAAATATGAAGTTGTTCTATGGTACACCGAGAGCGATACCTTTGGGTCAATCGATTGACTGCCCTGCAATGGAGGGCACAGATCTATATGGTAACAAGATCAAGTATCCACTGATAGACATGCCACCAAACACTCCAATGTTGATGTGCGTCACTTTGAAGCCATTCTTTGGTCAGAGCTTCATCGACAGTTGGGTCGAACCATTCAAACAGAGATATCCATCACTATCCATCCATCACGTCGTACTCATACAACAGACTGGCTACAAAATATTAGCACCTCTATTCAAGAAATCAAGACAATCCAAGTCACAAGGTATCACAGAGTCATGGTGTAATCAACAGATGCATATTAGAGGTAAGACAATTGGAATGAATGTCACTCATTCAATCACTCACACTCAATCAACATTGTGATCGTTTAGACGTCAACCAGATTCATCAAACATTGACTATTAGTAATCCATTGGGAGCATACTTTTATCTTATTATGGATGGAAAGATTAGATGGAAGTCATCGGGCAAGGCTACGCCAGAAGAGATTGATTCACTTCTAAAGGTCACAAACACATTGATGACAACTCCATCACCATTGGCACAGGGTCCAGGCGCCAATAAAAAGCAACAACAACAGCAACAACAACAGTTGCAATAATAGTATTTATAGTATTATAATATCCTTTGTTGGTTGATCATTGGTCATCGTACATATGATTTCAATTCGACTTCATACATTCTCATTGTGATTGGGCACACGATCAGATCAATGTTACCCCACAACACGCTCACCAATCAATCAATTTGATCATCACTGCCCCGTCATCAATCAGTTCTATATCATTCATTCATATATTGATTACAAATATATAGATATATATCATATAATATAAGATGATGGACACAAGTGGAAAGACAGTGGAGAGAAAGAAGACCTCAACCACAAGCGATGACAAGGTGGTCAAGGACACACAACAACAACAACAACAGACAAAGAAGCAAGCGCTACCAGTGAAGAAACCAAACTTCATTGTCGCTTGTATATTGGCTATGCGTCCATGGTCATTGACTGCTGGTGCCAGCTGTGCGATGGTCGGAACTGCACTGGCCAATCGCTTCTACGATATCTACGACCCGGTGACGTTCGCCATCGTGATGGTGGGCGCCGTGTCAACACAGGTCTTTGGCAACCTGATCAACTCATACTACGACTTTGCCAGCGGCGTCGACCAGCCACAGGACGCGGCCGACCGCACCATGTTTGATCTGGGACTGACCCAGAAGCATGTGTCCACACTTATCTTTATGAGCTTGATCAGTGCCTTTGTGTCGCTGTGCTCGCTCGTCTACAGGATGCCGCCCGATGTCGTGGTCACCCAACTGCTGCCCCTGGTCATGTTTGGTGCGCTGCTCACGGTGGCCTACACAGCAGCACCCTTCAACCTAAAGTACCGCGGACTGGGCGATGTGGTCATTGTCATCTGCTTCGGACCACTCATCATTCAAGGTTCATTCATTGCTCAGACACACTTTGCAGACAACTTTGTCTACCTATTCTCGATTCCACTGGCCCTGACCATCGAAGGCATTCTTCACGTCAACAACACACGTGACATAGTATCAGACAGACGTGCCAATGCCACAACACTAGCCAACATCATTGGTCACAAGAACTCACTATACTTCTACATCATGTTATATGTTTTGTAAGTCCCTTCATCGTCCTCGCTGCCCCTCGCTCATTCGTTCACTCACTGACTCAATCAATCAAACAGGGCGTATGGAGTACAACTATACCTATCATTGCAGGTTGGTAGCAACATGATCAATCTTCCATTCATTGTCGTGCCCAAGTTGTTCAGTACACTCATTCCAAAGTTCAAGAGAGGTGAGTTTGGAGACTTGGTCGAACAAACAGCCCAGTTCTCCTTCTTCTTTGGTGGACTATCCACCGTTGGTATACTTTACAGTCATCTTCCATTCTATGCCTCATCGTCAACATTATAATCAATATCATTCATTCAATCAATCAATAATGGACCAACTCCAACTCCAACTCCAAACTCCAACTTCACTCCATCATCCAAGACGAAGATGGATCAATCAATATTAATATATATTAAATTAAAGAGATATATATATTTATTATTATTATTATTATTATACATTGATGAATTACCAATGGAAGGCAAAGGATATCGTATTCGTTGGCTGGTCTATCTCGCTCACTTAATCACCTGATCAATAGTTGCTTGGTGGACTTGATGGTGGTGGACTGACAACATCCTGATCATAACTAAAGTCTTGCTCCGGACTCCTCTGTGGCGAGGACATATTGGTAATCTTTGGGATTCTCCTCTGTATATATTTGGGATAGTTCCAGTTGTCAGTGATTGATCATCCATCATCAATCAATCAATCAATCAAATATACTACTTACACTGAACTTTGAAAGGAACTCCTTGATGTTGTTCTCTGAAGACCACAGCTTGAGCTGATCGACACTGTCACGTACTTTGGTCTTGAATTGGTTGATCTTCTCTTCGACTTGGAGAGCCTTCTCCTTGAACACACCGACGTTCATCTCCTTGCCAGTGTAGCCTCGCTTCAGGTTTCTCTTGACATAGTCATCGTAGTCCTTGACGATGCGCAGGATGATGTCCGATGTGGAGATGCCGTCCGTACGCTTGATCGTCATGAACTTGCCCTGATCCTTGACAAACTGATAGATGTCGTTGCCGTCCTTGTCCAAACAGGCGTCCTCACCATGCGACACAAAGTCAATCTTGTGCTCGTCGATGAATTCTTGTGTGATGATCCAGGGCGCGTGCTCGACCACCTCGTCCACCCAGCGGCAGTGGCGCAGCGACTCAGCGCGCTCCACGTCGGTCATGACGGTCTTGCCCTTGAGTCTGTGTGTCATCTCGTCGTTGCAGACGCCAACGATCAGGTATGTGTTGGGGAACAGACTCTTGGCCTGCTGCAGCGAGCGGGCGTGACCAAAGTGGAACAGGTCATATATACCATCGGCATAGACGCGCACTGGACGATCAGTTGGAGGTGGATTTGGTGTGTAGACCTTTTGTTTCTTTAAACTCTGTTGTTGTTGTTGCTGTTGATGTTGTTGTTGAAGTTGAAGATGTTCACTTCCACTGCTCTCATCACTGCTATTGCTCTGATCCTCATCTATAGTTCTCTTCTTTGTCATTCTTTGATTATTTGATTTGTTTGATTGATAGTTATATGTATGAATGTATGAGTTGTGTCACTGTATTTGTATAAATATATGTTTCAAGTGTAGTTGGTACCTTATTATACAAGACAGGACGACCCCACTACCAACACCATCAATATCCTCATCATTAATCGCCAGAGTTAGTCAGTGATCATAGTGTGTGTGGGGGGGGAGGGGTGGGTTCCAACATAGATCAGTTCATACCACAAACAACCACTAAATGTGGCTCTGATCAAAAGTCGGCTCATGTGAGTCATTAAAAGATCTTGACTTGCCGAGTGATCAAGTCAAACCCAAGTTCAACGAACTTGTTTCAAGATGCAAGATGCCATCGTGTGTTCCAGTTCCCAAGTTGAATGAATGACTCAGCCAATCATTATTCATTCATTGTTGTGTATTACTAACTACTACTACTACTGTCATTGTTGTTGAAGTAATAAGAAAATGCAATGTTCTCTTGGTTGATATAGGTGTTGATCAATGGTGATGTACCACCTGCTACCAATATCTATGTATGTCAATGTAATAGTAATTGTTAGATGATGTGATTGATTGATTGATTGGATCAATGGTCAGTCTGTCAGTCAATACATACTTGGTTCCTTTGCAATGGATTATATGCTAGAGTATAGAGTATATCATTGGTCGAAGGTACCTTCATCAACAAGTTACCATCCAGTCCATAATAGTTTACAATTCTTTCACTTCCACATGCCATCACCTTGATTGATTGATTGATTGAATGAATGTATGGTTAGTGATCGGATCGAACAATCATTCTAGCACAAGATACATACTCTATCCTTCTCAAAGATGACAGAGTGGAATGATTCACATGGACGATTTGAGAGCATGGCAGACATGGTGTTCAGTTTGCCAAGGTACCACATGGTCAATGTGCTGCCACCAACTACCAACCAGTTGCCAGTGACATCAAAGTCCAAAGCACCCGTCCAATGATTGCTTTGTTGTTCTGAAGATGCTGGTGTACTAGTACCATTGACATGGCCATTGGTGGTGGAGGTGGAGTCTGGTGCCATTGACTTCTTTAGATGAGGCGTAAGGATTGTTTGACATTGAGCTGTGTTGGTGTCCCATATTCTAACAGTGGCATCCTCTGATGATGTGATCAGAGTGTTGTATGATCTGTTCCACTTGACCTGATGTACATAGTCCTTGTGGCCGACGAATGATGCAACGTTGCGACCGCTCCTTATATCCCAACAATAGGCGTTTGAGTTTCCACAACCAATGTACAGTTTACCATTGCTATCCCTGTCCATTCCATTGATCTCACTACGTTCAGACAATGCACCTCTCGTTCCAACCTTCTGAGGTGAAGGTATATCATAAAGATGTTTGATTGTTCTATTAACACCGCTCGCTGTTGGGTCTTCTCTTTTACTCTCTGTTGATTGATGTATGAATGAGTTAGTGATTGGTCGATGGAGTGATTGAGTGATGCAGATCACATACTTATGATATCTTTGATCAATTGCCAGTCCCATGCACGTATCTCTGTATCATCTGAGGATAGGAGTTGACTGTCGTCATAGAATAGTAGACAGTTGACAGGTGTGTTGTGCGCCTTGAATGAGTATGAGCATGTGTAGTCATCGTATTGATGATCTATCATCATCATCTGTTGTTGTTGTTGTTGTTTGTTATTGCCATTGATATGATTGCTACTGTTACTACTACTAACACTACCACCATGTAATAGAGGAGTGTTGAGATACCAGATGTTGATGTAACCAAAGTTGTTGGCGGCAACCAAGTAGTCACCGCACTCTGAGAACACTGTACACAGTACTATAGTCTCACGTTGTTCTATATCCCTTTTATGTTGTTGATATTGAGGTGTATCCATTATTTATTATATGTTAAGTTCATGAATGAAATGAATGATCTTGATCTTCATTCATTCATTCGCGAAAGTTGACTCGCGTGAACCTGGCAACACACTGGCAAATTGCGGAAACAAGGAAAGGCAAGGGGTGCGAGGGTCATTGGGTCGGAGATGAATGTTTATTCTTTGTGTTCGACGCGACGAGATAAGATATATATGTCTTAATGTCTCTTGACACGCTTGTTCTTGCCTGGTCTGGAGGCAGAGGCAGCCCTCTTCTTTGCGGCAAAGGCCTTCTTGACATCCTCGTTGTTCTTCTTTGGATTGAATGCTTTGGTGTTGTTTGTTGACTCTCTGGTGTTGGACTTGGCGTGTCTCTTCTTGCCACCAAAGCCATACTTCTCATCCTTTGCTGTGCGCTTCGCTCCCTTTGTTGGCAATGTATCTCTCTTTCTCTTATTATCGCCACCAACACTGCCACTTCTCTTCCTCTTATCATCCTCCTCCTTCTTCTCAATAAGATCAATAGAGAAGTCATCAGAGACATTACCCTTCTCACGGTCTATATAGTTGGTTGGTAAGAAGTATGTTAGTCTCACATGTATGAACGAATGAATGAATGAATGAGGGTACTCACTCTTTCTCCAGTTCTTGACTGCATCGAGCTGTTGTGTCTTCTCCTTTTGACGATCTTGTGCCTTTTGGACTTGGATCTGCTTGCCAAACTTCTTGGTCTGACGCTTCTGACGAATGATATCGGCCTTCTCAATGCGCTTCCTGTCCTCTGTCAGCTTGGCCTTGATCTTGTACATCTGTTGATCAGACTTGACCATCTCGGCAAAGTAATCTGGCTTCCTCTCCACTGGCAACTTGTTATCCTTGCACAACTTCTCACAAAGTAAAACAGAGTCCATAGTATGTTTATAGCTAGATTGATTGAGTATGAGTGAGTGATTGATTGATCAGGTGATGGGATAGTCCGTGTGGCGGTACTTACAATGACATCTCACGAGCAAAGTCGTCATGGATGTTCTGGCAATCGAGTGGCTTCTTGGCGGTGACGGCGAGGGTGTGCACCCAGGGTACCTTTCCTCCGACCATCAGACGGAACTCTTGTAACTTTTGGGTGAGTCCAGCTCTGTCGTTTATGGCGTATTTATCGTGGATCATCTTCTTTTGTGCCAATTGTTGCTTGGCCTGCTCGTCCTCCTCGTCTTGTTCGTCCTGCTCGTCCTCGTCCTCCTCATCCTCGCTGAGGTCTGATGTCTCGATTGGCACGTTGTCCTCTTCGGTGAGCTCTCTGATCATTGGGGCTGGCTTCTGCTTGCCTGCGAGTCTCTGTTGTTCCAAGATCTCCTTGACGCTGGCCACACCTTGGAATGACTTGCCAGTGAGATTGAGCTCCTTTGACAACTTCTTGGTTGGGATGGCCATTGGGGCGTCGACCTCCTCATCGTCATATTCCTCCTCCTCTTCCTCTTCCTCCTCTTCTTCATCATCATCGTCGTAGACATCATGTACAAGGTCATCGATCTCCTCCTCCATCATCTGAGCCTCGTCTTCCACGTCACCCTCATACTCCTCCTCATCCTCGTCGCCGTCATCGAGTTCCTCAAGCTCCTCATCATCACCATCCTCGAGCTCCTCCTCCTCGTCGTCGTCCTCGATATCGTCGACGCCTTGGTTCTCCTCCTCTTCTCCATCGTCGTCAAAGTCCATTGCGTCATCACCACTGATGTCCTCGTCCTCAAATTCCTCGTCCTCGGGTGGGTCATACTCTCCACTGATGATACCCTGCAACATTGACTTCAAATCATCTTCACTTGGTCTCTTTCCATTCTTATTAGTTTGTTGTTGTTGTGATTGTTGCTTCTTCTGTGGCTGTGTAGTTGTGATTGGCTTTTTCGAAGTTGTAGTTATTGCCGTTGTATTCTTTGTTGACTTTTGTTGCTGCTGCTGCTTTGAAACAACTTGCTGCTTTGTTTGTGTTTTCATTATATGTTATGTTTAAAAATATATATACATATATTGTATGTTTGAATATACATATGTTGTCAAATGATTGAAGGAAAGAAATTAAGTCGAGTCGAGTGGGAGATGTTTCATTCGTCTTTCGTTTTTTTTTGATTGTGAAGTTTTTGAAAATTAAATTAAAATTAATTAAAAGTAATCAATCACAATCATATTGTATAATATTAATATAAATTTAATTGATACGCACTTCATCAATGGAATGTCCTAGCTGGTGATATGACTCGTTCAGAGGGTTGTTGACAACTGTGATTGAGATTGATTGGACGTTGGAGAATATTGGTTTGTTGAGATATGATTTCAGTGCATCAAGTTGTGATCGAAGTGTTCCAGTCACCTCAAATAAGATCAATTTGTCGATAAAGTTGAGACGAATTGATATTGAAGTAATTGGTGCGGAGCACTTTGGAAGAAGTTCAGATACAATGGACAAGTCGTATGTGTTGATGGTCAGTGTGTAGGGCATTTGTGCAATCCCATCCTCATTGCGAGAGTAGAACCGCTGGAGATTCTCCATCTTGATGTCCCATTTCTCATGTGACTGGGAATTGATTTCATCGTCAATCAATACTTCTCGGACATTGGGCATTGATGATATTGCTGTAAAAGATTCATGAAGTGGCAGTACCAATGATGTGATGTGTGGATGTACCTCGCCAGGTACCACATTCGAGCCCAGAGAGTAAAGCAACATCTTGTGAGCATGTACGAGGATTTGATTTGGGTCATTCCAAGTATGGTCAATCAATGATGGAGCAAGTCGAGGGTTTGAGGTTGATGTCGACTTGAACGAGAATGACCTTAGGTTCACAACCTTGTACATATCCAAACAATTCTTGAAGTATTGTCCAAACAATAACAGATCGTTTCCTGGTTTGAGCTTCTGGTCTTGTCTGACTCGGTAGACCTTAAGGAAGTGCTTGTAGTTCAGTGGCGTTGATACGTGGACACCACCATCGCCTTCAATTGACTCCAAGTCTGAACAGAATATTTTGTTAGCTATTATATGTAGTTTGCTTCTGTATAAAATATTTGTTCGACAAATTGGATGGGCTTCAATTGAGTTGTTTGACCAAGAAGTAATGGGATATAAGCTGGATCATCAAAACAATGGTGACAGAGGTGATATGGTACGGTCAGTGATTCCAATCGATTGATACATCGCTGAAGTTGATCGTTTGGTATATATTGGAGTTCCAATACATTGATATGAAGTGGTGTGTCTTGGAATAGACAATAAGATGATCCAATATGATTGATTGATTGATACAATCTGATTGATTCAACTGGTTGATGGGTCAATATCCTCATGCATATCTTGTGGATGTGAGTGGATACTGTGGCCAAGTCAACGACCCATTGACATGATACATCAGTGCTGACACCATTGCCATGAATAGCCATCTGGACAATATGTTGTGAGTAGCTCGACATTGTTGTTATGTGTGTCGACATGGCCATCAATGAACTGCTTGAGCTCCATTCGATATATCGTCATCATATGTTGATTGAGTGCCATGGTTGATTGAGATGATTGGCAGTAGAATAGGTAGGCCATCGATGCAAACAAGTATACATTGTTATTTGTCGCTTCAAAGATTGTTAAAGCTCCACGTGATGCTTGTATCAAGTCCAATTGTGTTGCCTTGTATATGTCAGACCAGAAACCAGTCTCAACTTTGAAGAAGTTAGGTATTCGAAGTATGTGATTGAGCAACCCCAATGGCAATGGTCTGTCTTTTCCATGTGACTTGAATCGATCAATGACACATCCATAAAGGATCATAATCTTATAATCATATGGACGATGATTCACCTTCCAACTCGCCTTGATACCGATGATGTATGATTCCAACTCTTCATATTTCTAATTGAAAGGGTGAGTACAAGTGTCAGTCAGTATACAGTAGGGTAGTTTATCATCAAGATTGGTTGGCCTACCTCAATGAATAATGTTGGATCAATGATCTCGATCAACTTGACCATGTTGTGGATATCGAATGATTTGAACCATGTTGGACTGAAGTATAGTTCGATTGGTATGAGCACTGGATAGAACAGAGTCCAGAAGGAATTGAAGTGTCCACGGGATGGTTGAAACAAGTCCAATATTCGCTGTATGTTTGATTCATTGTCCACAATAACATCCCTCATATCCAATGACAACCATCTATTCAACTCATTAAGGTATCATTTGAAATAAGGTATATCCCTATAATATTCTAAATTGATCATAAAGAGGCTATTGAGTGATTGATTGATTGATTGATTGAATGTGGTGAGTGAATGATTGAGGGCATGTGATGGCAGCCTTACTTACTCAAAGATTGATTGTTTGTTCTCAACATGATGATAGAAGATTGATTGTGTCTTGTCCTCAATGGTCAATAGATAGTACATGAGTATTAATGATGTCTCTGAGCTTAATGGTTGTTTGTTGACCTTCCACTCATTGAACACTCGGGTGAAGTATCGATCAAAGTGTCCTTCACCAAATGCTGTCAGGCTATGACGGAATGCAGCAGCATACTCTTTCCAAACATCATGATGATATCAAAGATGATGAATATAAGCAGTTTGTACCATTCGATTGATATAGTGTTGAAACAGCTGCTCAACTTGGTCATCGTCGCTGTCTTTGGACATTAGTGAGGAGATCAGTGAGCGTATGTTGTTGATGAAGAAGTTATCCAAACGTCTTGATACAAGATCAATGTATGATCTGGTTATGTCGAACAGAGTAATGTTCAAACCACTCATTGTTGGTATCATTGGAATTGATAATACATTGTATTCCTTTTGTGATTTTGAAACAGCTACTTCAGTTGCTGCTGTTGACCTTGAATCAATCACAAACATGATACGATGAATTCTTGAGAGAATGGCATATAATGATGAAGGTATTGATCGCTCCTTTAAAGATATAATGATCTGATTGATGAAGGCCTGTAAGTATAATTGAGTTATTGTGAGAGAGAGGGTGACTCACCTCGGCGATCTGAGGCATGCCATTGAGTAGATCAACAGTAGTGAGCAAGGTAGGTATCTCCATGACCAACGACTGAATGAATGATGTTATGGTTATTTGATGCTCACTTCATAGATTTGATTGGAATTGTGAGATGTGGAGGATGTTTGATTTAAGGATTTGTTGACTATAATCATTGAGATGGACTGGATGTTGGAGAATACTGGTTGATCAAGAAATGAAGATAGTGTATCAAATTGATCCATATGTTCCAGTAACTTCAGGTATGATCAATCTATCAATAAAGTTGAGACGAATTGTAATTGAAGTGATAGTTGTTGGAAGTAATTTAATGTCATGTGTGCTTATGGTAGAAAGAGTATCATGATCAGCAACAATTTTCATCAATAATATAAAATAACCAACAACAATCTAAAAGAAGAAAGTGACAAGTGATATTTATTTGAGCTCGATAATATTGCAGAGCGATCCTGTGATATTGAGGGTATTTGCAGCTCCAAATTCGTTGGAAATCAGGAGAGCCACTGAAGTGCCCTCTGGTTTCTCCATTATTCCTTTGGTTGAGATCTCGTCTTGATATGCGGTTCCATGCACAAGGTCCTTGAAGAGATAGATTATGCATAAATCTGGGTAGGCAGCACTACCATGAGCATAGCCAAGGTAAGGTGTATAATAATAATCTGGCAGGTAATCCATATCCATGGTAATTGAGGTGTTGAAGAGCGTTCCATTCGATCCGGGGAAATGTAGCATGCAAGCAGTACCGTCAACATACCATGATGTTGAGATATCCAGACAGTTTACCTCATACTTGGGATCTCCGGCGAGCACATCAGGCCTCCTCTTGGAGCTGTTCAAACTATCGATTTTGTTTGTTTATAAACAGCCAGACAATAAGTGAATGTCAATGAGATAAGTAAAATCTAAAAAGCAGTAGATTGATACATATTGTATTGTATGTTGGATGTTTGTATATAAACTTGATTTGATAATATACAACAAGTTAAGTAGAAGGATCAGTATTTATAATACTCTTGTTTGTTTGATAGAATCAAATGATACGACGTTACAAATCTAAAGAACAAATTGAATTAATTTTGGACAAGTCTGTTGAACTTTGTTGGAAGTTTCCAAATCAATGGAAACGAAAATTCGTATTATTTGTTTACGCATCTGTCAGTAACTCATGAGTTGGGTTACAGGAGAAACCACATGTCTCGTGGGTCTCAATTGGGACCAACCCGAAATGTCATCACCAGTAGAGTGCCGTTTATTTGAATGTATTCAGACTGATGAGGAAGATGATTATGTAGGTATTTCCATAAATGAATGATGTAGTTTATTTGATGCGTACTTCTTGGATTCGATTGGAATTGTGAGATGTGGATAGTGTTTGGTTTATGGGTTTGTTGACTATATTGATTGAGATGGACTGGATGTTGGAGAATATTGTTTGATTGAGATATGATGTCAGTGCATCAAGTTGTGATCGAAGTGTTCCAGCCACTTCAGATATGATCAATCTATCAATAAGATTGAGTTGAATTGATATTGAAGTGATTGTTGTTGTACACTTTGGAAGAAGATCAATTACATGAGTAATGTCATTTGTGTTGATGGTCAGTGTGTAGGGTAGACGTGTATTGCCGTCCTCACCCTTGTAGAACTTTTGGAGATTCTCGGTCTTGCTGGTATGCCAGTTGCCAGTCTTTGGATTATCATCATTAATTAACACTTCTTGAACATTGGACATAGATGGAATTGGTCCAACAAAATATTGATTGAGTGGCAACACAAATGATGTGATATGTGGATTATCTTTGCCTAAATGTAAAGACGAACGAGTGCCATAAGTATACTGATACTTCATTGTTGTGTTGGCACTGGACAACAACGTAATCATATCCTCTGTTTCCTCTTTGTATCCGCTTATCATGAATAAATCAGATCCTTCCAATGGGTTTGTGATGGATGTTGTCGTCCTGAATGTGATTGATCTGGGTTGGTCGCCAACCTTGTCGTTATCCAAACATTTCTTGAAGTACTTTCCAAACAATAGAGTCTCGTCATGTTGAGACATTCGGAAGACCTTAAGGAATTGATTGTGGTTCTTTAAATGATTGGGAACTTTGTGTTCAATTTCCAAATATCCGCCATAATCATTTTCGATGTAGTCTAAGAAGACAAACTCTTCGTCTATCAAGCCAAGACAAAAGGTATTGTTATGATTCAGTTGTTTCTTGCTGTTACTATATAGCAATATATGTTCGACAAATTGGATACGTCTCAATTGTGTTGGACCATGAAGCATTGGGATGTATGCCTGACCTGCAAAACCATCAATGGGTGCAATGTTGCTATGTGTGTAATATGGCACGGTCAGTGATTCCAATCGATCGACACAACGTTGGAGTTGATTGATCGGTATATATCTGAGCTCCAATGCATTGATATGAAGTGGTGTGTCTTGGAATAGACAATAAGTTGATCCAAAATGATTGATCGATTGAGATAAATTGATTGATTCAACTGGTTGATGAGACAATATCTTTGTACATATCTTGTGAAAGTGAGTGGATACTGTGGCCAAGTCAACGACCCATTGACATGATACATCAGTGCTGACACCATTGCCATGAATGGCCATCTCAACAATAAGTTGGAGGACGATCAGTGGAAGAGTTGGCAGTGATTGCTGTTGCTTCCTGGTTTTCAACATTGAATGAATGAATGATTGTCGTTTGAATTGTTTGAATTCCAGGAGATGTTGTTCTATCTCGACTCCACCACCTCCATTGGACTGAGTGATTGCCTTGATCAGTGTGTCCTTGTATGACTTGTATCTGTTTGATTGATTGAACTCGGTGAATGCCTGGAGACAATATGCATACTTGAGGAAATGGAATGTTGACGAACATTGCCCAACGTCATGGACAATCTGGAATGACTGATCAAGTAGCTCAAATTGGCTGTGTCTATGTTGTTGTTGTTGGTTGTTTCTCCAAACTTGTTTTGGATCTGGCTCAACTGGATGTTTATCAACATTGATCCTCCAATCAATTAATGCCATCAATACATTGATATTGAGTGATCTTATCAATGATAGTTGTACTTTTCGATCGACAAAACCATTGACTATCTGTACAACCACATCCATATCAACGGACAACTGTTGGAGACATGTGGTGAGAAAGACCATATTGTTGAACTTTGCCACACTAAAATATCTCTCCAAGAACTGTTTGATCTCTTGGGGATAAGTTGTGATCATATGATGATTGAGTGTCGATAATGCCACTGTTGATTGAGATACTGGGCAGCAGTAGAATAGGTAGGCAATGGATGCGAATATGAATATATTACTTTTTCGAGTCTCGAGATATGTAGCCAATGCCCCAAGTGAAGCCACCATCAAATCGTTTTGTGATGCTTTGTATATTCCAGACCAAAAGTCAATGCAAACCATGTAAGATTTATGAATGCTATCTATATGGTTGAGCAACTTCTTTGACAATGGTCTACCATTGCCATGTGTCCTGAGGCCATCAATGAACATGCCAAACAGTATCATATTCTTATAATCATGTGGACGCATCTCTTCCTTAAATGAACTTGCCTGTATAATTGCTTCCTCCAACTCATCACAATGCTAAAGAACAATTTGTCAGGTCAGTAAGTGTTGTTAGATTGAGTCATCTAGATAAATTACCATTATGAATTGTAATGGATCAATGATTTTGATCAACTTGATCATGCTGTCAACATTGAGATACTTGTACCATGATGGATTCAAGTATCGACTGACTTTGGCCAGTATAGGATGGAACAATGACCAATATTTGTTGATGTGATCCAGATTTGAATTCAGCAACTTGATAATTCGCTGGATATTGTAGGGCAAACTCACAATACTGTCCATTAAATACATCAACAATGTATTCAACTCATCAATATACCAAGAGTTGTTGACACCAATATAGTATTCGATATTATCCATAAAGAGACTATATTGATTGATTGAGTGAGTGAGCTTGATATCAATCATTGATTGTATGATGGACCTACTCAAAGATTGATTGTTCGTTATCTTGTTGGTAGATGATTGATTGTGTCTTGTCTTGGATGGTCATGATATAGTGCATGAGTACTAGTGATGTCTCTGAACTTATTGGTTGATTGAACTTCCACTCATTGAACACTCGTGTGAAGTATCGATCAAAGTAGTCATCACCAAATGTTGACAGACGACTACGGAATGCTTTAGATAGTTGACTCCATCCATTATTACGAAATGGAAGATCTTCAATGAATGATGAATGTACCATTCGATCGATAAAGTGTTGTGTCACCTGCTCCTCCTGGTCGTCAGTCGGCAATGACCTGAGAAGCACATCGATGTTGGACCTGAACTTGTCATCCAGACACAGACTGACAATGTCAATGTATGACTTGGTAATGTCAAGCAAAGTGATTCGAACATCATTCATTGATGATAGCAATGGTGCAAAAATGACCCAGATTGTAGTGCCATCAGGTTGTACTTGTGTCTCAATCATCTTTGATTGAGACTGAGATTGTGATACAAACTTGATCTGTTTCAACATTGACTGATCAATAACTACTTTTGTCTGGCGTTCATCTTGTGAACATTTCTAATGTTTGTTTGATTGATTGGATGATTAGTGACAACTCCAAAGTGATCATGAGTTAAGATTGATTGATCAGGACTCACTTGGGCAATTTGTGGTAGAGCGTTGAGTACCTCAACAGGTGTCTTAAAGGAATACATATGCTCCATCTCTTATAAATATATACTTTGCAATCATAAACAGTATTAATAGACTTCACCATATTTGCAGAATATTCTTTTTATCTCCCTGATCACCGATCAGGGGATATTTTTGGAGTTGCGGGAACGGGAAGTTCATTTTGATCAATGGGGAATTACATAATTAAATTTAATTAATATATATATATATATATTTATAAATATATCAAGAAGAAGACTTTGAATTAGTTGGGGAACTAATTTGATGGTCATCCAACTCGCGTAACTTGCTCTGGTAAAGTTGATTGATGTTGTCATCAATGTCAATGTCCTTCTTTTTACAGTCGTCCATCACTCGATCCAATTCATGCCTGTTCTTGCTCCAACCAATACGTCTTGGAATGTTCCATATATCAAGCTCGCGCTCAGTCATCATCTTACAATCGATCGTATCACACATTGGTAACAGTGCTTGAGTTGCCAGACGTGGGAAGAATGTCAAGCCAGTCGATCGCTCCAATGATTGCAGCGACACCTGGTAGTCGGTCAGCACGGCGTCTGAAGGGATGGGCTCGTTCGGGATGACAAAGGCACCCAGCAGCGCGGGTGCATCGCCAGACTTCTGCTCCAGCAGTATGACCTTGAACAAATGTGATGGCACCGCCACGTTGTTGTCTCCAATCACCTCGTGCTTGACAAATGTCCTGTGAGTGCGCTTGTATCGTGATGGCCGCTCATCGGCCACGATGGGTATGGGCTCCACGAGACCGGCCTTGAACACGGGTCCCGACACGACTGTGACCGAGTCAAACATGCGGGGCARGGTTCGACTTGCAGAACACTTCGAGACGATACCAAAAGTTGCCATTGTTCTGCATGTTCTGTGGCACGATGTTTGAGTTGAGCAAGAATGTCTGGTCCATGTTTGTTTGAGGGTAACGCGCCATGTCTGATGCGGGAACCATGTGTCCGCGCGACCACCCGCTGCCCAGGTAGTCCTTGTTGTCTGCTCTAAAGTGCTCATCAATGTGAGGCACCCTGCCTGTGAAGTTGCTCTTCTTTCGATCGCTCAGCTTCTCCTTGTCGGGGCCATTGTCGAATCGCTGCACGACCCAGTTGGGTATCTTGCGCTCATAGTTGTGCGAGACGATGAACTGGTCGTAGAACCAGATGTTGGCATTGCCTGGCAGGCCATAGTGCATCAGTTGACGATGTCGGTTCGATGTGGGCAGTGGGGAGCCAAACTTTTGGATGGTGTCGCGGTCTGCATCGATCGCGCGTGGCAGACTGAGATGCATGCTGGCCAGGTCGCTGATGAGCTGGCGCTGTCTAGTCATCGCCAATGCATTATCATTGAGTGCTGCGGTCAGTCTGGCGATGGTCTCGCGCTCCTGACGCTGGTACTCCACCTCTGTCTGCACAATCTCCTTTAGTCTCGCTGTGTCACGCTCCTGTTCATTGGCCGCTTGATGTATTGTCAACAGTTGTACAGTCGCCAGTATACCAACAGCGCGTGGTCCAATCGCTACAATCACTCTCTTGACCATATCCATTGTTTATATCTTTCTTTGAGCTATGATCTTCAATGATTGATTTGAAACGAATGATACAATTTGGTCGTTTTTTCAAAGAATGATCACTTTTTGATCAATTCTTGGACAATCCAAAGACTTCTAATTCAATCAAACATGTTAGAGAGACCTGGATCATAGCAATAGTACATTTTATATTTACTTTATTGGTTGTGATATTATTGATAGAGATAATATATTATTATTATTATACAATTATTGTTGAAAGGAAGTCTTGGAAACGTTTGGAATACTCTGCTGGCGAAACAGAGGATATCTCATGCTTGGACCCTGATCCAAACTTCAATGTCTTGTAGGTGTGCTCCAACTTCTTCCTCAAACTGTACAACATTAATATATCGATTATACCCATAAAGTAATGCTCATCATTGGCCTGGCCATCCTCATCCACTCCCTTAATTCCTCCCTCATCCTGTTGGAATGCAGATGTATATACTCTGTTTGATTGAATCGTTAGTCATATGGTCAGTGTCAATCATTCAATCAATGTATGTATACATACTCATTTGGCTCTTCGAAACTCTTCATTGATCTGCTCAGCACTGGCGAGTCATCTTGGCTGTCGTCCAATGTGTGGCGCATCAGGGATGGAGATGGTGGGTCTCTGCTCGCAAAATGGATACCAATCAGCAATGAGTAGTCCATAATATTCAGTGATTGTAACAGCTAGAATGGATGAATGGATGGTCAGTCTTGGTGATCGATCAATCAATCAATCAATCATATTCATGGACATACCTCACAATCCTTCTTGATCTGATCCAGGAAGATGGCAGACTTTTGAGGACCGATGCATATCTTCTTGTTCCTGTTCCTAAAGTCAATGTCCTTGAATGTGACGGAATCGGACTTCTTCTCATTCTCTGACGCCTCCCTGCCAACGATCGAACCCTTCAAGTCATATCTCTCATGGATCTTCTTTCGCGTTGGGAAGTTGTTGCCCATCACCACGAAGCGCACTTGACGTCCACCATGTGGCTTCACTCTGAACAGTCCAAAGAACTTTGGCAACAATGTGTTTGGATTGCTGGTGAGATGCTGTTTGGATTGTTGGATGGAGAGGATTAGTGATGTGGCGGGGCGCGAGAGGACAAGACCACTACTTACATCAGTGTAGGCGGGCAGTAGTTCACGCAAGAGTTTGGCCTCATCCTTGGGAATGGTCTTGAGGATGTATTTCATGTCGTGCGAGAAGAAGAAGAGTGAGCCACTCTTGCCAGGCGTGGGCAACTCTCGCAAGGCATTCTCACCATTCTTGAGCGTGTTGCACAGTGACACGAGGAAGTCAGCCTGATCAATGCCAAACTGGTAGCGCAGATAGCGGAATGCGTTTGGACAGTAGTCCTTGAACTTGAAGGCGCCGGTAGAGTGCGCCTCGGTCAGATGCGAGCCGGCCGAGTCGAAGCGCAGCTCCTTGGGCGACTGGTAGAACTCGGACATGTTCCTAAAGTCCTTTGGTGTGCGCAATGTGTGGAACTGTTGGGGCATCGATCCGGCGCCACTTCTCATGCTCTTGCCCACAGCATTCCTAATACCAGTCTGGATGTTCAGCATCAGTGCCCACGATGGATGTCCCTTGTATATAATCTCGCCCAATACATTCTTCTTGTGTTCAAAGCGAATGCTCTTTGGTCGATGTGAGAGACGTTTCTCTGAACCTACATCATTGAGTGAGTTGACGACGAGTCGTTAGACGTTGTTACCTCTACCGCCACTGGCCAAGCACTACTACTTACCCTTCTTCAACTTGATCCTCTGACTCTGATTGAGCTTGTTCTTGGACATTGTGTCTGTTAAGCTGTCATCGTTGATTGTAGCCTTGAGTGGATTGGGTAATGTTGTTGTTGTGGTCGTGGTCGTTGTTGTGGTGATCAATGTGGTAGAGGTTGTTGTGGTCGAGGTCGAGGTCGTGACGAATGGCGTCGCAGCAGTAGAGTTGGGTGGGATTGGGATCATGTCAGCACCAGCCATCGAACCAGGTGATGGAGGCAGTAACACGCGCACCTCGCCCAATGTTGACTTGCCAGACGAAGAAGAAGAAGGACTAAACATTGACACCTCAATGTTATTAAGTGACTTCTTCATTGACAATGCATCGAGATCATCTGGTGTGGTTGTGCCAGAGTCCTCCTCTGTAGTGTCCTTCTCGTCCACATGTGTCGGTGATGTCTTGTTGTTGTCAACACTTGAATTTAATACATCCTTGTTATTACTACTAATTGTTGTAGGTTGTAACTCCACATCTGTTATCATCATCGCAGATTCCTATTCTTGGGTAGTATTACAACAACAATGTGATTGATTGTGATATATATATATATTTGTTATAACAATGTAATGGTAATTAAGAAAAATAGAGTTGTGTGTGTGATTGGAGTGAAGGGCAAGGCCTGAATGATTGATTGAAAGAGAGAGTGGGTCGTTATTATATGTGTGTGATCAACTGAAAGTTTGATCAATCACTCTCGCACTCACTCACCACAATGTTTGAAAAAATATTCCATTATGTTAAAATGCAAAAAAGTTGTCGTCAGTTGGAATGGAATGATTAATGCAGAGTGAATCCGATGTGTGGACCCTATGTATGTCGTGTCATGGTTGCGGGGGTCGCTTGGGTAGACATTGATTGATTGTGCCAAACGATGCCTCATGTTATTGTATCATTTTATTGATGGATTGATTGAATGATTGAATGAATATAATGATATTGTTGGTTAAGTTCGGAAATAATAATACATGATATAGAGGAAGATCAACACAATGACCATGCCACTATATACAAATATTTTGTCCTGCTGTTGTCTCCTCTTTATCCTGTTGATCACATTCCTAGATAGTCCCAATGTATTCGCAATATCATATATCTTCTTATGTACACTCTATAATAGATGGATGGAATGTTAGCCCATGGTCGTCCGATATATGATCGTCCCGTCCCACCTCTTACCTTTAATCTTGAGTTCTGACCTGCCAGGGCATAAATGATACTGTTTCCCGTATCTGTCATCTCGTCTATTGTTTGATTGCTGTCTTTCAGCAAGTCGTTCTCCTTCATTAGGTTGCTCAATGCGCTGTTCTGTGTATCCTTTCTTCGAGAGAATAGTTTCGATCTCTCCTCATCCTCTATCTGTTTCTTGTAAGTCCTTTGCAAGTACATATCCATTGACTTTCTCAATGACTTGACCTCTTCAGTTAACTTCTTCACCTTACTATAAGTGATTGAATGATTGAATGTTAGTAGTGTACATCATCATCATCATCATCATCATTGCGCCAACATACATTCTCCAAAGGTCTCTGTTGGCTGGTGACTCATTGGCAACCATGCCATCCAACTGATCTGCAATCCTTGATAGTTGATTGATATCCGCTTGTATCTTCTCTTGTTTGATGACGGTGCTGTCAACACCAAGTTCAACACGTTCCAAGTCTATATTTATAGCCATCAATAGTTTGTTGGCAGCTTTATACTGATCCTCTATTAATGATGGTGATGATGATTGTGTATTTGATGTTGAATGTGATGTGTTTCTACTATATGTCGATGTAGTACTTGTTGTTGAACCTGTACCTATACCTCCTGTACCTCCTGTACCACCAGGCATTGAATAAGGATGATTACTATATTGATTATTATGTTGTTGATACATCTTATTATCTATGTATAAGTATGTGTTTGTTCAGAAGTGAAGTGAAATGAGTAATAAAGTGAAGTGATAGGTGAAGGGAAATGAGTGTTTTGAGCTTGGGGTTGATGATTCACACGATTCAAATTCAGTTATTCATTGAAGTCAACTACGAAGTATGGATCATGAGTCATTGAGTTGAACTTGTAATAGTACTGTACAATTCCAGGTGTCAACTCTATAACAACATGATAAATGAGTTTGCCAGAATACTTGGACAATGTGAATGAATGAATGAATGATTGATTGATGTTGGAACTGGAAATATGTCCAGCTGGTTTAATCCCACTCACTGTCACTGACACATGGTGACTCATCCTCTTGCTTCTTGGTTGGCTCCTCAACATCACGTTGTGAGACGACACGATCCAGGAACATGTTGATCACTTGGTTTCTGCTTGGAGTGTCATCGACGACGACCTCGGCAAACTTGCTGCTCAGATCCTTCTTGACGACGGCGGGTGCGGTGGAAAGTGGTGTCATGTCCGATGGACACAGTGACACGCGTTGTGGCTCCTCCGATGCGCCACCAAACCATTGCTCGGCAGTCATTGTTGGTGTGTTGACACGTGTTGGTGTGTAGATATCGTCCTGGAAGAACTCCAGTCTGTTACGTGGCACGGTGAACTGCAGTGGCTCGACGGTTGTGTCGCTGACCTTGAAGAAGCGAGCAATCTCGCACTTCTTGACGTTGAGCAAGTGCTTGGAGACTGGCGCAATGCCCATCTGAGGTGTGCCGCTGGCGTACTCGGTGAGGAAGTGGACGAATGGCTCTTGATCATTGATCTCGACCATGCGAATCGTACCATCTCCCTTGCCAGCCATGTAGACAACTCCAGTGTCCTCGTCATAGTATGGTGTGATGATACCAGCCAGCTGATCGAGTCCCTTGGTTGTGGTTGGACCAGCAGCCAAGTTTCTTGCATCCCACAAACTGTACTCACGCTCCGATGTCTTGTTGTGACCGACGGAGAAGATGTTGTTGGTGTCTCCAAGCCACAAGGCCTTTGATCCCTTGACTCCAGAGTGTGATGCAACCTCCTATTATTGTACAAACGAATGAGTGAGTCAGTGAGTGAATGAGACGGTAACATGTGGCCAGAGATGAAGACTACTTACAGATACCAATTGGTTGGATCTTGGATCAATGACTCTCATCATCTTGTCCTTGCAACCAGTGAGGAATAGGTCACCCTTGCTGCTGACACTGACGCTGGTGATCATGTCTGTGTGCATGTTGTTGATGGAGAGACGCTCCTTTTGCTGCTCAATGTCCCATAGCTTCACGGCCATATCACCTCCGGTAGAGATGACGACGTTCTCAGCGGTTGGATGGAAGTTAACACTGACGATCTTACGGTTGTGACCAATGAGGTCGGCCTCAAAGTTGGTGTAGTTGAGGATCTTGTTGGTCTTTGGCAGGCCACCCTCTGGCACCTTCCAGATCTTGATGTGCGAGTCCTCAGCGCCGGTCACAATGAGCGATGGGTTGAACTGCGACAGGTCAAAGTCGAGCAGCTGGTTGCCAATCTCAATGCATGGCACGGTGATCTGACGACCGACCTGCGAGATGGGGATGACAGCCAATGGGCCACCAGTGCCGACCCAGGGGACGGCCACGTACTCAGAGTTGGCGGCAATGCATGTGTTGGAAGTGTTACCAAACACCTTGAGGTTGGTGTAGTGAGAGGTCTTTGGCATGGAAACACCAGCAATGTGACGGTACTTGGAGGTACGGACGATCTTGGGGATGATACCAGTGCGCTGGACGTCTGGCTCGCGTCTGCCAAGGGGTGGGGTCGACTGACCCGAGGGTGGGGTGGTGGACTCTGCGACTGGCGAATCGTTAGCAACCTCTGTCTCGTCAGTGTTGTTTGAGCTGAAGCACGACGAGAACACAGACTTGGACTCCTCGCTTCCACTGCTGCTGCTTGAGCTCTGCTTTGGCTTTGGACGGTAAGCTGGGTCGAGAGTGGCAAGCACTGGAACCTTGTTCTCGCCGGCATAGTACTCGGCGGCTTGGAGTGCGGGGGTGGTTGTGGCAGAGATGGGGAAGACATCATCGGCAAACTGGCTCTTGGACTTCCTGGCCATCGAGTAGACGACTGGGATGACGTTGTTTGCTGTGACCTTGAGAAGTCTGTCGATCTCAACCTCCATAACATCGAGTGCGCGCTTTGGCACGGCACAGATGCCCTTGGCTGGGGTGTCAGAGGGAGCAGCGCTCAACTCCTGGAAGGCTGGCTCGGTGGTGAACTGTGTGTTCATGTCGAATGTTCTGATTGTACTGTCGCCCGAGCCGCTAATAAAGAGCAGCTGTGCATCAACGTCGTAGACTGGGCTGATGATGCCTGTTGAGCTGTCAAGGGTGATGGTCTTGATCACCTTGCTGAGATCGCGGCTGTCCCACATGCTGAGCTGTCTCTCGCGTGACTTGGCAAAGCCAGCGGTGACAAAGTAGGCGCTGTTTCCAAGCCATACGACACGGGCGGCCTTGATACCCTGGTGTCCCTCGCCGACGGCCACTGGCTCGCCAACACGTGGATCAAACACGCGGTTCTTGAGGTCCTTTGAGACTGCGGCCAACAAACTGCCGTCATAGTTCCAGGCGATACCAGTGACGCCATTGTCGAAGCAACCAACGCTGTATTTCTCTGATGCTGTCTCGAGGTCCCACACCTTGACGGTCTTGTCTCCCGAGCCCGATGCCAGCACGCCAACGGCAGTTGGATGGAATTGGATGGTCTCGACCACCTTTTGGTGGCCAGACATTGTGGCTGTGGCCTCGGTGAGCTTGGCACCCGAGGCATTCTCTGGCAGCGACCAAAGCTTGATGGTGGCGTCATCCGAGCTGGTGGCGAGCAATGAGTCGTCGAATGGCGAGAAGTCAAAGTCGGCGATCTGACCCGAGTGTGCGTGCACCATGTACACCTCACCCTTGCGCTTTCCGACGCTTGCCAATGGGATCACACCGAGTGCACCTGTGCCCGATTGCCAATTGACTGCGACAAAGTTTGCGCTGGCACGAATGAATGTAGATGCCGCTGACGACTGTGAAGTACTAATATCAGGGTACCAATTCTCTCGCTTATCTATTTTGCCAGTGATGTGGCGATACTTTGATACATTCATTTTGAAAGCCATTCTTTAAATTATTATTATTATTATTCTTTAATATAATATATAATGAATGAATGATGTGTATATTTTGATTGATTGTGTTGTTATATATAAATACAATTGGTTTGTTTGGTTGTTATAAGTATAAGTACAAATAGAGATATATATATAGAGGAGTGCGAATGAGTAAGATACAAGGGGTATGTCCACGAGACTATTCTGAGTTCCCGCGAGCCATTCCAAAGCCATCCTTTTCCAAAATATCAAAGTGTTGTGTTTTGTTGATTTTTTCATTAATTTGAACTTTCTTTCAAGTCCTCTTCCACACTTCCACAGATACATCTTGATCAAACATGAAATATACATATCTTATAAATATATTAATTATCTCTATTATACAAACAACAAACAAACAACAATCACTCTTTCTCTCCTACCTCTCAAATTGGACTTTATGTCTCTAACTCACTAAAGCGATCAATCAATCAATCAATCAATCACTCAACTAACAAACATAATGCCATAGGAAGATGATGATGGGTCGATCATAATGATGATATGTTCCATAACACAGATACTTTTGATACTTGTTTGATGGCTGTGATACTATCGAGTAAGAGTTGTAGAAGGACCATACTAAATTAGACTTTACATATGCATATAATAGTTGGTACCTGCCTGTTGAAGTAAATTGTGCACTGGGATATCTTTGTTCAGGCCAAGTGTCGGTGCTCTCCAACGGAGTTCCTTCTATTAATCACACAACGTTCACTTAAAGGCGATATCATATTGGTCGGCGGGCCCACTCCATTCCCCACCGGGATGTTGTCCGAGGCACAAAGGCCTTTCTGAGTTGTCGGCGAGGTTCTCACTGTGTTGTTAATGTAGGTTCGACGAAACTGTATCGGCATATGAGTCTGTCCAATCTACACCATCCAATTTATGCTCCTTGCAATTCCTCCTTTGATTTGTAAAGCAATATTAGAAATCTCTTTTGTACTTTCTGTCAATGGTAGTATTGTGGCCACGACATCAAGTGATATAAACCCTGTTACCTTGGCTGAATGACGACCCATCCCATCCCATCATCTCTCAAATGGCAATGTTAGTATAAGGTGATCGATCGAACGAATGAGCGAGTGAACGGAGATATAAAGAGAGTGAGGAGAGTAAGAGTGATCGTGTGATTGGATTATTTGTTTAATCATAAGTAAGTAATAGTAGTACAACAACAATAAGTAAGTAGGTTAGTATCCATCATTGCTTTTTGCAATGTTACTCGGTCGATATTGGCGCAGAAACTGGCACGACAATGGTGGCAGCAGCAACAGGAGTAGCTTTGGTATTACATGGTCCACCAGCGCATGATGAGGTGGTAGTTGGCTCATCCAAGTGAGTAGGAGTATATTGTATACGCTGTCTTATCTCCTTGATCCAGAGGTTCATCTCCTCGATGGAGGTGGCACGTAATTTGAAGGATTTATGATTGGACGACAGTAATGACTCGGCAGCATCAAACTTGAACGCCTTTATCCTCTTTAGTTTACCAACTGGATGTATCATAAATGTATATGTCTTGTGATCTATAATAGTAATGTCCACATCCTCTAACATAAAGAATCCACATGACTTTCGATCATTCTCACTCTTATAATATGATATAGTATTATGTTTGATTACAAAGTATCTTGTCTTCCAGTTCTTGATTCTGCCACCTTGACATGGTTGATCGAGTTAGTATATAGCGAATTAGCAGGATGATGGATGATGGATGATGGATGACTTACCTTGTTTGGTTAGGAATCCACTTGGATACCTAATATCCTTTGAGACATACATTTCTAGAAGGATGGATGTCTGATCAGTACGGACTGGAATGAATCATTTGGTTGGTTTGAATGAGGATCATCAATCAATAAACATTATCATCAATCCAGGATGGACAGATGGACCAAATACATCTTGGGCTATTCATCCTCCCTCCACTCAACTCAACTCCTCTCCGGTCGTGTAACATTAATGGTGATTACAACTTAAACAGGTAATAGCAGTGTGATCACTTCCAATATCCATCATCATTTACCGATATTCCCAACGATTTACATCATCATCAGGGTGTGTGTGGAAGTATACTTGTTTGATCATCAGCTGATTATGTGTGAGTGATTGGAGGTGATGAGTGTGTGGAAGTTGTGGGTCATTGTTGGGGGGTGGATAAAGAGACGAAAGAGTGTGAACAATAATGCCTGGACACTCCATCGTCAATAACACTTACAATCCAAACTCATTCAATCAATCAAGATGATGAAGTTGCATAAAGTGTGATCGCGATGACATTACAGCGCCAACACCTTGTTTATGAATGTTAACTTGTCTATGATTGCAAAGCTCTCCTGCTCGGAGATGTCAACCTGGTTGACATTGGCACAAACTGTATCGATCTGAATGAATATACGCTCCAGCAATGGCTCCATTGCCTTTTTCAAAGTGACCAGCTGCTCCTCGTCCGGTGTTGAAGGTGCAATCACCACCTCTGGTGGTGGCGCATAGTTGTTCTCGGCGTACAGCTCATTCATCGTCTGCTTGGTCGCTCGGATCACCTTGCCAATCTCAATCGCTTCGGCCATTTCGGCATTGGTCAGCTTGAGCTTGATTGAGTTGAGATGATCGACGATCCTCTTGGCACTCGTGTCAACCTGTATCTTGTTCTCCAAGTGGGACGCGCCGCCACGACGTCTGACGACGGAAGGTGATGCAGGTGGCGTGGGCTCTGGCGATGACAGCGAGGAGGTGGAGTGATGCAGTGATCTAGAGGTGTCTGGTGAGGTTGGTGATGGCGACACTGATGGCATCATTGTCAATGAACCACTGGATGATATGAGTGTCCTCTGTGAGTTTGGATCAAGAATGGATCTGAGTTTGCTGGCTATCTGTGCAGTGTGAATGACTTGATCCTTGTAGATGTATGTGTGCAGCTTGGTCTTGAGACAGTAGAGATAGTCCGTGATGTCCTCAACAGTCTGGTGCGTGGCTCGCTTCAACTCAAACAGTTTGAACTCGTCAATTGCTGTTGTTGCCGGTGGATTGGCAAGCTGTTCCAGAGACAACACTGGAAGTGAATAGGTTGGCGGCTTGTCAAACTGTTGCAGGAAACTTTTAACATCACTCTTTGCAATGCCCAAGTGTTTGCCACATGATTCGACGAGGTGCTACGGGTAGGTATGTTAGACATTGTTGCTCGCTCAACCCAAAGTGTGGATGGATGTATGACATACCTTCTTGGAGTCTCGCAGGGTTGTGGAGAGCTTGATGGTGGCAGAGTAGTTGGTCTCGTTGGCGATGCACTTGACAGTGGTCCTCAGTTGGCCCCAGAGATGTTCAGAGATGAGTGACTCAATGGTCGCCTTGATCTTGGATATCTTTTGTGTCGCATCAGTGTCCAGGGTAGAGAGAAGTGTCCAGCTTGACGTATCGATCGATCCCAACAACGATGGGTTGGGTGTACTTGGTGCATTCAAAGCTGGTGCTGTCTGGACGTGAATCACAACTGGTGAGTCGGGTGGTGTGGATTGGTTGGATGAGCTTGAAGGTGGATGATGTAGTGACGGTGTTGTTGTGATTGTAGGCAATTGGACTGTAGGCTCTGATTCTATTGGTGCTGGAGATGGAGACTTGGTTGGAGTCGAGTGTTCAGATGATGGAGTGTTGGCTGTGGTGATGGTGTCCTCCTCAATGATTGTTGTTGGTGGCTGGGGCGTTGGTGCGGTGGTGATTGATGGCGTCAATGTTTGTTGCGCTTGCTTCTGTAGTTTGTTCGTTTGCTTTGGTCTAATGTCAATGATTGAGGTTGTCTGTTGGATGTTGTTGTGTTTTGGAATGGTTGGAAGTGATGGTCTTGGAGAGTCTTGTTGTTGTTGTTGAGTGTTTATATTGTTGATGTTGCTACTATTGACCAGTTGTCCAATTATACTAATCGGTGTGGATACTTGAGATGAGAGGGGATCAATCAGTGGATGGTGCTGCTCAGACGACTGAGAGGCAGCAGAGGTTGATGATGATGGTACAGCGAGAGGATGAGCGGGAGCAGCATGTGGTTTGCCATGAGCAACATGTGGTAGTTGATGATGATGATGTGATAATGCTGGAGCAGGAGCCGACACAGCAGGTCTGGTCACAGCATCAAACTCCTCAATCCATAGCCTGAGGATGTCTTCGCAATCGATCCTATCTTGCTTCATATAATACATCTCTTCTTCTGGTCGAAGGAATGCTCTGGCGAATATCATCGCTAGTTGTTGAGAGTCCATCTTGGTGACCGAGTTGTTTGAATGTATCTTGGACAGCAATCCCAACACATTCTTGATGGTCGCTCTGAATCCCTGCGGGAGGTAGGCCATCAAGAATCTATAAGCCCATAGCTTATCCTGTTTGGATAGGATAGCTTTGGATTGATTGGTTAGTAGTCTGTTCATTCATGTGCCACACTCAAAATACCGATCAATCAATCACATACTGTTTGTCAACAGGAAACTGTCATAGAGCTGATAGGTGAACAGAGGTTCGGGCAGGTACAGGAGATACTGCTTCAACAGCTCTGCCACGACATGTGGATTGTTTGTCAATGATGACAACTGTACTTGTTCGCCATCCCCAACACTTATATCTTGTGGTGTAAAGTAAGATGTTATGTTAGGTACAATGAATGAATGAACGAATGAATGAATGAGTGACGGAACATACCTCTTAGCAAGTTCTTTTTGACGAGTTGGAACTCCTCGTTAAAGTCGTGTGACTGCACTTTGAATACATGCTCAAGTGATGTACCCTTGGTGTGTAGATAACGAACAAGCTTCAAGAGAATGGGATGGCCCTCTGAGTTGTGAGGTATTGGTGTTCCCTGCAAGATAGTGACAACCAAAGCAGATGCATTGCCATTGCTGCTGCTATTACCTCCACCATTAAGTTGTATAAGTGAGTTATCTGTTGTTGATGATGCTGATGATGATACTATGCTGCTACTTGGTGTTGATGATCCTCCTCCACCTCCCAGTGGATCAGATACATTGTTATTGTTGTTGTTATTCTCCAAAGGATTACTTGGACCCAAAGGTCCAGTTGTTGATGCACCTGGTTTATTCTTCCATTGGAACATGTTTATAAATATCTATACTATCGTACTTATACTATATTATATTTATATATTTATATATCTCAATGCAAGTAAGCAAACAACAATGAAAGCGTGTTCTTGGCCCAACACTGACACACCCCTTGACATGCTGCAGTTTGGTCTTTAACTGGGCCAAGCAGTTGTGCTGCAAAATTCACAGCAAAGTTCTTGCCGATCGGGAGAACTGTGTGTTGATCGAATCCCAACTTCAAACCAAAGGTAGTTGTTTGTACAGATAGATAAATTATTTGTTGGATTGATTGAATGATATGTAGTCAATATCCCGCATCACCAAGGTCTCAGGTAGAGAATACTAATCCCAAAAGGCAGTCAGTTAATCTTGGTGATCGGGAATACCGTTTACAATAATATATTACTAATTTATCCTTCTATCTATCTCTATCAAATTAACTGGTCTTCTTTTGTAGGTTTCAAAGTTCTAACTCCTCCATTATTATGTATTGACATGAATGAATGATTTGATCCAACAAACGTATAAACACACGAGTTCGCAATCCATCAATGGGTGATCCAACATTCACCCAAACTTACCCAAACACACACCACACTTAGAGGTTTGATTGATACAACAACACTCACCAACAATGGGTTGATTGCTTTATCTAAAGACGAGATATATAAGTGATGTGATGTGATGTGTGATGGATGACAAGTGGGAGCGATTTTCTCTTATTCCTATATATATATAACATAGTGCTGCTAATTGTTGGCGACAACCGATTATCATAATTGATTGACAATCATACTTCATAATTCATACTTCATACAATCATACTTATATATATATCAAAGTGCGTGCGAAGTGATTCGTGTTCCCAACTTTAAACAACCAACCACCCACACGTCTTCAATCTATTTGATCTTATCACTACTCGACCAATTGGACTGTCACCAATTCCATCCATCGATCATGCCAAACCCTATAGCCCCATTGGTTGATTGATAGTTTGATTGAATGATCGAATGATGGATTGATCCAAATGAGTGAGTGGAGGTGAATGAGTTAGATGAGTGAGTAAGTGAGTGGATGAATGGTAGGATGTGGAAGTAGTGGAGGGGACTTATAAATACCCGAGTACTCTACTCTATCAGTCCATGAAAGAACAACTTGTAAATACATAATATATATATATCTACTTAGTAAATACTTAACTTTACTTATTAATACTTACAATTCTTATTAGAATGGACGTTGAATCATTGATCCAAATTGATATATCGGACTTCTTGTCCAATCATTATGTTGACTCTTATACCAACATTCCAAATGCACCAAAGAGACTATCATTATCCGAGGAATTCCTGGTCCTTATGATGGACGAGTCCACCGCCAAGCTACCATCAAACAACTATCCAATCTACCTTGGTCTAATATGCACTGGTGTGGCCGAGTTGATCCTAATGAAGAAGGTTGGATTCGAGAGGGCACAAGGTACCAAAGAGTATGTATATGATTGATCGAAAGGAATAGTTCTAACCATTCTAACCATCATATTGATATCATAGTATGCCAAAGTTGACTATATTGGATGATTCACCAATTATTAGTGATAGGTTCTTGGATTATTTGATGTCCAAGATATTGAAATGCAAGCAAAGGGCCTTCAATCAGGTCATTATGCATATTGGTAGAGGATTCATCTTTGTAAAGGAGAAGAGGATTGTTGGCAAGGTAGTTGAACAATTGATAAACAAGAAGGTACTATCCATGACCTCCACCAAGAAGAACACATATCAATGGAATGATTCCACCTACAAGGCAACAATCGAGGCCAACTGTGCCACTATTGCCAATCAACATATTGATGACTTTGGTAAGTACCCTGTCTCATTGATTGATACGATCATCATACTGATCTCACTCCATCCCTAGACGATGTGATCGAGAGCAATATTCGTGAAATCCTATTATTGTTGACAATGAGTCAATACTCAGAGATGACGATCGAGTCTTTGATTAGGAAGTTTGTAGAGAGACTGAATGAGAAGGAGACCATCCAGAATAATATCAAATCACTCGAGAGCTATTTCAATAGAACATCATCATATGGACATCCAATCAACAAGTATCTCTTCTGGTATCTATCAGCTATGCGACAACTATTTAGTCAATAGTTCTGTTGTTCAAATGGTCCATAACTTCCATATCCATTATTGTACATATGTATAAATAAATATATATTTTTATTTATAAATAATTATAACAACATTTTGTAGTATTCTCGAATCTTGAATCAATGGATATTTTGAATGTTATTGGTTTATTTTATTTAATTGTAATAGGAATATCTTTGATTGATTGATAAATTGATTGATTGATTAATACTTCAGTAAATACAATTGTATGTAGGGCAACAAGCTGGATAATCCAATCTGCTATCTCCAGGAATTTCTACACAAAATTCCTCATTATAAGGAGTTGCACAACTAACTTCATAAAAAGTGCCCTTAACTCCTATATCTTTCCCAACGCACTCTCTAGAACTAACTAATCCAAGATTTATAACTATTATTGCAATATTAATTAATATTAATAATAAATTATAATTTCTAAAAGATACCATTTAATGTATATAAAAAATTGAGAAATATTATTATTTTTATTATTATTACTTGATTTGTTTGATAATCAGAACCTGACTTAGTCAAGTATATTTATACTAGTAATTGGATATATATATATATTTATTTTTTTATTAAATTTGTAAATTGTTTGCACCATGTACACAATGATTGTGATAAATTTATTTTCCAGTATACAAAATGACATTCAATTACATTGATTACAACAACAATCTCCAATATTAGTAAGTTGAAATAAATTAATTTATTCAATATACATTGAATTTAATAGTTGGAGGACAATGGTCATCCATTCTACAAAGCTTGATAGGTTTCCTTTTCGAAGTTTCGTCAAAATGAGCTTCACAACTCAATTCTGACTCATTTTGAAGACGAAGAGATAAAGAGATAATATATTTATATAAAGAGATACACATTAGATATGTATTCAAGTAAACTTAAAGATGTACAGGTAGATCAGACTAAACAACAAGACTTCCCAATTGCATGTGAAACATGCTTTGGTGACAGTCCTTATATGAACATGGTATGTTTAATTGATTGATCGATGGAAGTTTTAAGATGTACATTACATATAGTCTAACATTGATTGATAAATGGAATGAATAGATAAGAGCAGAGTTTGATAAGGAATGCAAGATATGTTCAAAGCCATTCACGGTGTTTAGATGGAAGGCTGGCACTGGTGGAAGGTTCAAGAAGACAGAGATATGTAAGACATGTTCACTTGTGAAGAATGTCTGTCAGGTGTGTATACATGACTTGGAGTTTGGTCTACCAGTACAAGTCAGAGATGCTGCACTACAGAACTTTGAGAAGGCACCTGTATCAGATATCAACAGAGCATATACATCTAAACAGAATGAGATTATGGTATGATATTTGATTGAATGATTGATCAAGCGAACGAATGAATGAATGAACACTAATACAATGTACACATGCACATATAGATCGAGAAGGGAGAGCTGGACTTTGATAACTTCCAACCAACAGATGTCATAGAGAAGCTGGCAAGATCTAAACCAAACTATACAAGGAATCAGGCACATGTTTGCTCGTTCTTCTTGAAGGGAGACTGTAATAGAGGTAGTGCATGTCCTTATAGACATGATTCCAACAGCACGGGCAAGTTCCCAAAACAGAACATCAAGGACAGGTACTATGGCAACAACGACCCAGTCGCTATGAAGATGCTGGAGGGCGTCACGCCACAGCCACCCGACGACAAATCAATCACAACTCTGTTTCTGGGCAATGTCGATCCGCTCAAGGTCAAGGAGGATGATCTGCGCGCGTCATTCTTCTCGTTTGGCGTCATCAAGTCGCTGAGGATCGTCGCACAGTCCAAGTGCGCATTCATCACATTCGACAAGCGCGAGTCTGCCGAGACTGCCATGGATCAGTTGTTCAACAAGTTGATCATCGATGACTGCACAATCAGACTGAACTGGAGTAAACAGAACCATCAAGCATCAAGCAACAAGCCACAGCATGAACAAAAGAATAACAACAATCAACAGCATCAACAATCGAGTAACAACAACAACAGTAATGGAACAGATACAGCAAAGGCGGACGAGGAGGAGGACGATGATGAAGGTGATTATAGTCAAGCGATACAATCAATTGTAAAACAACAGCCAGCCAAGCCAGCACCAACCATTCCAAAGCCTTCTGGAATCAAGGTGATGCCTTCATTCAAGATCAATCCAACGCCACAAGGTACATCCCACAACAAACCATACTACAGCGCCATGGATCCAAACAGTTATGGAGGTAGACTATAAACATATATATACCTTTGATCATTCGATCGATCGATCGATCAATCAATCAATCAATCTTTCTTTATATGTTTTGAACATGTGATGACGATGTAGCCTGGCTACAATGTCGCGACTTTAGCCAAGGACTCGAGAGGCAAAGCCATTGCATATATGTGCCCAGATCATCAGTCCTCTGGACTTGTTGGCAATGATGTACAATAGACCAGCGGGTTGGCATGGGCATGATGCGCAGCCCCACCAGTCCACGCACACAAGTAGTGAGACGATCACAATCAGGAATTGAAGCACGCCATCCACAACTCTTCCAACCATGTCGCCCTACACAGTGTGCGTTCACAAGATTGTTAGTGGAAATGAACTGAATGATTGATTGATAGAATGAATGAATGAATGATATACTACATACCATCATTGCTAATGGGAGGTTCTTGGCAATTATCGAGTTGGATAGTTGTCCAGCAAAGGAGATGAACAGGGGAATGTACATGCCTGAGATGAGCTGGCCAGTGTGCACGTCGCTCGGAATGAATTGACGCACAGAGTGGAGCAGGGGATGCTCGACAAATCGGAGCAAGAGGTCGACGCTGACCGCGTAGAAGAAGGCCACCAAAGTGACGTCCGATCTGATGTGCGTAAAGAATGAGTAGCGTCTGCTATCGTAGCCCAGCAGGTACTCCCATGCCAGCCACAACACAATAGTTGGCAATTGGATATAAAGTATTTGACTGATGTCGTCTGACTTCAAGTCGGCTGTGCCAATGTACTTCTGCAGTGGATGCACTGCCACCTGAGAGCACATGATCAATGCATTATAAGCGAATATCATTCCGAATGTAATTGCACCTATCCATCTGAATGACTCTTTGATTGTACTCTTCTTGACAGTTGATGTTGATGCGCTGCCTGATGCAGAACTTGACTTCTTGTTTGATCTTGTTGGTCTCTGACCTTGACCTGTGAATGTTTGATCAGCAGTCAACGCATTTATCTGTTGTTGTGTTAGATGTTCTAGGATACCATCTGAACCAATATCATCTCCATCATCATCATCATCAATCTTCTTTGGAGGTGTATGTGATGGATCCTTCACCTGATCAGCAATGAATCCTATCCTTCCACTTGGATTACCTAGAATCCTATTCTTCCTAGCCTCTCTTCTTCTCTTATCCTCTGCTGCCTTCTCTTCAGGTGTCATTATTTAAGTACTATCTTATATGTATATGTTGTTGTTGTTGTATAACTATTGAATGAATGAATGAATGAGTGTGATGTAACTTCTTGTTCTTCGTCTTTTGTTCGATATGTTGTGGGGTTGAAGATGACTCACTTTGAAGTCAATGTCAAGATTGATCACACTGACGACGACAAAGACGACAACTACAACTATAGCATACAAGTCCAGACAGAATGCTCAGACTAAAGACAAGCCTGTACATCACTGGATTGTCACATCTTAGATACTGTACATCATCAAGTAGTACATCACTCAAACAATGTCCCATCAATGTCGATGCCATCAAATCATCTTATGACCCTGTAAGCTAACTTACTCACTTTGATTGATTGATTGATTGACTGAGCGAGGTGATACTAACATACCTAATGTGATTGATTAGACATTGGTCGAGGATGGCAAGTACAAGTGGTGGGAGGAGTCTGGGTTCTTTAAGCCAAGACCTAGTAATGATGGTTCAAACAAGAAGTACTCGATGGTACTGCCACCTCCAAATGTCACTGGAAGCTTACATATTGGACATGCCCTCACCACGACAATAGAGGACGCATTGGTACGATATAAGAGAATGATGGGTTATGAGACACTATGGGTACCAGGCCTCGATCACTCAGGCATTGCCACTCAGGTCGCTGTGGAGAAGGAACTACGTGCAAAGAAACAACTGTCGCGACATGACCTTGGCAGAGAGCGCTTCCTCGAAGAGGTCTACAAGTGGACCGACCTCTACTCACACAACATCAACAATCAACTGAGAAGGACTGGTGCTTCGTTGGACTGGAGTCGCTCAGTCTTCACGTTGGACAAGCAGAGAGCGCACGCTGTCGAGACGGCCTTTCTCCGCTTCTTCCGATCGGGACTAGTATATCGCGCTACACGTCTCGTCAATTGGTGTCCAGAACTACGCAGTGTGATCTCTGACATTGAGGTGGACCACGTAACATTCGAGAAGCCAACACACCACAAGCTCAAGTCCAGACCCAAGACCTTTGAGTTTGGCGTGATCTATGATGTGGCGTACCAGGTGGAGGGCGGTGACAAGGTGACGGTCAGCACGACGCGTCCCGAGACAATCTTTGGTGATACTGCCCTGGCCATCCATCCGACTGACCCTCGCTACACTCACCTGCACGGCAAGTACGCCCTGCATCCCTTCACTGGCCGTCGCATCCCCATCGTCCTGGACGACGTCTTGGTCGACCCCAAGCTCGGCACTGGTGTAGTCAAGGTGACACCTGCACACGACTTTAACGACTTCCAATGTGGACAGCGACACAAGCTCGACTCGATCAACATCCTCACCGAGGCGGGCAAGCTGAACGACAACGTGCCAGAAGAGTTCCGCAACATTGATCGATTGGACGCACGATATATAGTCATTGGCAAGCTCAAGGAGATGGGCCTGTTCGAGGGCAAGCGCCCACATGCCACATCAATCGCGATATGCAGTCGAAGTGGCGACCTGCTGGAGCCAGTGTTGCGACCCCAATGGTACGTCGACTGCAGCGAGATGGGCAAGCGAGCATTGGATCTCGTGGAGAGTGGCAAGATCAACATCATACCAGAATCATACAAGGACAACTGGGCACGTTGGCTTGGTTCCATTCAAGACTGGTGCATATCGAGACAACTATGGTGGGGTAATCCAATCCCCGCATACCGCGTCATAAATGCATGGTGCCGATGGACAACCACAATCGTGCGAAGATGAAGTTGAGCAAATGGGTAGTGGGCGAGTCAGTAGAGTTTGCCGAACAGGAGGCCATCAAGAAGTATGGCCTGGTCAAGGGTAGCTTCTCACTGAAGCAGGACGAGGATGTGTTGGATACATGGTTCTCGTCGGGATTATTCCCAATTTCATCACTTGGATGGCCCGAGTCCACGAGCGACTTGAGCAAGTTCTATCCTTTGGATGTTATGGAGACCGGTTCTGATATTTTGTTCTTCTGGGTGGCCAGGATGGTGATGATGTGCACGACGCTGGCACCCGAGCAACAGGTGCCATTCAAAACCATCCTGCTGCATCCCCTGATCAGAGACTCGCAGGGCAGGAAGATGTCCAAGAGTTTGGGCAATGTGATCGATCCGCTCAACGTCATCAATGGCATCACATTGGAGCAGTTGAAGGTAACAATCAGTCAATCGAATCTCAGCGAACAGGAGAAGAACACAGCCACCAAGGGCATGGCTAAGGAGTTCCCAAATGGCATCCCCAAGTGTGGCACTGATGCCTTGCGCATTGGACTCAGTCAATTCCCCATCAGTGGCAAGGACATCAACTTGGATATGTCAAGGATCATCGGACAGAGGTTGTTTTGCAACAAGATTTGGAATGCTACAAAGTTGGTTCTCTTGCATGTCAATCAACATGATACTGTGACAACACTCTATGGTGCCAACAATGGCGTGGACTCTGCTCCATTCAATCAAGAATCCATCTCAATCATTGATCGATGGATATTGAACAGATTGTCATCACTTGTGACGCTGGCCAAGGAGTCATTTGACAAGCACAACATGTCACAACTATCACAGGCATTGTACTCATTCCTTCAGTATGACTATTGTGACTTTTACCTCGAGGTTACAAAGGTGGCACTGAATCGATCAGAGCGCAAGCCTAGCAATGTAGAGTCACACCTAGTCATGGCCAGCACACTGGAATGCTTCCTTCGTCTTCTGCATCCATTCATGCCCTACCTTACTGAAGACCTCTGGCAACGACTGCCCAAGCCAAATCAATCACCATTGTCTATCATGATAGCAGACTACCCCTCGATATCACATCCCAACCATCAGCAACTATCATTCCCAGAGTTGGATAATGTGATTGCGGTAAGTTAACCGGCTACACCGTCAGTCCAATAATGTGATACTAACAATGAATGAACGAACAGGTGTTACAAACAGCCATCCACTCTGTCCGATCGACCAGGACCACTCACAACATCTCAAATCAAACAATATTGAACATTGATGTACAGATTCAATCATCAACATCAGGAGAGTCGACTATTGGCCAATTGATCGAAACGTTCACATCGATGAAGGAGGAGATTGAGAAACTGTTGAACTGTCAGTTGTCCATATCCTCAGGGGAGGAGGGTGCCAAGAAGGACATCATCCCTGCCGATGCAATCAAGGTTGATCTCTCGGATATATGTTCAATGTTTATAAGTTATAGCAAGACAAGTGGAGATGGTGCTAATGAGGATGAGGCAGCAGCCGCTGCTGCAACAGAGGCAGCACTTCAAACAAAGAAAGTGAAGCTTGAGGAGTGGATTAGAGATTTGGAGAAGACAATATCCAATCCAATGTTTAGCCAAAGAGTACCATTTGCCGTGCAACATGCCAAACGTGAGAAACTACGTCAACTAACTGCAGAACTACAACAAATTGACCAACTGCTCAATGCCAATAAACAATAATAATGATAATGATGATTGTTAGATAATAATAATAATAACTTTGATTGTTTGATTTATAATGGTATGGTCTGTCCTTGATGATAACTCGAAAGTAATGAGTTAAGTTTGGACAGTTCAAAAATTGATTAATTTATGTTTCAATGTCAGCAGGTCGCCATTCAGTTACCGTCATTATGGAACCATACTTCCTTGAAAAGAACCAACCCGACAACAATGTTCAAGTTGGTCTTTTTAAATTTTACGGTCTAGCCCAATACTTATGGGATTGACCCCATCCATTGTGTCTCAATCAATCAATCAATAAGGTGTCAATCAAATAAATATTACCTTGTCTGTATAATTAAAGACATATATTATTAACATTGTTGTTGTTACTAAAATTGATGAACTGATTACCCTGGGTGTCCCCAATAACCAGGTATTCTATAATTATTTGAATCGCTGATCAACTGAATGTGACCTGAACGACTTTTTTAATTTATTTTGATGACCAAGTTCATGAAAGTGATGATTTAATCAAACTATCATCATTCAATACTTGTACAACCTTACACATATATTTATTTAAACAAATACAATCAATCAACCAATAACAAATAAACAAAAGAAGAAGAAGAAGTAGAATAAGAATGGCAACTGAGATATTACAGACGGGATTACAATTGGCAAAGTCAGCTGTTGAAGCGGATCAGAAGAAGAATTATGCAATTGCTTCGACATTGTATGAACAGGCGGTGTTGAACTTGAAGTTGGCAATAGTTAGTGAACGTGATCCGGCAAAGACAGCACTTATTACTTCAAAGATCGATGAGTACACACAGAGGAATAAGTTTATCAAGAGTCTAGCGGCACAGCAGCCCGCTGCCCCACCTGCTACTGCAGCCCCGCCCGCCAACAACTTGGCCTACAACTTCCCTTCGATCCCATCAATGGTCTCACCATCCGTTGCAAACAACGCATCATCCAATAGTGGACAATCTCTACAATTCAATGGACGATTCCCAGATACCCCTGGTACTACTGGTGTTGGTGCTGGCGCTGGTGCTAATGGCTATAACTTCCCAATGCCACCACAACAACAGCAACAGCAGTTCCCACCACAACAACCTCAGTATCAACAGCAACAGCAGTTCCCACAACAACAGAATGCCAACCTGTCCAAGCTATCACAGCTACATGGTGGCGGTGATCAATTCAATTACAGACCAAACATGGATAGAGTTGAATGTAAGTAGTCAAGTCAAGGCTGAGTGTGTGCAGAGGCAGAGGCAGAGGTAGAGGACGCCAGACACTCATACATACGCGATCACGCATACACATCAAGCCTACGAGATTGCAAAGAACTTGGCATCAAAGGGACGCAAGGAAGAGGAGACTAGGGACTACAAGAAGGCAAGCGAATACTATCAACAGGCCTGCACATACTACTTGCAAGCCATAAAGAATGAACCTGATGCAGTCATCAAGAAGAGCATCAGTGATGAGGCCAAGGTCTATCTCGATAGAGTGGAACAACTTAAGCCATATGTACAGCAGCAACAACAACAGCAACAGCAGCAACAACAACAATCACCTCCACAACAACATCATCAGCCACAACAACAACAATATAATCACTCACCTACAAACTCAATGATGGGATTCCCATCTGTTGGCTCTGGAAGCAGTGGCGGTTTGCCAACTGCGGCATTCCCATCGTTTGGAGGCAGCACCAATAGCATGGGAGCATTCCCCTCAGTTGGCAACCTATCATCGGCCTCATCGTCTGGAGGCTTCCAACCCCAGCGAGGCATTGGCTTCGGTCCGAACGGTCAGCTGATGACCCCCACGTCGACCATACCATCAACGTTCACTGGCGGCGACCGATGCGCCGCGTGCCAGGCCACGCTGTCCACCAACAGCATCAAGGCATTGGACCGATTCTGGCATCCCGAGTGTTTCTCTGTAACGATCATCTGTGCCGCCTGCCAGAAGCCTTTCAACCTCGTGAACCTCTCGCTCAAGGTCAAGGACAACAAGGCCTACCACCCATACTGTTTCGAGTCCACGACTGGCCTCTACCAGGAGGAGCGCAAGACATTCATTGGCAAGAAGAAGTCATTGTTCTTCTCGATACAGATGCAGAGGAAGTTCTATCGCGCCGGCGAGACCATCCAGTTTKGCATTCATCATTGACAACCCCACGTCGAACAAGGTGGACAAGGTCGTTGCGTACCTGCTAATGACCGAGACCAGAATGGAGATTGTTGGCACGGCTTATGAGCGCAGGTCACGCAAGACCCGCGCCAAGCTGGGCCGCTGCGAGTTCTTCCAGTCATCAAAATTCCCACTATCTAAGGACCGCTTCGAAGGCGACTTCTTCTTTTCGGTGCCACCTAACCTGTTGCCATCCGAGGTGGCTGGTGTCGACGCATCCTTTGTCCGAGAGTATCAACTGGTGGTCAAATGTGTTGGTCCTGTCGCCAAGGTCATGACTGTCAAGCTAAGATTCAATCTAAATGTATTGGAGAAGGCGCAATAAACCTGTATGCATGTGTACATGTTGTTGTTGGCCAAAAGGTCAACAAACAACACCAACATTAAGGATGATGATAATCCATGGTACATGGATTGATTGATTTGGTCTGATTTGTATATATTTTGAATTGGAAGTATTAACAGAGAGGAGGTTGGTGTTGATGATGATTGGATAGTCGTCGTCGTCCAAGTTATAGCTTCTGGAAGTTGGGGTTCTGTCCAACAACTGGGTTGAATCTGAATGAACGGCCTCTGAGCAAGAATGCAAGGAAAATGCCTACACCCTGTTTGTTATGATGATGTTTGGCGCGATGGACGCGTTTTAGAATAGTTAGTAATGGGCACGGGCATGAATGTGTGTGTTTGAATGATGTGATGTGGTGTGATATGATTATGATTATGATTGACGAATAGAATGGAATGGACTTGTGAATGAATGAATGAATGAATGAATGAATGTGAAGGAGCTATGCGTACATATAGAGCAATAAGAATGATGTCCTTGATCATCCAGCCAGAGAAACCTTTGGATTTGATGAGTGTCCAGATGATGGAAACGATTGAGAGAGCAATGAGGGCCAGCAGTCCAAGCATGAAGTACCAGAGCAGTCTTACACTGGTGAATCGAGCACCGACTGCACCACAGATTGCCACCAAGATAGTGGCTATGCAAATGACTATACCAATGATAAATGTTGAAAAGGCCGATACAATGGCCATAATCAACAAGAATACACATAACAAGTATATTAGTCGCACCTTGATTTCATTTCCTTCGAATAATGCCATTATTAATTTATCTGTATTGTATTATATATATATATTTATATGTTTGATTGATTGATTGATTGATTGTTTGTTTGATTTGATCGATTGATTGAACAGACAGGAATTAATGTGATGTTGATGTAATTACAACAACTTTGTGTGTGAGTGTGAATGGGAGAGAGTGTATAAATGTTTAAATACAATGTGTGTGTATGTGTGTATGGTGATAAGTAAGGTTACTGAGCAATGAGTGTTGGAATTTAAGCTTTAGTTATGTGTAGTGCAGAGTGTGAATAGAAGGGTGTGTGTTGTGAGGTGGTGGTGTTCAAAGAACAAAGCCTGGTTGGTGTGAGAGTGAACTAGGTCTTTAGGACTCACACGTTACTTTTCAAGACCCCTTCCAACTCAACTCCACACTCAAAACAAACATTGAATTTTGTCGCTCGTTTTTTGCTTTTGCTTTGATTGTCGACTCGTGTAAACGAATGAATGAAATCAATTGATTAATAAATAATATTAATATTGTGTGTTCCCTCATACCCCTATCTTGACAATATCACAAATTAATCATACACACAATACACATATACATATAAATAATAATAAATAACCATGGTGCACATAAAGAATAAGAAACAGAGAGCAAGAAAGGAGGTGTCTGAGATTCTAAAGGATGTACAAGAGCAAGAGATTGTCAATCAACTGAAACATGGCAAGCCTGTTGATCAATTGGTTGATGAACAATTGTTCACAATCAGCAAGAAGCGTATGTCAATCGAATGAATGAGTGATCGAATGAATGAATGATCGAATGAATGTTAACATTGAACAAATATAGCTGATGTAGTACCAAGATCAACTAGAGAGTTAAAGAAGTTGGAGGCTAGAAATAAGATTACATACGTTCAAAAGTTGTTGTCACCTAATGTTAATGTGGACCCGATTGCAAAGGATGTAGTGGGCAGTGCACCAAAGCTACCAGAGATGAAGTTGTTGAAGAGATTGACAAAGACAGTGATCAGGAAGAAGAACATCAATAACGTCGACGACAATATGGAGGATGACGACAGCTTCCTCGACGACGATCTAAAGCAAAAGAAGGACAATAAGTTGAGGAGAAAGAAGTTTGACGATATATGGCACAACGCTGACAAGCCCGTCGTGGTGGAGGAGCCTCACTTTGTCAAGGACGAGGTCAAGGTGCAGATATTCGCCCCACCCAAGCACAAGGCGCTGGTCAAGGATGCCAAGGCACTCGAGCTGCCCAAGGCAGGTCTGTCGTACAACCCCGACAAGGCCGAGCATCAGACCGTCATCCAGGACGCAGTGGCTATCGAGCTGTACGCTCAAAAGTACGTCGACAAGATCAGGAAGGGCTTCGAGGTCGAGCAGATCAAATATCCAAAGACTGTGCATTCGGACGATGATAAGGAGGACGACGACGAGGACGAGGAGGATAGCGACGACGATGCCGAGAAGAAGCCACACGCAGGACAACTCAATGCAATGAACGAGCGAGTGACCAGGAAGGAGAAGAACAAGAGAAGGAGAAGAGCAGAGGATAACAAGCGACAGATGGCCAAGTTGCAACTAAAGAAGCAGTCCAAGGAGCTTGATCGCTCCGCAGACATGGCTGCCGAGATTGCCAAGAATGAAGAACTGATAGCGGCCAGAAGAGTCGAGCGTACAAAGACAGAGAAGCTCAAGGAGGGCTTGACCAAGAAGGTTGGAAAGTATGTCATTGCCACCGAGACTGAACCAGTCCTGTTGGCTGATGAGTTGCCAAAGTCATTGAAGAACCTTAATAATGTATGTTTTATAGTTTGTTATTGTCGTTGCTGCTGTGGATATCATCTAACAACATTCAACCAATCAATTGATCAATCAATCAGCCACAATTCAATCCACTCATGGATAGATACAAGAGTTTGCAAAAGAGAAACATTGTGGAGGCATCTGGACCAAAGGGCGAGAAGAAGGAAGCATGGAAGAAGGTATACACAAGGAACTCATACCATAACTCTAATCCAATATAATAATAATCTTGTTTCATTGATTGATATCAATCATTGTTGTCAACTTTCTTGTGTTTGGGCCTGGAATCATTCCAGGGTGATGCATGTAGTGGAGGCCTCCACCTACCAATCAATCAATCAATCACACAACTCTTGGATATTGATGTTCAATATTGTCATTGTAGATCTTTGACGGTGTTTATTCGTTCGATTCAATGTCGTGCGTCAACTTGTTGTCGATCGATCGGGACGCGAGAGTGTTTAAACAAAGTACCAAAGGGAGGGGGTGGCTGTCAACAACACAACAGCCTAATGTAAAGGTGTAATATAGTAGTAGTAGGTAGGGTAGTATAGTAGTTTTAGTTCTTGTAGAAGACGACATCACCTTCATCCTCGACGAAACGACATTGAGTCCATGAGCGCCAGAGAGCCTGGGGGATGGGGGTGGTGTCGAACAGGTAGAGTCTGCCAAGAGCCTTCTTCAGATGTCTGGTGGCCTCCTCGGCATGGTAGTGTGGCATGGTGGAGAAGACGTGATGGGCAATGTGGGTGTCGGCGATGTGGTGGTGGAAGTAGTCCAGCACCTTGCCAAAGGAACGGTCGACGGTGAGCAATGCTCCACGCTCAAAGTTCCAGACGCCCTCGCGGTAGTGGGGCAGCTTGGGGTCGGTGTGCTGCAGGTAGGTGATCAGCACCAACCAGAAGTTCACCATCAGGTATGGGATCACGTRAGAACTTGATGACGTTGAGCGATCCAAACACGCTGCTGGCGTAGGTCAGCGCCGAAATCATGGCGCCAATGCCGACCACCGACTGGACGACGTCCCAGAACTGCTTCTGGTCAAAGAGAGCGCAGTATGGGTTGAAGTGCGAGGTCCATGGCTCGGAGTAGGTCTGGCCAGACAGATGGGTCAGCAAGTAGATTGGCCAGCCAACGGTGAAGATCTTGATCATGTCGAGCAATGTCATGATGGGTGACTCGTCAAACATTGAGTGTGGGCCCTCTGGAGTTGGGTCGCTGCTCTTTGGTGGCAGGCTAGACTTCTCTCTTCCGTGTGGCACAAACACCTGGTCCTGGTTCATATGTCCAGTGTTCTTGTGATGCTGGGAATGGGTAATTCTCCACGAGTGGAATGGAACCAACAGGAAAGAGTGCAATACCATACCAACAGAGTAGTTTACAATCTAGATAATATCCATTCATTCGTGTTATATCTGTATGTTAGCGTCGTTATCGCAGGTCACCTGCTGTTGATCGATCAATCATACCTTGTGTGAGCTGAAACCTTGGTGACCGCATTCATGACCAAGTACCCAGAGACCGGTGCATACGATACCTTGGCACACCCAGTAGAGTGGCCAGAGGACGGCACGAATGGCAAATGATGGTATTAAGTCGATGTATGTGGCCATGAAACCGAGGACGGCAGCAATGGCAAAGTCGTGAACGACGTAGGACATGGAGCGGAGGGTGTCTCTCTCGAAGCAGTGAGCTGGGATGGCGTCCCTCAATTGTTTAATTGTGACGTTTGGAATCTCCCAGCCCCTCTCGGTGGCCTCATCTATCTTTGCGCCCTTTACGTGGGCATTGAGTTCTTCCCTCTTGTTCGTCGATGACTTTGTTGTCATTTTAATATATATATATATATATCGGTGTAATGTTATAAATAAGTATATTATAAATAAATGTATTATTATTATAAGTATGAAGTTATTAGTTAGGGTAGAGGAGTGAGAGAGAGTGCAAGGGTAGGGTAGTGGACAGGTGGACAGTGAGGATACCAGCTGCTGCAACAACAGGGTCACCACTCACCTCTCAACTCTCTGTTTTAGATCACGAGCGACGGCACGATGCATACATCCAAAACATGTTGCATGGATTGATTCATTCGTGTATGAAGGTAGCACAAGTAATCGAGGTCGTCAGGTCTTGAGCAATAACAACAACAACATCAACACACTCACCTGACTTGATACAAGTGGTAGGGTATGTTGTCGCAGGCTGACGAAATAGTGGTGGTTGTCGGCGAAAGGCATGATGTTAGTGCTGACCACATTTGATTAATTTTAGAGTAGGAAAAACTCCAAAGATCATTCGTTTTGGTCTTTGCATTGATCTCGGCTTTTTGAACAAGGTGGTGGGGCATGTCAGACCCTGTTGCTCCTCTTTGTTTGTTTAGTACCACTTTTCGAATTTGTAARGGCCACTTTGGTAGCCCCATAAAGATACATCATAAAGGGTATCCATGCATCTGTGGTAGATACAAAGTTCAACTTCCCAGGTGCCAATGCTAATCGGTCGGTTGGTTGATGTGGCATTGGAGGATGGGTCGTCCAGTCACCGAATAACCAATGACATGTACCAAGGTTTATTATGACTTTACTCCACCATCAACACAATAGTATTGTTCATCAGATAATAATTGATAAGTCTTTCATTTATTGGACCAACTTGACAAATAGACTGAGACAACTTTAGTATTTATGGTAGTCAATCGATCAATCAATGTAAATGTTGACCTGCAATGATGATCATCAATCAACACCAACACACATCAACCCACGCGTCATAATCTTGTTTTTTTAAGTGTGAGTTGGCGAGGAGGTGTTGCCTAGCTTGTTCTTCGAACCTGTTACATATGGCCCAACGTAGTGATGACTTGTTAAAAGAACATGATACGACACGAACAATAGATATATAACCATATCTATCGCATGATGTATCATTCAGTTCAATGTTCAAATGATGATCTTGGAACAATCCTAAACTCAAGTCTCTCAAGGTGAGGCCAAGGATAAAATGGGACATCACCCAACATTAACAATATATCAATCAATCAATCAATCAATAATAATCAAATATGGAGGATCTTCCGATATATATATTACGTATAATTATTTCCAATTTAGAGGTGATTGATGTAACGTGTTTGGCCTTGACTAGAAGGAAATACTATGATCAGATGTCATCTTTAATGGATCGTGCAAGTCCAAGAAGGTTGAGATACATACATAGTTCACTCAAGTTATTAGGTCCATTAACAAAGCTGACATTTGGACATAATTTCAATGAAGTTTTGACACCTGGATCAATACCAAACACCATCACCAAGTTAATATTTGGACATAGTTACAATCATCCATTCACTCAAGGCACACTTCCATTATCATTACAACGCCTAACATTAACATCATATCACTATGACATTATCTCCACTTCATACCTTCCACCATCACTCAACAAATTATCATTTGGAAATATTTATCGTAATAATATTCAATCACCATCATTCAATATTCAACAACAACAAATACAACAACACCATGATGTCGTCCAAACTACCAGAGGGAGACTTAGGAGTATAGTGATGTACTTCCATAATGTGGATCAGATCAGTGATCATCTAAAGTCAATGATCACAACATTACCACCTACAGATGGTTATAAATTGTATCTTTATATACCATTCCACAGTTCAAAGGAGTGTCACCTAAGATTCTTGGACAACAATACAATGATGATGATGATTCATATTGGAAATGGAATGAATTATATCAACAATATGGATATTAATAATAATTGCCAAGTATCAATAACCACAACTTTGGATCAAGTTGTCGATAAATATTCAAAGGATCTAAGTGCCATGATACCTAGATGTATTGGACAACGACAACATTCGCAGGCCACTCGGCCAATACGTCAGCAGCATCAGCAGGAGCACTCCACATCAACAACACCGGTTGATCATCTCACAGCTACAGCCTAAATAAAATAATATTATTTAAATCATCATAAATCCGGTCTCAACTTGATGATGGATTGTTTGAATGGATTTAAATTTATTATATTTATACCTCATCATCATGATCATAATCAGATCACATCACATCAATCAATATCTAAGGTTGATCGATCATATGGAGTGTTGACAAATAGGTAGGAAATAATGTTGTTGGTCCAGTGGAAGACAGAGAGTTATAATAGTCTGTTCTGTTGTGCATACTTGTAGTACGATTTGAATGTGTTTACTGACCCGAATCGTTGATAGATGTCGGGAAATTACATATAAGTTTTAAATTGTTCCAACAATTCAATCATGTAAATGGCGAATAAATATTCAAACATATATACACTTAAGTATTATATCATATACATCATTAATGTGATCACTCAATAACTCTCTCACTCACTCACTCTCGGACACACTCACTCTACTACTTTACCAAGGTGTGAGGAGTGGGATAGAGACAGAGTGGCTTGACTTCAAGAATTGAATGAGTGAGTGTGAGTGTGAGGAGGTGATGGAGTGAATGATGTGAAATGATGGAGTGGAAGTGATCAAATGTGAGGGTGAGACTGGACTGTTGGATGATGCGGGGTTTGGTTGACTATCGAATGGGCCTGAGGGAGATACGAGAGAGAATATACTCCGATGATGATGATCGAACTTGATAGCTCGTGTGTGTGATGCTCACTCCCTCACTCACTCATACACATATATTCCAGTGAAGCATCATCTGACATCATCATCCCCATAAAGTCTTTTAAATCTATTATCTGTTATCGGGTCCTTTAATTACAGATACATATAAATACCCTTTGACATCAACTATTTTCAAGCCATTCTCTCTCCTCCAATCAAACCATCAATCATCTTCCAACACTACTTTATATCACTCTTACTCTATCTATAAGATATAAGATTAAAGATTAATCCTTAAAAATGACATTATACAGTAAGTTATCACAATGATCATTCCTTTTGAACTAAAGGTTATCAAGAATTAACACTTTACTCTGTTCTTTATTTCTAGAGAACCTAAGTAAGAGTGCAAATATGATGTTTACAAATATACCGTCATCGAATAATGGAGGTATCATAAATGTGGATCATAATAATAATGTTGTATCTCAAGGTTCAAACTCAACATCAAGGTTCACCATTGGGTTATTCTGGGAGAAGAAATTCTGGACTGACCTTTTTGGATAATTATTTATTTAAAAGTCTATCTCTTATGACTCGAACTATAATAATGTAATTTAAATATATATATATATTTACCATTGTAATACTATTATACTTTAATAATAATAATAAATAAATTAATTATTATCCATGACCAAGGTCATATATTAAAATTTTAATTTATGGGTCAACACATTTGTGAAGTTGCTTTCCAAAATTGGGCATCTTGATCCCTCATCATCACACTTGTTTTCATTTATTGATTACATGTACATAATCAAACAGATACACAACAACAACAATGAAATCCAACAACAATAATAACAATAACAATAACAATAACAATGTAATCAACAACAAAAGAACAAATACAACACCTGAACAAATGATATTGTTCAAAGAGATGTTTCAGAACCTTTATACAAACTTTAATATCAACTCTTTACCATTGATATTGATTAGACGTATATTGATCTTCTTACAATGTCATTACAATAGAATGTATAAACGTTATGACCTCATCTCAAACAAAGACTATGCCAACGATACAATACTACGCCTGTCACTAGTGTGCAAGAAGTGGGCACAGCAGGTCGTACCGTTTCTCACGCACTCCACCTACATTGTCAACTCAAAACCCCTGCTGTCAAGCTATCTGAAGCTGTCTGGCTACGGTCTGCTCTATCCCAACATGTTGCTGCCGTTCAATGGCAGCAAGATGCTCAACTTTATCAAGAAGTTCCCCGAGAAGTATCCCTACTCATTCGAGTCGCTTCGACTGGACATTGACCGGCGCCAAGTCCGCCACGCGCCCGACTCTGTGATCCCTGCCGACGTCTACAAGATGTTGATCACCGACACTCTTCACTCGATCCAGTTCCACTCGGCACAGTTCCAGTACAACGATATGGAGAACCTACTCACTGCGATCAAACAAAGTGATCAGTGCGCAATCACATCAATCGATCTGTCCAACGCATTGATCTCTGCTAGCTCCTTGCAGCTACTGGCAGACATTGTCGCAACCTCCAAGATACTCGTCTCTCTGTCGTTGTACCAGAGTACTTGCAGGAACCTAATGTCACAGGCAAGTGGATCAACGTCCACCTCCACTCCGACACAGGCGTTTATCAACGCACTGGGGGTCAACAAGTCGATACTTAGACTTGACATACAGTCATTTGATGCCGTCGACACTGCAGCCAATTTCTTCCCAATGATTCAATCGTTGTGCACTGGCAGCTGCCCTGTTGAGAAGCTCTACCTCACAATGCCGTCCGACTCTGATATCATGTCCAACTATGACAACAACGGAATGTTCCCATCGAATCCCACGATCAGCACACTGCGCAAGCTCAAGATCAACATGATGCCACTGGCTACGAGATCGTTTATCACATTCATCAAGGCGCTCAAGAAGGATCTTATCTCAATCGACCTCGCCGACTCAAACTTCTCCTCATACTCTTACGAAGCTGTTTTGCAATCACTGCCAAATGTACTCAATCTCAATATCTCGTCGTGTACCGTTCGCGATCCGGGCTCACAGCCAGTGTTGCACGATGAGAACAACGCCTTCTCAGCGCAAGGCGGTACGCACTTCCAGCCATACGACATGTTGTTCAAGTTCCACACTCACCTCACCAAGCTATTGCTGCGATCGTTTGGAATGTCCGACGAGGAGGCTCGTCATTTGTTCGAGTTGCTAAAGAGCAATCATACAGTGACCCATCTCAACATTGGCAACAACCAACTATCCTGCACCAACGAGCTGGTGGCACTGATCTGCACAAACACGACGCTGTCCACACTTATAATGGATCATAACAGATTCTGCAACGAGTTTGCCAAGTTATGTCTGGCATTGAAGCTGTCCAAGAGTCTGACCAGCGTGGATCTTAGCAGTAATCAGATCTCTGATGAGCAGGGTGTTGCACTGTCCGAATACATCTCGAATAGCACCTGCATCCGCCATCTCAAGCTGGCCAGGAATGGCTTCAGATTGCTGACCACCCATCGCCTGGGCTCAGCATTGCGCATGAACCGCTCACTAGTTACCTTTGACTTTTCCGATCACATTCTGGATCAGATCGCAATGGAGAACATACTTGATGGCGTGTGCGATCACCAGACCATCTCAGTTGTCGTTCTCAGGAATGTTGAGGGTAAGTCAGACATGTTGTCCTCGCTCCTCCAGACATTGGGACTGCGTTGCATTGTCATATTTTAAACCAATCAATCAAGTGATTGATGATACTGGTTGGATGTATTAAAACTGCTTTGGCTGAAGTATAACCTCCTCCTTCTTCTTCTTTGGTGTACCATTGCTTGTTGTAGACTTCTTCTTGCCAGTGGTCTTCTTCTTTGATGACGATGTCGATAGGTAGTCGATTGAACTACTGCTGCTTGGTGGCGTCGAGGACACTGGTATCTCGTTGAAAGAGTCCGCACTTGTTGACATTTGTTGTTCGCTCGTTGTACCATCTTGTGATTCATTCATATTCATTGATGTTACTGCTGCTGATGTATTCGACTCTATTGGTATATCATTGCCACTATTGTTGACAACTATGTTGTTGTTGTTGTTGTTATCCTGTGAGGCGCCCAAGTCTGAGGTGCCAGTGACTTGCGAGGATGACAACACTGATGCATTGGTTTGAGTGTTTGATGATGAAGACGACAATGATGATGATGATGTTGGGACAGTGGAGGGCTCGAATGTCTTGTGAAAGCTACTGAATGTAGTTGATGCAGTAGGCTTCAGATGTGATGAGTTTACAAATTGAAGTTGCTTACTACTCATTCATTCATTGATTGTTTGTTAGTAAGTGATGATAATGGATGATGATGGAGAAGTTGAGGTAACATACTTATTGACCAACTTTGATACCTTGTCAATAGAGGACAGAAGCATCTTATGTATGTGATCGAATGTGTTGATCTCTGCAAATATCTGTACGGTGCTAGTAGAGTCATTGACCTCGTATGACACTTCTTCTATATGAGTGGACAATGACTTCATGTCCTTCTACTCTCCATTCAACATGTTGGTTAGTACTACAATCAATCATTCGATCATTCATCCAATCAATCAATTCATTGAACAACATACCTTTAATGTTACATTCTTTGGTACTGCTTTCCTGATGTGCTCCTGTACATGGAACAGTCCTACACTTGGTTCATTAGCAATCTGATGAACATAGTCTGATATCTTCTTATTGGCTAATCATCAACAAATGTAAGTATCAAGGGTCATTGACTAGATCATCATACGATCAGTACTATATACTTTACTCTTTGTAATCAACTCTGCAGTGTTTGTATCAAGAGTTAGAGGAGCTTGTTGAGGTGGTGGTCTAATACTTGAACTGCTCATCTTCTACTTTGTAGGTTGTAAATAAGTATACAGATAATATAGAGTTAGAATAAATACAAATATAAGTAGTAAGGATGTCAATGACAAACTACTAAAGTCTCGGAAGAGTTGATGACAAAATGTGTGAAGAATCATGATTCTTCCATAGTTTTGTACTGTGTTGGTGGTGGGCTTGATCAGATGATGGCAAGGGAGTAACACACTTCCCTTTGATGTGGTTGTTGTTCCAACTCTCGCCTATCATCACACTATTACACTACCCTTACTCTTGCCGCCAACATCATCACACTATCCAACAACAAACAAACACATACACATAATTATACAAACACATAAACACCTCACAACAACCAACAAACAACTAACCCAACAATCAATCACTCTTCTTGGACACACAGGTCATGMTACTACGACAACTACAACTACTACTGCTACTACTTAAATGTGATTATTACTACCGACCAAACATATAATATAATATAATATATTAGATTACAACTACATACTACAACTATACAACTTATAAGACTTTATAACACATAACCATCACATGGCTAGCCAGAAACAACTGGAGGATATTATACACGAGGTCAATCGTGTAAACAAATCCTTGTTGGATGACTTGCTCACATTAAAGGAGGACAAGAAACTGACAAACACTCAACTCAACTCTGCTCTTGCCGAGAAGGAGAAGTTGTTGCTAAAGTACGAGAAGTCAAAGAAGGAGTTGGATGTTCACAAACAAAAGACTGAGGAATCTCAATCAATATTGGTATGATATGATACTTTGCTGATTGATTGAATGAATCACTAACATACTTACTTGCTATAGAGCGATTATGAGAGTGATGCTGCAAGATTAAAAGCAGAATGCCAGAGATTAAAGGATGATCTGGCGTCGAGGAATAGTGCATTGGATGAGGGAAATGTAAAGTTGGCAGCACTACAATCACAGAACACTCAATTGTTGGAGGATAAACAAAAGATTGAGGATACAATACGTAATATCAATGATAAGGATCGCAACATTGATTCACTCAACGCACAGATCAAGGAACTGAGCGCCAAGCAATTGATAATAGACAAACAACGACAGGATGACAATAAGAAACGAGTGGAAGCTGAGAGCTATACGTGTGGTCTCGAGAAACGTGTCGAGGAGCTCGAGGACCTGATGACCAAGCGTGAGGGCGACTCTAAGGATCTGAAAGCCAGGACCAAGGAGCTGCAAGAGAAGGGCGAGACGATCGCCAAACTAGAGGCACAGGTCACTGCACTAAAGGCCAACGTGGAGCAGCTCAACGAGCAGTTGGCGACGGCCGCACAGGACAAGACGACGATGGCTGAGGAGCTCAGTGTGTTCCAGACAATGTTGGAAAGAGAACAGAACAATAGACAAAAGGTGGAGGACGACACTGTCACGATGAGGAGTCAGCGTATCGTCTGGGAGAACGAGCTCAAGACCGAGAAACTCAAGGTGGCCGACCTCGACAGGATTGTCGAGAGACACAGACAGGACTACCAACTCCTAAAGGAGAAGCTCGACAATGTACAGTTGGAGTTGGCAAGTGAGAATGAACAGAACAAATATCCTAAAGCATCGTTTGGAGTCTGTGCCATCAACAATCAATCAATCAACAAACACTATACTGGCTGACCTGGACAACATGGCTGCTCAAGATTCTCTGTTGGTGATAGAGAAGGAGAAGTGCAGAAGGCTGGAATTGGAGCTGGACGAGTGGAAGAGGAGAGCTGGTGTCCTTACAAAGAGTGACAATGACACATCTGGCCTGCCGCATGGTAGCCCTCAAGAACAACAACAACATCAACTCACATTCCATCGAAGTAGTAGTAGCGATAGTACAGAGAGTTTGAGTGAGAATGAAGACACACCACCTCCAAAGGACCTGGTCATTGTGGAGGAGAGCGAAGCGTCGTCGACGTTGATGAATCAGCTGGAGGTCGAGAGAGCCCAGTTGCGCCAATGGGAGGACAGGCTGATATCAGAGCACCAGAGATGCAAGGAATTGATTCAATCAATTAAAGATCAACAACAGCAACAGAGACCATCATCCACAACAGATGACAAACATCTACAACAACAACATGTACGATTGTTGGAGACAAAGATTGTAGAGTTACAAAAGTCATTGGACAATGAACACAAGCAGAGGATGAAACTGGAGGAGTCAAGCAACCATTCGTCACCCAGCCCATCCACACCGACTCAACAACCTGCAGCAGCTGGAACATCATTCTTGGCGTCATCATCAAACAAGTTCTCATTCTTTTCCAAGAGGAACCTGTCACTGGACTTCTCACGAGGCAGGGACGATTCTGCTGGCGAGGAACAGGAAGAGCAGTCACAAACACCACCATCATCAACAGCCCAGATAACGCCGCCCAACGAATCAGAGACGGATCAAGAGAGAAAAGCAAGACTGTTCAATAGCTTCAATCAGCTGTTGGTTGACTGCAACTCAATCCTCTACGTCAAGAAGGAGCAGCTGATGGACATGGAGGAGAAGGGTGGATACTTTAAAAAGTTGAATCTCAATCTACATGCTCTAAAGTCATCGGTTGGCAAGCTGGACAACCTGCAAGAGAGGATCAAGAGGTGTTTAAAGACGATCGATTCAAAGGAGAGTGTCACCTATGATGAGGAGCTGGAGGAGAAGATTACATTGAAGTCGATGCAAGCAGAGATTGATCAAGAACGATAAGAGTTTGGTTGGATTGTTGTTGGCAATAAATCGTTTCCACATATGTGTGTACAGTGCGCACATAATAATATAATATATTGAATGAATACGTTTGATTGAATGCATTGAACGAATGAATGAATGGAATTGTAATGATGCTACATTGAGAATGAGTGTATGTCCATGTATTCTATCCTAACACGAGTAGGAATAATATAACGACAGCGTTCATCAAGACAAGTGGAACTGTGTTGATTGATTGATTGATCGATTGAATGATTGATTGGAATGAATGATTGAATGAACGAATGAGCGATTGAGGTCGGACCAAGACCATGAATAAAGTGATTGATGTTGTTAGTGATGAGCATTGAGTATCTAACCAATCAATCGTAGTTACATACTTCTGAAAAAGAATCGTAAGTTGTGTATCAGTGTTATACATTTGGCTTGGAATGAATCATAGTCCATATCGCTTCTAAGTCCCCATCCAACTAGATTATTGATTGATTGGTTGGTATAATGTTAGTAAGCTATCGCCATCTGTGATCGACTGGCTAACTGACTGACTGATTGATAGGCAGTCAATGACATACTCTTATTCAAGAATCTTTCATTAAGGATTGCGATGGCATTGACAAATAAGAGAAAAGAGTTAAAGAATGTCAATATCGAGAACATTCTTATCAATCTAAAGTTTATCTATCTATATATATATGTATATGTACAATTATTGTTTATTGTTGTTATTATGATAACTACCTGATGTGATTTGAATGTGTAAAGACACTCTAAGTAACAGTGATGAACAACACCTTTGTTTGGTGACTCAACAAAAAAAAACACCTGTTCATTCACACTCTCTCAAACACACCACTGACAATGAAAAGAGATAATGAATGAGTGTGTGGGAGTGGTAGGACAAGTCCTAGGTGTAGACCATAAAAGGAAGTTGGAGATCCTCTAGCTTGCCCAAGGATAGTCCACCTCCTTGTAGAGACTGTGTCGGTTGTCCTCCTTCAATGTCCCAACCAAACATAACAAAGCTAGCCCTCATTCTTTTATACAACAAACATACAAACAAACAACTAACAACAAATAATTAAATATCTTATATATTCAAACAACAATACAGAAAGAAAATGGACGCAGAGTCTGCCAAACCACAAGAGAACAAGATGGAGGAGGAGACAACTACCAACACTGCTGCAGCAGAGACTCAGTCTGGAGAGTCAGTGACTGAACAATTCCAAAAGATTGGCACAGACATTAAGGAGTCGGCAAAGGAGTTTGGCACTGATATGCATCAACATCTAAGTGAGACTGGTCAGACCATTGGTGAGAAGATGACCTCTGTTGCCCATAGTGTTGGTGAGGCCCTCAGCCAAGCTTGGGAAGGTACCAAGTCGGTGTTCCACTCAACAATGGAAGGACTTCATGAGACTGGTGAGAAGGTCAAGGAGACTGCCCATGAGAAGTTTAGCTCACCTGACAAGGTAGAGGTGACCACTCATACAACTGAAGAGAAGGACAAAGCTACAACTGTTACTGAGTAGTAAAGGTGGTACAAACAATAAATCAAGATTAATGTTGAGAATGTATATACATTAGAGTCATGGGGTAGCTCCAAGCACATCTCTTGAACATCTGTCTCATCATTCAATCAAACAATAAATATTAATCTCAATGATGTCTAATTAATCCTAATATGCAAACTTCCTCAACGAAGTACAATGTGTCATTTATCTAGACGGACAGATATTTATTGTTCCATCATATATTTGTTCATGTCCATGATATCACAATTCTAATATTAGAATATACTTTAGTAATTACTTTGGCAATCACAATAGGACACCTTGGCCAATACTATGGCACCAACCATTGTATACTTTGGCGATTGACACCTATTTGTATACTTTGATTTACCTGTAATTGAAAAAAGTAAATATTCGACCCTAGTAATTGCCATTGTAATTACCAAAGTACACTATTGAGTAGTCAAGTAAACCCAAACTATTGGTCATTGTATTCATGTGGTCTTGTCATGATGGTCACTACCGTACTGGTCTCTTTGTTTGGATCACCACAACAACCACCCCACGAAAACTAGATCACAACTATCATACATACCGCCGCAACATTCAGAAGGTATTCTTGATGTTTGGTTTACAACAATCAAGTTTGTCGAGGTAACTAAGGTAGTGGTTGTCACTGTAGATGTTGGAGTGATTGATGATGTTCCCTTTTCTGTTGTTGTGGCTGGCATCAAACTCGATGATGTTGCCCTTTGTCGAATTAACAGTTGGCGAATCACTAAACTTGGGAATGTACGCCGGCGGTCCTTCTTTATACAGACATGGTGTATTATAATCTTCAGATATCCTTGCTCTCCCGTGCAGCGCTCCAGGAATTCTTCACTATCCATTATTGCCACTCATTTTTCCAATTTTTTTGTCTGGAAAAGAATAATTTATTGTGATGGAAACATCAAATGACTCGATAGGAAGTCGATTAGACGATGGAGGAGGTAACGAAGGTGTTGAGTCCACACTCGCCGACGCCTCTCATAATCTTCAGATATCCTTGCTCTCCCCATGCAGCGCCCCAGGAATTCTTCACTATCCAATATGGCTTTGTTCCGCCGCTTGGGAGATTCTCCTCAGAGTATCCAACGATCAAAATACCGTGATCCAATGACTTGCCACATGGGAAATCAAAGACTCCACCAATGTAGAACTGCCATTCGACGGCATCAGCAGCAATGGCGAGTGGGCCGTGCTGGGCGAGGTAAGCAGCCATTTGGGTCTCGTTCTGGGAGACAAAGGTGAAGTTGGAGATCTTGGCACCAATGTTGGCAGCGTTAAAGTTGCAGGTCTCATCCTTGGCCTTGTATGGGTATGACTCCTCAGTGTCAATACCTCCGGTCTTGATGATGTAGGTGTAGGCGTTTGGCTGCAAACCACCGTTGCATCCATCATCACATGAGTTCTGACCCTGGTAGATCATGCACTCGTGATCACAGTCGACCAAGTTGGACTCAGAGAGACCAGTCAAGGTGTTTCCGGCAAGGAACCATTGACCCTCAACGTTTCCAGTGGTGGAGAAGGACCAGCATGAACCACATTGACCTTGGTTCTTGACTGGGGTGACGGCACCCTTGGTTCTCCAGTCGACAGCGGTTGGGATGTCATCAACTGGGAGATCCTCAGCAACGACGGCATTATCTGGACGGACGGCCTGGACGGCGTTCAAGTAGTACTTTCTGAACTCAGCCTGGTTCATGTCGGCAAACTCGGTGACACCGAATTGGGCGGTGGACTCCAACTGCTCAGACTTCTTGTTCAAGGCGTTGATGTTCTTCAAGTTGGCCTTGAAGGTGGCGAAACGAGCAGAGTACTCCTCAGAGGTGTACTGCTTGTTGAACTTGCTTTGGTAGAGTTGGAATTGGCGCTCCTCTGTTTATGTTTGAGTTTGGGGTTGGGAGAGAGAGAGAGATATGATAGAGAGAGGTATAAAGAGATGGTATTGATTGTTAGTATGATTGTTCATTCATTCAATCAATCAATCATGATTGACAATACATACCAGTGGAGAGCTTCTTGGCAGCAGCCAAGGCAACCAACATAATGACAACCAAGATGACGGCGGATCTCATTGTTATAATGTGTGTATTTGTTAATAAAGTAAACTTGAATAGTTATGAATTAAACTTGGTGTTTGCAGCTTCACTCTAAGTAACAATCCTTCCGTCAATCGGTCAGAGTGTACCATACCCTAGGCTTGCATTGGTCCTCCAACACACACTCACACACAACTTACAATTCAAATCCTATTTCCTACCAAACAAAATAAAATAAAATAAATTATAATTGAATTGTTAGGGTTGTTTGTATCAATTAATGGCCCACCATTGGGTTGAATGTGAAGGAATCTAGATATTCATTACTTTTGATTTTGTGTGTGAAGGTTGTGTGCTGTCAAGTTTGGAAGCACATAAGTCGGAATCCCATCCGAAGAATGTGTGGTAGTGTCAGAGACGGCTTCATTGCCCCCCATTGGAAGGGAGACACGGCGTAGATTCTCCTTTTGGAAATTTCATTATCCTTTTATTTACACGTACCGTCACGAGTAATAATGATGCTTGAAGATAAGGAAACAGATAGAGAGAGTAGAGGACACGTGCCCATTCTAACCTTTCAGGGCTGTACCATTGATGGTTCCCTTTGGGCTTGCAATAACAACTCCCGTCCCGATCATTCCCTCTATCAGTTCGGTCCGTCAGTTCGTCATGTGTGTGTGATATTGCATTGGCTCAGACTGCGATTAGTAGATTCAATTTGAATCGTGTGTTTACTTTAGCTTAACTGTACAGATAAAATGTGATGTGCTCATCCATGATTGATTGATTGATTGAAGCAATCAAAGAGCAGACCAGTACTACGTGATGGAAGACTTTGGAAACAGCGAGATCATGACCAGTCAATAGAGTCTTCCTTTGGCCTACAACAAATAGAGATACAACTCCTGAAGGATGTTGTTGTCTCATTGACATCACCACAATTGGCGCTCTAACAAGATACTTTGGTAAGTAAGGCAATTGCCAAAGTACACCATGATGAGTGTCAATTGTGGTTTATGTTTGGTGTTCTCTGCCCTGTCTACCAACTATGCTTGCGAGTAGATTGTACTGTCGAATGTTTGAAGTGAACCTCCAAAATGATAAGAGTTAATAAGTTTGAGAATTAAGTATTATTACTGCTTTCAGGAGAAGTATGTTATCATGATCTTCGTTGTGTCGATGCAGCCCTGAAATGAAATATGAACGGACTTCGAATACTAAATCAAAATAAAATAGATGGGAGGAAAAACGAACGAAGGTTTGATTGAATGAGTGTGGTGAAGACATACACACTTATGTTCTCTCTTATCTCTTTAGTTTATTATTATTAACATACATATATATATTCATTCATTCATACATATACATACTATACTATAATGGATATAAAACTTAGAAATAAGAAAGGCCTTACAAAGGCAAAACAGACACAGAACAAGTACCTTCAAAGAAAACAACAAGATTCAAAAGAGTACAAGAAACAACAGTTGTTACAAGAGAGGTCATTGGCCAATGGTACAGAAGAGTTACAAACAAAGAAGGATAATAAGAAGAAGGTGTCAAGTGATGTCGCTGTACCTGGTCTAAAGATCAAGGCCGACCTAAAGGACGTCTCGGCCAAGTGGGCAATGACTTCATCATTCTTTGACAAGGCAATTGGTGACGATGTCAACAACGATATGTTTGAGAACAATCTGGACATTAATGATAACTTTGACACAAAGATATTTGGTGATCAAGATGACGATGATGAAGATGACGAGATCATGCAGGGCGACGACGACGAGTTGGGACTGGACCTCGAGTACAACGATGATGCTATGGACAGCGACGACGATAATGACAATGATCTTGATGGTGAAAATGACTATGAGGGCATTGATATGTCCGATAACGATGACATCCAAGAAGATGGCAACAACGACGAACAAGTCGCACCAAAGTCAAAGAAATCCGCTGCGAAAAAGGATGCATCCTCTGAGGATGCCTCATCATTCCCCTCAATCAAGGATGGATCTGTGGACTTTGGCGGTGCCGAGGAGGAGGACGAAGAGGGTGGCAAGAAGAAGAAGAAGAAGGTATCTGGTGGAGGCTTCCAGGGAATGGATCTGCACAAGTCACTTTTCAAGGCAATCGTGCGCAAGGGATTCAAGGTACCAACGCCCATCCAGAGAAAGACCATCCCATTGATTATGGCTGGCAGTGATGTGGTGGCCATGGCCAGAACAGGTTCTGGAAAGACCGCTGCATTCGTCATCCCAATGATCCAACGTCTGGCCGAGCATTCAATGAAGGTTGGCTGCAGGGCCATCGTACTCTCTCCCACCAGAGAGCTTGCCATCCAGACCTACAAAGTCATCAAGGACTTCACCTATGGCAGCACCCTTAGATCATGTCTAATTGTTGGAGGTGATAGTATGGATGATCAGTTCTCAGAGTTGGCCAGGAATCCAGATATGTAAGTGACCATGGTCACTCATTCAATCAATCAATCAATGACAACAACTTACTAACCACGATACACTCACCATCATAGTATCGTTGCCACACCAGGTCGTCTGATTCATCACTTGCAAGAGGTCGGAATGAGTCTGTTCTCTGTGGAGTATATTGTGTTTGATGAGGCTGATAGACTGTTTGAAATGGGTTTCCAACAACAACTCCAGGATATCGTCTCAAAGCTTGGTGACAACCGTCAATCACTCTTGTTCAGTGCTACCCTACCATCCATGTTGGTGGACTTTGTCCGTGCTGGTCTTTCCAATCCAATCCTTGTTCGTCTAGACAGTGACACCAAGATAAGTGAGAACCTTGCAGTATGTATATTTGTTATAACATCCCTCATTCATTCAATCAATTACTAACCAATCAATCAATGGATACATGTATAGTTGTCATTCTTTACAGTTAGACATGATGAGAAGTTTGCTGCACTGTTATACTTGTTGAAGGAGGTGATTGGCGAGCAACAACCTACTATAGTGTTCGTCTCTACAAAGTATCATGTGGAGTATCTTAGTATTCTCCTTAAACTGGCCAATATAGACAACACAATCATTCACGGTCATTTGGATCCAGTGGCTCGTAAGATCAACCTGGCCAAGTTCAGATCCAATGTGATCAGTGTCATGATCGTCACTGATATTGCCGCACGTGGTATTGATATCCCGCTGCTGGACAATGTCATCAACTTTGATTTCCCTCCCAAGGAGAAGATCTTTGTCCACAGAGTTGGTAGAGTTGCCAGAGCTGGACGTCGTGGAACTGCCTACTCTCTCGTGTCCTCTGATGAGGTACCATACATGCTGGATCTGCATCTCTACCTGGCCAGGAAGCTAAACAACAAGTTGGAGGCAGGACAGAGTCTGGATGACCTCACATGTTCATTCTATGGAAACATTCCACAACAATTGATCGATATAGAGAATGAGTTTGTCAAGATCAAGAAGGTCGAGTGTGCCGAGCTTGTAAGTTCATCCATTCATTCAATCAATCAATCTATCAACCTCACTGACCAACTCAATCAATCAATTTGTAGGCATCAATGAACAACACAATCAACAATGCACACAAGAAGTTTGTTAGGACTAGACCTGGAGCATCACATGAGTCCAACAAGAGAGCCAAGGTGTTGAGCAAACAGTTATTGCATCCAGCTATGGTGGACAAGATTGATTCTTCAGAGGTGGAGAGGAACAACTTTGTAAACTCACTCAAGGCATTCAGACCTGCTCAGACCGTGTTTGAACTCGAGATGAAGAAGGCAAGAGACGCAACCAGTGCCCTGGTCATGAAGGAGAAGAGAAGAGTGCACAGCCATACAATCGATCGTAGAGCCAAACGATTGGAGATGGAGGAGGCTGCAAGGTTGGTTCAAGAGGACGACACTATCGATCAACAGGCACAGCTTCAACTGCAACAGGCCGAGTTGGCCAAGAAGAGAAAGAGGAGCGAGGAAGACAGTGATGCAGATGAGGACGAGGGCGCCGACGACCAAGACAACTACCTGGCGAGCATAGACAGAGCCAACAAAAGTGGCAAGGAGATTGCCAGCGAGTTGTTGGAGAGACAAAAGAAGTTGGCACTGCAGCAACAACAGAATGGATACAGTGTGACGATTGACGACTCGTCATCAGGAGACGTGGCTACCAACGCCAAGAAGAAGACCAGGACATCGTCCAAGGACGAGAAGTTCTTCATGTCCTCAACACCATCCAACTTCTACGAGGAGCGCGCACTCAGTGTCACATCCAACCTGTCCAAGGACGACGAGGTCAACCTCAACCCAGACGACGATCGCCACAAGAAGATCGGAGGCACGATGAAGTGGGACAGAAAGAAGGGCAAGTTCGTCGGTGTCCAGAAGGACGAGTCACAAAAGAAGAAGAACTTGGTGAGGAACGAAGCCGGTGTGCTGATCGACGTCAGCAAGTCCAACAAGAACGCATACGAGGACTGGAAGAAGAAGACCAGATCTAGAATCCAGCGCACAGGCGAGGAGGAGAACCACAGACTGCAGCCCAACCAGAAGGATTACGTGCCAATGCAATGGAGAGGAAAGAAGGGCTCCAAGGAGAAGGAGGAGCGCGAGTCCAGCGGTGGACTGGTTGGCAAGAAGGCCAAGCGTCCAGAGGTCAAGAGCAAGTTCGATATCCAGAGAGAGCGTAACGAGAAGGACAGAAAGATGAAGGTCAACAAGTCCAAGGGTCCAGGTGCCAGCGCCGGTGGCGGTGGCGGAGGCAGAGGTGGCGGACGTGGTGGCAGAGGTGGTGGTCGCGGAGGCGGCGGCGGCGGTCGTGGTGGTGGTGGTCGTGGAGGAGGTGGTGGCCGTGGAGGTGGCGGTGGCCGTGGAGGAAGTGGAAGGAGAGGAAAGTAATAATAATATTAATAGTAATAAGAATAAACAACGCCATTGGCGCATCATTGTCGTTGCAAGATGTACAAGGAATATGAAGTAATTTAATCGGTTGCTTTAGTTTGGCCCGTTGATGAGGAGGAGTAGCCAACTACTCTCTCACCGTTTGATAAGCTTGATGTGGATAGCAGAGCAATGTCTAATCTTTGTTACTGAGTCTAGGTACTAAAGTTGGCGGTGCGTTAGTTCCTTTCTTCGTTCGAGCGTACCATGACCTAATCAATCAACATACTTCAACATTGGGATCATAGTGATCTAGTATCTCTTCGGTTGTTGTGCTTGGTGAAAGGACAAGGCCATCTACATGTCGTTGCAAGTATAATGACAACTTGATGGCAGGCATTATTGCTGCCCCAAGTCCATGTATACTGATCTCTTTGGCACTGTAGATATGATGGTTTGTTAGTCAGTGTTACGTGCATAAGTGTCTCCACTGCACAAACCTACCCTTGTAGGAGCAACAACTTCTTTGCTCGTTTAACGTAATATATAAACTTGCCATTCGTTGACAAGTAGATGTCGTTCTTGTTGGCATGAGGTCGTTGAACAGCCCTTCTCATGTATGAGTCTGTCGTGACGAAGAGGTAGGTTAGATCCAATTGCTTGATTGAATGATTGAATGACTGATTGATTGATTGATTGATAACCTACACAAATCAGGGTCTTGAGTCAAGTCCTCCTCTACATCATCAGTATCATTATTATCGACCTGTATTGAATCATAATCTAAAGTATCATCATCGTCCCCATCAACATGGTCATCATTAGCTATATCATCGACCATCGCATCCTTATTCTTCTTCTTTGTCTTTGGCATATCTATTATAGTTCATTATGATTATGGTTCGTTGCAGACTACACTCGTCAAACAAATGTACACTGACCTGGTGATCTTTCAAATCTACCACATCCCCCATCCAGTTTTGTCAATGATTGATTGGAAGTATATGAATTGGCTCATGGTTCCAACTACAATCTTAATCAATAGACACTAACATATGGAGTTTATTGATTGCTCAATTTGTAATTGATTACAAATAAACATTGAGATCATTAGAAAAAACGACTAATTAGATATTTTTATTTAATTTTATTCATTTAATTGATAATTTTGTGTGTTTGATCATCCTTTCATGAACATCTTGATGGGTGGGACCTGTTGGTACTTGAACCAGTAGTAGTCGACATTGAACAAATAATATACATACATATAACAACAACAACAATGTTCTCTTACATCACATCATTCTTCTTTTATATTGGTTTGATCACCATTGTATCCTATGCTAGTGAGTACTCAAACAATCGCATCAATCTCATCAATCGCTCGATCATATACTTACTAACTTACTTCTTAGTCCCATTGATATTGGCAGCATACAAGTGGGGCCCACAGGACTTGAAGAAGAAGTACAATGCCAAGTGGGCTTTGGTCAGTGGTGCCAGCTCTGGTATCGGTAGAGCTGTTGCTACGAAGCTCGCTCAACAAGGCCTCAACGTTGTGTTGGTGGCACTTGACGACGAGGCACTGAAGGGCACACACCAGTCGCTCTCCACTCAGTTCCCCAACCAGCAGTTCCGCGCTGTCGGCGTCAACTTGGGCCGTGCCGACGAGACCTACGACTACATGCCAATCATCGAGAAGGCCACCAAGGACATCGATGTCCAGATCCTCATCAACAACGCTGGATACATTCAATTGTCCGCCTTCTTCCGTTCACCAATTGCTAAGCAGCTCGCCAACCTCGAGTGCAACATGATGTCACACGTCAAGTTGACCCACTTCTTCCTGTCCAAGATGGTGGAGAAGAAGCTCAAGGGTTGCATCACATTCACCAGCAGCCAGTCGGCCTTCTTCCCAGCACCAAGCTGCTCGACCTACGGAGGAGGCAAGGCTTTCCTCGCCGAGTTTGCCGCCTCGCTCGCCATTGAGTGCCACAACTACGGCATCGACGTGCTCTGCCTGATGTCTGGCCCAATCATGACACAGTTCTACGACAAGGCACCAAAGCTCAGCGCATTCAAGTTCTTCCACTCCATTTCAGACACACCGGACACTGCCGCCGACATCATGTTGAATGGAGTTGGACACATCACCTGGAGAGACAGTTCATTGTTCACCATGGCCTCGCGTCTCGTCGTCAAGGTCATCGACATGAACCTCCTCATCGCCGGTATTGCCCGTGGCCAAGGTTTGTCCTCAGACTTTAAGAATCATCCAGAGTTACGTTAAGTCCATCGACCAATATTGAGCTGTATATCCAATAAAGTCACGCTCATGTTAATTGGTTCATCCACTGCCTAAGATAAACATGCATGATCGATGTGAGAACGTGAACACAAACAGTGTCACAGTGAAGCTATTGGCAGTTTACTGGTCATGATCAGACCATCACTGTTGAGTATGATGGGTCCTGCCGGAGTGATGTTGTTGCCAGATGATCGCAGACTGATGGTGGCCGTAGGGCCATTGCCAGATCCTATACCAAGTTGTTGCTCGTATGCCTTCAGTGCCTTGACGAATGAGAAGTTGGGCTGTATGATAGACCTCTTCTCTTTGATGAACGCCCGCGAATGGTCGTAACTATATCTGTACTCTTTCATCAGGTAGGAGATGACGGCGGCAGTACTACGGCTGACGCCCATCGCACAATGTACTAGTACACGCTCATTCCTGACTCGTGCCTCATGTATGAACTGATAGATTGCCGGGAAATGTGATGTAAGGTCTGCCGTGAAGTTATCCTTCAGGTCTGCTCTATAATACTTGAACATATGAGGGAAACAGTCTTCCAACTCCACTGCCATGTTGACTATATATGTTATTTCTTGGAGAGGAGCAAACGAGTTAGTGATGTGCGTTGTACGTATTGATCACTAATATGCGAGACTTACTTAGCTGTTTGAGTTGGGAGACGGAGGAGGCATTCTCATAAGACCCCAGATAGAGGAAGTCCTCGAGAACCTCGGTCGGGTAGACTTGGCGCTCGCGTGCACTCTGCTTGGAGGGCTGATCGGTGCCAGCCTGACATAGGAATGGGTACTTGTGTTGATAGGCGCTAAAGCCTGCGTGATAGATGGCGATCTGCGCCTTCTTACGACGCGCGATCAGATAGTGAAGTACATGATTGTCCCAGTTGTCAGAGTCGATTCGAAAGGGATGACAGTCGCCCGACTGATGCAGGTCGATGTTGGCCTGGTTGATGTCCTTGGTGAATCGCCCATCGGATATGACTACAACCTGCTGGAACACCAGGTTCCAGTACTTTACGCCGGTGTAGCTGGCGATGTATTTGGTAATGTTGAAGTCAAAGTCGGTGGGAACGCGGGCATTGTCCGCGCTGCTCCTCAGACTGTGCAGCTGTTGTTGCTGGTTGGCCAATAGGATGTCCTTGGTTGGTGCCGGTAGATTTACAGAGTCTCGGATATGGCATTGTTTCCACTGATCGCTCGGTCGCAGATCGATCACCAACTTGTTGATAACAATATCTTGCATTAGATTATACAAGTCTGTTGTGCCAATGTCATGTGAGCCATTATAATGTATATTGTTGATGTTGTTATTGGGCATCATATGGCCTTTCAACAGATCAGTGGCCTTTGCAATTGATTCACTATCTATTGGTGTTGGTGGAGATGATGTTGTAGTGGCTGCTGCTGCTGTTGAGATGAATGCTGAGTCGTTTGGTCCGGACCGACCAGGTGATGCACCAAGCAGAGTCATTATATTGTATAATACACTAATAATACTAATAATACTAAACTAAACTATGAATATATATATATATGTAAGTATGTATATATATTACTTGTAGAAGACCTAATTATGATTAGACGAGGGTTCGACAAAACTTAAACACGACTAGTATTAGAGTGTGAGTGTGTGTTTGTTCCAGGGCATCTTCGTTGGAAATTGGTGTGTTGGACATTAATTTAATAATAATAATTAATAATTAGCAACTTTATGATGAAATTGGGGGGATCTGAGTGGTTGTTTGAAAATTGTACACACAACAACTCACACATTATTGTGAAGTTGAACAACAGGTTGTTGCAAATGAATGCCAATGTTTACCTGACTGTCAATCATTTATGATCCCATCCACATCTCACACACTAACTCACTAATATCCATTAATAATATCAATAATTACCTACAACTAGTATCTACTTTGAATCGAATTGAAATACAACTCGGTGTAATACACAAGCAAGAAAGCAAGCAAACAGCAAAGAAAAGAATAAGATGTCAGAAGATTTGGTTGATTTGGACTTTGGTACTACGACAGAGTCACCATCGGCAGCAGCAATGCCAATGTCAAATGAAGCGTTGATATCATATGATTCACCAAGTTTGTCGAGGAAGAATACAAAACCCGCTGCAGCTGTGTCGACACAGGCTGGAGGTGGCGGTGGTGGCAATTTATTCGATGATCTTGGAATGGAGGATCCAGCGACCAAACAACAAAATGCAGCCAATGCTGCCAGCAACAACAGCAACAGCAATCCACTCAACTCATCTGCCACTCTTATCGACTTTTCCTCTCCACCACCTTCAACCAAGCACTCTCATGATCAAACTGATAGTAGCAGTTGACACTCTTCTTCTGGATCACCTCTTCTTCTGTACAGATATGATGATGATATCACATTAAAAGGCGTTTCAAACTTTTGTAATAAATATAGATAGGATAGATAGATAGAATAATAATCACATGACATCAACAGTCTTGATCTTCTTTGGTGATCATTTCCAAAATAGATCAAGTTGTCAACTTTCAGGCTATGTCCATGTCATCCTTCCCATCCATCCATACATATCCTAGAGTAGAACAACCCAGACACATACTCTCACTAACACTAGCACACTCACATACACCCATTTGTTTACCATACTCATACACCAAACACACACCACTTTTGTATCTTATAAGTGTATCTACAACATACTTCAATTGGTAATAACACTTTATTTAGAAAGTGAGATCCATACACTTTGTCCTGTTTGGGTAATATAGATAGGAATCGACCGAGATAATTGAATATGTCTTTCAACTGTATTGAGATTGAATGCTGCTTGCGATGAATGGATGAACCATTGTGTTGTCCTTGCATATGACTAACTGACTGAAATGACATGTCATGTGAGTATGTGGGCTAGTTGGCTGGATGAATGACGGACTGACAAACAATCTTGGTACGAATCAATTCAATATCCTACCTAGATAGAGAGTTAGAACGATACAGAGAGATAATTAGTTCATTCATTAATATTAATTAGTTAATAACTATCTTCATTATTGTAGTTAGTGATTGGAAATCAATAATTAGAACAATTTAATTATAGTATTTGGATATTTATTTAATTATTATTAAGATAAGAATAATAAAGTAAGTTCATATCATCATCATCATATTCATCATCCATCATCATAATACTTACCTAATCAATCTATCAATCAATAATCTAGAAATGGGAAAAGGAGACACAGGAAAGAGTGATATCAAATCTGCAACGGCAGAGATGAAGAATGAGTTCAAGGCATACTCGGTGGAGGCTGCTGATAATATACAACAGGAGGTCCACAAGACATTTGATGATGTCAAGTCGGCTTCATCAAAGGCTGTCAACGATGCCAAGGATGTATATGGAAAGACTGTCAACGAGGCCAAGGATGCATTTGGAAAGACAAAGGCACAGGTCGAGCAAAAGGCCGCCAATGTCAAGTCAGACATAGAGAAGGAGATTAACAAGGCCAAGGACTCTGTGGCCGAGGCCAAGAAGGAGGCTGAGAAATGGAAGTCCTCTGCCGAGCGCAACGTTGAGGCGGCCAAGGAGAAGTTGTCCGAGAGTGCCCAGACCTTGAAGGACAATGCTCAGAACTTGATCAAGACATCCAACGAGGACATCCAACAGATCAAGGAGGGTGCCCAGAACGTTGCCAAGAAGGTGGAGAACATGGTGCAGGACGGCACCTCTGGTCTAAAGAAGTCAATTGGTGACAACATTGGCTACGCCAAGGAGAAGATCCAAGAGGGAGTGGAGAGCCTCAAGAACATGGGTGCACCCAACTTGGACCAGACCGGAAGCTTGAGGAAGGAGTGGGAGGAGCTGGACCGCACTGCCAGACAATGGCCACAAATGTTGTCCAACTCGATCGAGTCTGCTGCACCAATCGCTGGCGCCGCCATCGGTTCACGTTCATGGGAGGGCTGGCACATGGACAAGCCATCCAGTGACCCAGACCAAGACTTTGTCGACGGCAAGTTGGTGAAGGATTGGGGTGGCCAGTCATGGTCACGTGGTGGATTCAACACTGATCGTTCAATCAACACTGATCAATACAAGACATCATCCAAGATCCAGGAGCGTGGCACTGGTCTTGACCTGCGCCATGGTGTCCATGATCTACAATCGTTCGTTGACGGAAGAGCCTCGACCATCAGACAACAAGTGGCCCAGGGCTCATCCATGCTCGAGAATCAGATGTATCGTGGCATTGACGACCTAAAGAAGAGCTCACTGAATGTCCATGAGGAGCTCAAGAAGAACGCCGCCCTCCTCAACGAGCAACTGAACGCCGGCACCAATGACCTGGAGAACGAGGTGCGCTTGGGAACCTTGGACCTGTTGGACAAATTGAAGAGAGACACCCACTCATTCAAGAAGTCAATCAAGCAAGGTGCCAACCAGCTCCAGGAGAAGGTGAACCAGAACGCCAACGAGCTGCACTACAAGATCCACAACTCGATCGAGACCTTGGATGGCGTGGCCACCGTCAATGCCAACTTTGAGGGCCTCAAGGACAGCGTCAAGAACAGCTCCAACATCCTCGGCGCCGAGGCTGACCGTCTCCACAACAAGATGCACAATGGTTCCGTTGTCCTGGAGAAGAACGCCCAGCAACTCCAGAGTGATATCGAGGCCGGTCTCGAGAAGCTCCGCCAGGAGGCATTGTTGCTCCAGAAGAAGGCTGCCGATGGAGCCAAGGGTCTCCAGGTCGAGGCCGTCACCCTCCAGGGTGAGGTCGACACTGGTCTGCACAAGTTGAAGAGCAAGGCCAACGAGCTCCAGCTCAAGCACCAGGGCGAGCTGAAGCAATTCCAGCAGCAGCTGGCCAAGGAGTTTGAGGGCAGCCTCAGCAAGATTGGCACCATCCAGTCTGAGATCAAGGCGGGCACCAACCAGCTCCAACAACAAGTGCGCCAAGGCACAGCCGAGTTGCAGGGCTTCATCAAGAAGGGCTCTCAAGACTTGAAGGACCTAGCCGACAATGGTGCTGGTCTGTTGGAGAAGCATGCACAGATTGGCATTGACCGTCTCAATGAGGAGGCATCCAAGGGCTACACAGAGTTCAAGAGGAACGTCCACTACGTGCCACCACAGACTGACGCCAAGTTCAACGCTGGCCAGGAGCAATGGGGCACAGGCGACCGTTGGTTCGGTAGCTTCATCTCCACCACCAACGACAAGATTGGTAACCTCGTCAACATGACCAAGGAAGAGACCGAGGGAGTGACCGAGCAGGCCAAGAGCGCATGGTGGGACTTCTCCAGCTGGGGATGGTCGGGACACAAGGCCGAGCCAGTCAAGGTCACCAGTGACTTTATGCACCAGACCAAGGAGATCGCCAACGACGCCTTGACCAGCGCAAAGGAGATTGTTGTCGACACTTTGGAGACCATCCAGAAGGACCACAACAACAACTACCAGCAGACCTTTGACGCCCTGCGTGAGGTGCCCAAGATCATCTCCAACGTCACGACCAACGTCACCAGCACCGTTAATAACAGTGCCAACAACATCGATGAGAAGATCTCCGAGACCGTCAACAGATCCGTGCGCTCTGTCAACAGGGACTACTGGAACGACCTCGACCATCTGAACAAGCAGAGCGGTGCCCTGTACGCTGCTCTTGGAGGTGTTGGAGGCTCGATCATCACCAGCTCCATGTTTGTTGAGAATCCATCGCCACTGACCCGTTACGGTGCCATCCTCGGTCTGGCTGGTCTGGGAGGCTGGTACGGTCTCACTCGTCCACACATGCAAGAGCGTAGAAACATCATCTTGCAACACAGAGAGAAGAAGCAGGAGCACAAGTCCTTTGAGTAAGGGTACTGTCCTGGTCTAGCTCATCACCATCACTTCACACGCCTTTAAGCTGGATTTGGTAGTGGTCAAGTTCAATTAGAACTTTGGCGCGCAAAACAGCCCATATTTGTACATAAACATCACCACAAAAAAATTAATTAAATTTATTAACTATTATTATCAAAGAAAGATAGTTCTGGCCCAAAAATAAGCATCAATGGGGGTGATGGATGGATGGATTGATGGGTAGGTGTCTTAGACAGCTTGTTTGATTGAGAACAAGGTAATAAGTATCTTGATCAATACCATCGTTTCATCCATTCTCTTCCATCACAAACACACAGACAGTCCAAACACACAATCACACACTCCTCTTTGACACCAATCAATCAATCAATCAAACAAACAAACATAGATTGACATTCACTCACTCACTAACTCATTCATTCAAACACAAACACACTCGACTGACTGACTGACTCTCTACTTTCTAAAGTGCACAACAACAACAACGAAGAAGAGAGAGAATTAGTAGTTTAGAGAGAATGTCTCTATTGCATCACCAACTACAACAACTACAACAACAATAGCATCATTATCTAAAACGACTATAATTGTATTGTGGAGCACGCACTGACAAGGCAGTCTTGAAGTCAGCGGCAACACTACACAACACACGACTCGACTACATACATTCATACATTCATATATCTATATTACAATACAATCAAACAAATACAATGGACCCAAAGATCATACGTATAGGATGTGGTGCAGGCTACCAAGGCGACAGAGTACCACCAGCACTCAAGTTGGTAAAGGAAGCAAAGTTAGACTACTTGGTACTGGAGTGTTTGGCCGAGAGAACACTGACTGACAGTATCCGACGTATGAAGAATGGTGGCAAGGGCTTTGATCCACGTCTGAAAGAGTGGCTAGAGGCACTGCTGCCGGCAGCCTCACAGAACAATGTCAAGATCATCACAAACATGGGCGCGGCAGACCCCAAGGGCGCAGGCGAGGAGGCTCTGGACGTCGCCAACGCACTCGGAATTGACCTGAGGATCGTTGTGGTGAGCGAGGTTGTTGGCGACAGTGGCGAGCTCAAATCGATAAGCACCATCGTCAAGAAAAGCTCTGCCTCCTCGAACCAACCCCTGTCTAAGCTCGTCGCCATGCCAAGTTCCAACGGCTTCTCCGTAGTCGATAGCAACTTCAACGATGAAGAGAATGAAAACTGGGAAGTTGGATGTACATACCTTGGCGCGGACGCCTTGATAGATGCTCTCAAGCTTGATGCTGACCTAGTTGTAAGTAGCACCTTATCACTTCAACATCACTCAATCACTCACGCTCAATCTTCAATCAACAGATAGCTGGAAGAGTTGCCGATCCGAGTCTCTTTGTCGCACCGATCGCATATGCATTCGGTTGGAACTTGGCAAAGGATTTCAATTTGGTGGCTCAAGCTACACTGGCCGGACACTTGTTAGAGTGCGGATGTCATCTTACTGGCGGCTACTTTGCTCATCCACTGGGAAGAGACACCAACTTTGATCGTCTGTTTGATCTCTCACTGCCGTTTTGCGAACATGGATCGTCATGGCAACATGGTACTGGGCAAGCTTGAGGGAAGTGGCGGTGAGCTCTCCCAACGCACATGTAAACAACAACTCACCTACGAGATTGGTGACCCAACTCAATATATCACAGTATGTATCCACTCAATCAATCCAATCCAATCAGTGTCAATCACTAACTCGATCAATCATTGTTAGCCCGATGTCATTGTTGACTTTAGCAACGTACAGTTTAGAGAGTTGAATGTAAACAGTGTCATTGCTCATGGAGCAAAGGGTAGATCGCGACCTAATGACTTGCTAAGACTGGTGGCCAGGAATGCTGGATATAAGTCATGGGCAGAGATATCGTATGGTGGTCTGGGCTGCGTGGAACGCGCCTATTGGGCCAGCAAATTAGTACACAAGTGGATGGAGGAGCGCAAGAAGGGCATCACCAAGAACATCATGACCTACCTCGTCGGCTACAACAGCCTGTACCTTACACATGGCTCACGCTTCCAATTCCCACCGACCAGTCTGCCATCAAACATACCCTCCACTGGTAGCGACACTCACTCAGACTTTGCATCGGGCTACCCGCCCGAGGTACGTCTTCGCTTCGACGGCCTGTTTGAGTCCAAAGAGGATGCCGAGTCACTTGGCCTCGAGCTCCAAGGCCTTGCCCTATGTGGCCCTGCCGGAGGTGGTGGATATGCCTTTGGCATAAAGAAAGGTAAGTACTTGGCCAATATGCCTTCCCTGCATTTACATAAAGGTCATGAAGCTAACTCAACCACTCAATCAATCTCATCAGATGTAAAGTTAGTTCGACAATTTGTTAGCAGGGAGCTCGTGACATGGAACACGATCATCTACACAAACAACCTTAGCTCAAGCACAGCGACCAGACAGACGTGGGGAGACGTTGTACATAGTTCCTCTTCGAGTGGTGCATCATCGCCACCTCAAGACTATGGCCATCGCGTCCATCACACGCTGAACAACCATGTGGTCCGCTACCAGGGCAACGGCAACAGTGCCTGGCGCAACCCTCTGTATACAATCATCGACACGGCTCGCCTGTCCGGCCGGGTGCTGCTCTACAACATCGCGCACTCAAGGAGTGGCGACAAGGGCGACATCTCCAACATCAGTTTGATACCATACAACCCAGCTGACTTTGAGAGACTGTGTAAGGTGGTCACCAAGGAGTGGGTGCGCAACGTCTACAAGAACGTGCTGCGCGCCGAGTCTGACGTGACGATCTTCGCACTGCCCGGCATCAAGGCTATGAACATCCTGCTCAATCTGGCACTGGACGGTGGCGTGTGCATCAGTCGAAGGATTGATCGTCATGGCAAATCATTGAGCGACCTCATCCTCAACCAATGGATCGACCTGCCACCCTTGGCATCTTTGTAACATTTTATCCTCCCAATGAACATACCTTAGGTTGTCTTTGGAGATGTCATCGTTCCACAACGACGTTGGCTTCTTCCCTTGCACCTTAAGTGTTTAATCCAATTCAAGTCTGTGTCTGTGAGTGGCAAAGTAGTTGCCAGTGAGGGATGTGCCTGTGGGAGTGCGGGTTCAAGTTCATTCATTCATTCATTCATTCAATCAATCAATCAATCACAACATATATACATTACAGACATGTCTACATTTACAGACTTTGGTGATGAACTACTTGTTCCATTGTCTAATGATGGTACACTCTCACCTTTACCATCATCCACATCACAGTCACAAACACAACAAAGACCATCATGTTACTATTGTCTACTGTTGAAGGAGTACACTACAGATCAACAAGATGATCAATCAACTACTACAACTACTACAAATACAAATACATCTACACCACAGTCATCATTCACATTGAAGATCATACAGACCAATGCCAACGATATGCAATCGATCAATATCAAGTCATTCATACTGTCAAAGTCTTTGAAGAATATGATCTACAAGACAGGCTCAATAGGCACGATCGAGGAGCCTGAAGCCACCAACCTAATGGACAGCAGGGTCAGCCTCACTGCTGGCGGTGGCAAATCAATCACCTCATGCTACTACACATTGATCGAGATACAACAGCCGATCAAAGACACAGACATAGACACAGACGTAGACACAGACAACACAAAGTTTGACGACAGCAAGAAGAGTAGTGGCAGCATTGACATCACCAACTCCAACAACAACAGTCCAATTGTCAACTTTGAAGATCTCGACTTTAGTATCAACATCAATGATAATCAATCACTCATTGCAGATATGGAGAGTTGTGGCAATATAATACAAGAGTACTGTCTGTGTCTATGCTATGAATACCCAGACACTGAGCCCAACAGATTGGAGGCGTTCCATCTCGAACTGCGCTACTTCTGTCACGACATTGGATTCATGCTAAAGGGTGCCAACCAAGAGGAGTTGGACACAGTGCTCACGAGCTGGTATTCAATCTGTATCAACTATATGCCCCGAGCGATCGACCTATTTAATGACCAATTCATGTACATACTGCACGCCTCACTCAAAGGCTCGCGATTCGAAATAACCGCCAACAAGTCAGTTGGAAAGGACATCATCAAGTATGTTATATGATTGGATAGGTCATTGATCAATCACTAACATGATCACTTATGTAGCTTCTTAAAGACCATCAGTATTCTTAATCCATCAGTCACAATGGTGTCTAATAATGGCACTAGTGACGACACTACCATCAATACATACTTGCTCGAGCCAGAGATTGGAGGCGAGTTGGGCAACAAGTTGTTGGTCAAGATTGTTGTTGGTGGCAGCGGCGAGATCAATGTGAACTACACAATGTCCAATGGATTCTGTAAACGATGGTGCAAGAAGTTCTTGGACAATAGGACCGACTCATTGTCCATGCGTAATCTATCAGAGGAGATCAAGCTCAAGGTGATCCAGGAGTTGAACCTCTTCCGACGCATGGTCGACTCATCCAAGAACAACAACTACCTGCTCTACAAGTGCTACCTCTTCCTCCTCGCCAATGACAACTGCGACATACTCTTGGATCTCCTCAAGAAGGACAATGATGATCCTGCCACCGATGACATACTCAATGTATTATCCAACAGTCTTGCTTGAGACCTGAGTTGAACTTCGATGGAGGCAAAGCCTCTGCCTTTTCATGGTCAAAAAAGGGGGTTGTTGGAGATCCAACAACAAAACMAAGGGGTGTGAGGGGCAAAAAGCGAGGAATGAGGGGATACGTTGGTCCAATCAGTTCAACCCCCAACAAGGAGGCACACAACCTGCCACAAAGGCCTTGAATTCAAACATGACGACTGAAGTGTTGATCGTACTTGCGATCAGGTTAGACTTATCGGCTGCATACCTAGGGCCTACCTACCACAATGGTCATCCTTGTGTTGTTCGATCAAACAACTACATCGTTGGCTTGGCGTTCACAACTTACACCATCATTCATTCATTCTTTCATTAAACCATATCAATCTATTTATATTTATATATATTATACAAATACAATTATAACAATAATAATCAATCATGTTTATGAATAAGTTGATGTCTTTATTGACATTGACAACATTAACTTTGTTGATTGTTTGTTGCGCACCACAATTGACTTTGGCACAGGGTTGCGAAGGCCCTTCCATAACATCATCCAATGGTTATTGTAATAATGGTGGCAAACTGCTTGCTGCCACCACTGGAATCATTCCAGCCTTCATCAATGTTGGCCTAATGCCATCGATGCACAACAAGTTGACTATAACGCCCTTTGTGCCATTTGACTCGAGTCAGAACAGATTCCCCATCCGCAAGTCTGGCCAGTACACCGTCCAGTACTCTTGTGTCTCGGACAACAGCACCCACACGACCAATATCCAGGTCACTGTGCCCGAGGTCACCCTCAAGTCCAAGTGTCTCGGCACGCTCGTCGACTTCTCATTCACCGAAAACTGCACCACGCTGCAGGTCAACGAGAAGACCGTCAACAACTACGTCAATGGCGACGTCGTCCAAATCTTCCCACCAGGATACGGTCAGGTGCACGTCACCTGTACAGACGACAGCGGCAGGACCGTGTGCAACTTGAACACAGCCTATGCCCAGCCCACTCTTGGCACTCGTCCCGACATCGTTGTGCAGCCATCATACTGCAGCTACTCGAACGGCTCGATCCAGGTGACCAACCCCGATAAGTTCACCAACTTGACGTTGTCCCTCGGAGGTACCGCTCTGAACGCCACCAAGACTGGTCTCTGGGAGCACCTTAGAGAGTCGTCCGACTCGACCTACGTCCTGGACGCCTGGTCCGCCGACTGCGACCATCAGTTCTTTGAGATTATCGTTACCCCATCGCTGCCACAGCTGGTCGTCACTCCACTCGACACCAACAAATGTCCAAATGATTACCACGTCAGACTGTCACTGCTTGGCGCCAAGGGCAATACAACTTGGACTGTCAACGGTGTGAGCACTACCAACGACACCTTCAAGATCAACCCATTCGGCATCACACCCAACTCTATCAACTACAGACAGCTCGATGGTGACCAGTGTGAATGGAGCTCAGAGGCAAGCATCAACATTGACATCCCTCCATTCTGTAAGTCTTCCTCTTCCCCTCTACTTCCCAATCAAGTTACTAACAACATGTACACACACGCCACTTGATAGTGAACGAGCTGACCTACACCATTAACAATACTAATGAGTGTATTGATGGCACTGGCATCGTGACTCTGTCAATGCCAGCCACCAGTGTAATGATTGTGAACAATAACATACCTCCTAGTCCTTTGGACAACAGAAGGTTGTTGGGAAGGACACAGCTTAAGGACTCGCCAGTGGTATTCCTCGATACCAATCAGACGATGTTTATGGTCACCTATGGCCAGACATACAAGGTGTACACCAGCTGCACCAACACACCATACACCATCCAACCAATGCATCCCGCTCCAATCCTCGTCGAGACGCCCTACAACCCCAACCACACGTCCTGCTTCTACGACACATCGTTCACCATCCCCAACTACCTCGACTTTGGTGACATCCAGTTGGCCACAGTCATCGTCATGCCACGGTTGGCCGGTGTGCCACCAACCATCTACAAGGCCGTCAATGGTGTGTTTAGCAACATCCCCAGAGGCACCTACTCTTTGACCTACACCTTCCTCTCGGCCAACGGATCAACCTGCCCATTTAACCAGACCATCACTGGCCTCAACTTTATGTACACTAAGCCCGTGTTGTCTGACCTCCACTACACCTTCAACTACAACCCACTCCAGGTGTGCGGCCAGGAGATCAACGTCACCGCCTCCGTCACCACCCCAACCAACGCCACCGCAACCGTCTTCACATTCTCAATGGGATCGGGCGGCTCCTTTGTCCAGGAGTTCAACAGACCAGACTCACCAACCTGCTTCATTGCTCTGCCCGGTGTTGCCCCCGTCGGCAAGATGTCCGTGCCAACCATCACCATCACCAACGCCACCTGTCTCTACAACGCGGATGCCACGTTCACCGTCACCCCAGCGCCACAACTTTGCTACCTCAATGGAGTTCTTATCTCTGGCTCGGCTACCGCCGATAACACCACCTACTTTGGCCAGCTTCCAGGCGTGTATAACCTGACAATCGTTGACTCGAACCACGGCTGCTCATGGACCAACGAGCAGTTCACCATCCCACAATCAATGCCCGACTTCAAGTTTGAGTACACTGTCACCAAGTACATCACCAACTGCTCGATCCGTGATTACGCCACCATCAATATCAAGAACGCTGCCAACTACACCTCGTTCTCCCCAGCCGTCGATACCACTACTGGTGACTGCAATCTCACATCCACTGGAGCCTTCCACTTTACCAATGGCGCCTGCACCCACACCGTGTCCCTCCAGGACGAAATCACCAAACCAACTGGCCTCGTCCTCTCAGTCACCAAGTTGCATCCAGTCACCTGTAGCCAGGGCGATGGCACTTACCTGTTCAGCGCGACACAAGACGGACAGAACCTCAATACCTTCATCCCAATTTTTGAGAGCAACATAGCCCAGTTCGTCAAGCCGGGCAACACTACCTTCACTGTCAGTGCCGGCACTTGCTACTTCTCCTACACCCTGGTGACCCAGCTCGAGCCCCCCAACTTCAAGTTCGAGACCACGACCATCTACCCCGACATGAACATCGCCGGTATTATCGATGTCAAGACCAACAACCCAGATGTGTTTATCAACAGTTTGGTGCCAAGCAATGGCGACCAGACCTATGCTGACGCCCTCAACCCCAATCGTCTGGCCACCTCGACCGAGAACGTCACGTTCACCATCAATTGGAACGTTGTTTGCAACCAGCTCGTTGACCTGAACTTGCCTCTCTATGTCTCACCAAGACCTCAGTACTACTTCAAGGTCGTGGGCTGTCCTGCCTCACTCACCTTTGTCCTTGTCAACTTTGATCAGTTCATTGGAGTCACACTCAATGGCGTACCACTCGGAGCAGATGGTACCATTCCAAATGTACCATATGAGGAAAGTCGCGACTTGAGCCTCGTCTTTTCCAGCAGGATGTTCTACACCAACAATGGAATCGTCGGCCCCATCGAGGTCAGAACCGTGGTCATCCCTCAGATGACTGTCGGTTCCCTGACTGAGGAGACCTGTACCGGTTCCTACAACGGCCAACTCTCCCAGCTGCCCACCACCTCGTTCTACCAGGTCACACCACAAACAACACTCGCACCCTACGAGCCACAATCAGCCAGATTATTCAATGGACTGTCCACTGGTGACTACTTCCTCCTTTCATCTCTCAACAACAACGCATTCTGTTTGAACGTACAGGAGTTCTCAATTGCTGGTAGTGAGCCATCATTGTCCGTCGCCACTCAGCCACTGTGCTCGCCCACCGAAACCCGTCCCCTTAACGTCTCGTTCGGTCTCAACATGCCCATTACCCAGTTCAACGCCAACCTCTTTGGCCAGAGCTTCAACTCGTCCACACCATTGTCGGCCGGCAACTACATGTTCCAGGTGAACATCACCGACCCCATCTGTCGCCGCATCCTCCCATCCACCTCCATCACACTCAGCACTCAGTCGGTCGAACCAATCGTCACGTCCAACAATTGCCAGCACATCGACATTGACGTGCTCACTGGTGGCGTTTACACAATCATCGTGGCGCAAACTGATGATCACAGCAGGAACACGACCGTCACATACGACTTTAGCAACGTGACCAGTCGTCTGTCGCTCGCCCTGGACATTGACGACAACACCAACTTCACCGTGTTCCTCCAGTCGCCAGTCTGTCTGACATCCTCCGAGATCTATATCCACCACTGCGCCGCTGCCAAGAAGAACTTGGGTTGGATTGCCGCCGTCGTTATTGGCGCTATAATCATTGCAGCCATCATTGCTTTCGCCATTTACAAGTGCAAGCGTCCAGCCAAGGTTATCGACGCTGGCGATGATCGTATTGCCATGGAGACTGTCTCTGTCTACACTGGAGGCAAGATCAATAAGTTGGACAAGTTCTAAAACATCCTTCATACATACATACATACACAACCAATCAACAATCACTCATAAAATTGTATTTAATCCGAACAAATATTATTATTATTAAACAAAGCCCATTAGCGTATGGCACGACCACCAGATGTTGGAGAGATGAGGGATGGAGGTACATTATTTAAGGTGGAACATAAGGTCGTTGGAAATGATATGAGTAATGTTGTTGAATATTGATTGATTGAGATGTGCAACAAACTGATCCATTTGAACTTGAAGTTTGCCAGATGCATCTACATAGATCAATTCGTCCATGCTATATCCAAAGCTAGTATGCAATGTGTTAATGTTTGTGCATGCAACAGTTGGTAGCAGCTCCAAGGATCTACTCAGACAAAAAGAAGAGAGATGTAGTGTGTGCAGGTTCTTGGCCTGGCGGTAGAGTCTCTGAAGTCGGGCTTGATCCTCACGACCCTTCATTGATAGGTGGGTCACATCGCTCAACATCTGTTCACAATGCTCCTGGCTCTTGCCCTCCAGATTTGAAAGATAAGATCTACGAAGAATAGTGGATACTTGAACAGCTGAATTTGAATTTGTTCTGCTGAGATGCTGAGGTGAGTGCCAGACGTCAAAGGAGTGGAACTCAATCGTTTTGATGTCTGGACTGGTGTAGAGACGGCAAAGACACTGGGACACTTGTGTTATATTGTCAAAGTCAACTAGATTCATCATGATGGCATCCACAGGGTTGAGATAATGGTCGAGTTCAACAAACTTGATGTGAATGAGATGTGGCTCATCAACATGGTACAACTGAATTTTACCTGGTGATGAAGATAATGGTGCTTGAGCCTTGAATGGTATAATCAATAATTGAAGGTTCTGTTTGCAGTCGGTCTTGTGTTCCTCGGGGATGAAACGAAGGTGCCTGGCGTCCATATGTCGAGGTGGCTTGTTGAAGAGACAGTACTTTGATCCAATGTTGATCATGGAGCGTATGTTCAGTTTTGTAAAGAAATTATTAGATAGTGCCAAGCTTACTGCTTTGTAGAACTGTTTGGATACTGTTGCCAAGGACATCAACACCTTGGTTGAATAATAGACAAATTGATAACCCGTTCGGTGGTCGATATAATTATAGAAATCGTGATCACTTCCTCCGAGTTGATCAATCATCGAGAGTTCGACGATATAAGCCATGACAATATAATTTAGTGATGGACAAGACCATGTTGTTGTCCATGGAATATAGGTGCTATTCTCAAGTTTCTCTATCTCTAATGGATCAGCGTGTCCCAAATCCCAGAACATCACATCGGATGACTACAACTATGCATACACTCAACCACAGAGGGCTGATGTCAAGGTTATCTTTGACTATGATTTACAACAAGAGTGTGGCAAGGACATCTCTGTGAAGGCCACTGTAGTCACGAGGACTAGAGAAGACACGCTTAACATTCACAGTTCCTCCACCTGGTGGTCGTTTCTTTATGACCTACACACGACCAGAGGTCAAGGGTTGTTCATTGGAGATAAGGGGCGATGCTCCTGTTGGCAAGATGTTTGCTCCCACCATCGCCTTCACCGCGGCAACATGCTTGTACATTGATGATGCTACATTCACCGTGACTCCGCCGCCTCAGACAACATACTTCAATGGTCAGGTGATCACCGGAACAACACTCAACGGATCGACTACATTCATCAAAGGACTCCCAGGTGTCTACCACTTGACCATCGTGGATGAGGTCAATCAATGCTCATGGTCCAACATAAAGTTCACCATCCCATACTCGATGCCAGACTTCAAGTTCAAATACAATTTGACCAAGCGTATCACTGATTGCTCATTCACAGGAAATGACTACACCACCATATCAGTTGAGAACCCTGCAAAGTATAGTTATCTCACGCCAGTCGTTGATGCCAATGGTCTGATGAACCTCACGACGTCACTCCCAATCAGCTTCCAGTATGGTGATTGCAAGGCAAGCATCTACCTTTCAAACATCCAGACCACACCTGATCTCAAGGTACAGGCCACCAAGTTGCACCCGATCACTTGCTACAAGGGTGATGGAGTGTTCCAGATCACATTGTCACAAGGTGGACTGCCCCTCCCGACCAATGTACCCTTGTACAACGCTGCAACCTTATCCAAGGTCACCCCTGGCAAGTTGACAATGGATGTCGTGGCGGGCATCTGTCGCACGTCATTCACTCTAGACACCCAGTTTGAAGACCCTAAGTTTGTGTTTGAAACGACGCCCATCTTCCCAGGCAACACCATCCCTCTCTACCCGGATCACATCTTTGCTGGAACTGTGTTGGTCAGATCAACTTTGAAGGGTGTGTTTATCAATGCCGTGCCAATGGGTGACCCATCAATCACTGTTGACTTGTCCAATCCATTGCGATTCATCACCTCTGATGACCAGCTCACATTCAACATCACCTGGAACACAGTGTGTAACAAGGTGTACCAAGTGCCAGTGCCAAAAGTGGCCCATCCAACACCAGACTACTACTTGATGTTGGAAGGATGTCCACCAAGCTACACATTCGTACTCAACAACTACAGAGTGTTCTTTGGTGCGCAGCTGGATGGCGTGCCGTTGGGTCCCCAGGGTACCCTGACAAATGTACCATACGTGGATGGTAGCAAAGTGCACCTGGTCTACGCGACCAAGTTGGCAACTAACTACATCACATCAGACACTGTGATCACTGTTAAACCTCCATCAACTCCCGCACTATCAATGGGCAATGTTACCGGTGAGACATGTTGAGGCACTTCCAACGGCATGCTATACAACTTACCAAACAACACATACCAAGGCAGACGTGAATACACGATGGACACATCAGCAAAAAATCAACAATCATCCAATGTGTTCACATCACTGTCCAATGGTGACTACTACTTGTTATCGACACCTCAAGGTCAACCATATTGTAGAAGTATACAACAGTTCAGTGTCAAGGGTGGTGAGCCTGCGCCAAAGATTGGCACTCAGACAATGTGTTCAGCCAACAAGGTGCTGCCAATGAACATATCTTTCGGTCTCAACATGCCAGTGAACCAATACTTGATCAACTTCAATGGACGCCAACTCAACACCTCACAGCCACTACCCAACGGACTGTACCCATTCCAGATCAACATCACTGATCCCATCTGCAGGCGCATACTCCGGCTGACCAACATCACACTAAGCACTCAATCAGTCGAGCCATTAATCTCATCGGACCAATGTCAGCGTGCCAAGCTGTCAGTTCGTGCGCCAGGCAACTACAACATCAACTTCACCAACACAAAGGATGGTAGTGTCAATGTATCAATGACATATCAGTTCAACAGCACTTCATCGCCACTCTCAATCAACCTTGCCGAGGGCATTTACACAGTAGTCATTCAATCAGATTCATGTCAATCATCGTATAACATCTATGTTGAAGGTTGTCCTCCACCACCAATCATCAACAAGAAGAATCTGGCATGGATCTCTGTATTGGTAGTAGCTGGTGTCGTCCTAATATTAAGTGGCAGCTTCGTCATCTACAGACGCTATAGAATGAGACGTTGATACAGATATGTACGAAGACGATTCAATATCAATGGGAGAGAGTTCACGTCTTATAAGGTCAGGTACTACTAGACAATAAAAATAATTAATATATATATAAGTTATAATTCTATCTTCAATGTTATTTCTTACTTAATTTGTCAAGTGATCTGTCTCCCCACAAAAGTGATCACTGAGTGAGACTTCAGCTAAACCCCACCCCCGACAAAGGTGTGGTGTGGACCGATCAGACATCCATTGTACTCTGATCTCCCAAAACAATTAGAAACATTGAAGAAGAATCTATCCTTTGATCTCTTTAGTAAAAGATACGATCATAAATATCTTTGATTTCCGTCCTTCCCTTGTCCCAACTCATAGCCACTACCGAAGGATATGATTCATATTAATTGTGATCAATAGATATAAGATAGATAGAGATATAAGAGATGGATACATTATTACCATTGGTTAATATTAAAAAGATTGTATCACATATTGAAGAGAATGGTGATCGTTTGATGTTGTCATTGGTGTGCAAGAGGTTATTCGATAATAGAGAACTGTATCTTCACTTCAACACTAAACAACTACCCTATTCCAAGAACTATAATGATTATCACAACAACATTCACCTCAAGTCATACAAGTCAATCATCAACCATGACATGATCAACATCAAGTCAAACTCAGTACTCTTACAATACTACAAGAGATATGAACCATACTTTGACTATGTATTCTGTGTTGGTAAAGGTATGTCTATCATTCAATCAATCAATCAATCTAGGTATGAATGAATATGTACTTACTTGAATGAATGAATAGATAAACATAATACAGGTACTTGGAAGGCAGAGGTATTGGAGATACCTAATGTAACATCAATAACATTGGATATTAGACAGGTGTGCGATGAGCAACTGTTTGGTGATTTGAATGAGGTCGTGGAGAAGTTGAAGGTTAGGAATAGTTCATTGACATTGGATTGTCGCAACGTTGAATATACAACACTACCATCGATTGTCAATCATCACTTCACTGGTCTTCATGTCGAGTTCCCTCGTCTACAACAAATGTCCTCTATAAATGTCCTGGATAAGTTCCAAGCCAACTGCTTCTCCAACTCTGTGACCAATCTGTCGATTAAGGGTTGCGATCCCGCCACGGCTGCACGCATCCTCCCTGCCAACCTTAAGGCATTGAGTGTGGATTTGACAGAGTGGGATGTGATCATGCCAGCAAAAGGAATGTTTCCACCACATCTGGATACAATCCACTGTGCAAAGTACCAGAACCAACCTCTGGATGTGCTGCCACCTACCATCACAGACCTCTCAATTGGAGCAACCTTTGGATCTGCGTTCAGCCATGATCTCCAATGTCCATCATTACGACGACTCACTCTACGTTTTGTCAAGACTCCTCGATTCGGACCCATGCCATACGTCCATCTAACATGGTTGAAGCTACACGACATCAAACTGCAAACTATTGGAATGATCAATCATGACATGTTCCCAGTGCTGCGTGATCTCATTATCACAAAGATATTCTTGGAGGTTAGCGAGATGACTGGCACCACTGCGGACTTTAGACAGTTGCCGCCATCTCTGAAGATACTATCAGTTGCACTGCCCATGGTACCATTTGTATTGCCACCCATCAACAGTGGCTTGGATGACCTGAGCATTCAATTCCTCACTACCGGCGAGAAACAGAAGTACAACCATCCACTTGGCGAATCAATTCCATCATCGATCAAATCACTTTCATTACAATTCTATTATAAGCAATCGTTGAAGCCAGAGGATATCCCAGCATCGTTGACATCACTCACATTGCACCAATATGGATACGACAACAATTTGGATTACAACATTTTGCCACAGAACACTATTCGATCAATCAGTTTGGTACACACATCCAACGACGATGATTCAACTGCATTCGATCAAACCAAGTACGTACTTGCACAACTCCAACAAGTACCTACATGTGTGGCCGAGTTGAAGATCACTCTCCATCCAGAGTTTATCACACTGGCCTTCTACAGAATATCTGACAATGTGTTCTTGGCAATGTGCTCCAAGGATCCACTGAACCTGGACAAGAGTGTTTTGGACTTGTCAATGTCTGGCTTCATCGATATCTCCAGTCCCAATCTCACCGCTCTACATCTTCACAGGCTTCTTGGTAATGATACTCCCACTACTACCTCTGGTACTACAACAGCCACAGCCACAATCACAAGCGGCGCCACAATAGGCAACTCGACAGCAGCCTCAACACCAGGAACTACAACATCTGGTACAACTACCACCGCCACAGGCACTTCCACCACAACATCAGTTACCAAAACTGCCACTCCAGCCACGGCAACTGCTACATCTCCAGTCACCACAACTGCCACTCCTCCACCAACAACTGTAACTGGTACCAACAAAACCCCATCCGGCCCACGTCCCAAATGTTGTTCCATCATGTAGTCTGATTGAATGGACTACCGGTAGTTTGCCAGCAATGAGATCATTGCATACTCATTTGAATAAAGGTTTGAATAATCAAGATATTTGTTGATTGTAAGGTCGACATTGAGGGCCAGGGGGTTCCAATACTACTTTTCCCTGGGGACTCTGATGGTGACCTCCAGTCCGCATGACAGTGATGATGATCACTTGGTTTGGACTAAACATTGATAAGAGATAATAGATAAGAGATACATACCATTAAATGGATACATTACCATTTATAATACTTAAACAGATTGTATCATTAATTGAGGACAATGCAGATCGTATAAGAATAACATTGTTGTGCAAGAGATTGTTTGAATATAGACAACAGTATCTACACTTCAACACTAAACAACTACCTTATTCATGGAACTACAATGATTATCATTATTTCAACAACAGCATTCACCTCAAATCATACAAGTCAATCATTCATCATGACATGAACAACACAAAGTCAAACTCTGTACTCTTACACTACTACCTAGATACAGAGTTATACTATGACTATGTATTCACTGTTGGTAAATGTATGTCTATGATACCAATGTATGAATGATCGAATGAATGAATGAATGAATGAATGAATGAATGAATGAATGATCGTTAACATTTGAATGAATGAGTATAGTTCAGCTTGAACAAGGTTCATGGAAGCGACGGTTAATGGAGATACCAAATATAACATCACTGACGTTGGATCTCAGACTCTCTACCGATACACATTTGCTCGATGAGTTGAATGAGGTGATCGAGAAGTTGAGGATCAAGAATAGTTCAATGAGAGTGGAGTGTCGCAACCTCCTATATTCCATGCTTCCATCGGTCTACAATCATCACATCAACAGTCTTCATGTCTACTTCCCAGAACATCAACATCTACACACGGACACTGCCATTAAGATACTGAATACTGTGAACTCTTCAAAAGCATCGCCACAAGACAACATCTTCCCCAACACACTGACCAGTCTATTGATCAGAGGTGCATACCGAGGCATACTTGAACAAGGACTACCTCCACATCTCTATACACTCGACCTTGGAAGGATCTACAGCGTATCCCTGGATGCACTTCCACCAACTCTCACTGACCTCACTCTTGGGGAACCATTACACAGTGAGAATGATCATGATATTCAATGTCCATCACTAAGACGACTATCACTACTCAATGCTGACACACTAAGATTTGGATCAGTGCCATACATCAATCTGACATGTCTAAAGATACAAGATATCAAAATACAAGCGATACCAATGATCAATCATGACATGTTTCCAGTACTCTGTATGCTCAAGTTGGACTCCATTTCAATCTATACACTGGATGATGGTTTTCAACAACCTATATTGGATTATAGACAATTGCCACCATCCCTCAAGTCCCTCTCAACAATACTACACGATATACCAATACTATTGCCACTCAACAACCATCACAGTCAATGTTTGGAAGAACTAAGTATTCAATTCTTCATCTATAATCAGAAGAAACAATACAGTTATCCACTTGGCAAAGTATTACCGCCATCAATCAAGTCGCTCACATTACAACAATATGAGCAATCATTGCAACAAGTTGATATACCACCCTCGTTAACAACACTCAAGTTATATCAAAGAGAGTATGATAACAAGTTGGATTACAATATATTACCAAATACCATTCGATCAATCATTTTGGTACACTCAACAGGAGAGTCATCAACAATCAATCAAACAAAGTATATACTTGACAATCTTCAACGAGCACCAAAGTGTCTGGCAGAGATGCAGATCACTCTGTTGCCACAAGCCATCACACTATCCTTCTCAAGGATCTCGGACAATGTATTCTTGAACATGTGTAACAGAGGCAAGCATTACTCGAGTCAAGGCGGTGCTCCAGACTTGTCAATGTCTGGCTTCATCGATATCTCAAGTCCCTACGTCACCGCTCAACATCTTCAACTACTCATTGGTAAACATCTTTGGACTCCCAGACCTCGCAGATGTGTATGTAACACAATGTAGGTCTGTCCTACCTGTCAATATTTATTATTATATTTATTATAATTTAAGAATAGATTTATAAATTTTTATTATTTGTTTTAATTATAATTAATTCAAAAGTGGCGCCAACAAATAATAATAAACTCTAGATCATGATCGACCAACCAAATTGGACGACCTCAGTGAGAGGACACACCACTCATTCATTATTTATTTAACAACAACAAACAAATATATAAAGTTTATCTCTTTACCTATAATATATACAATAGTGCACTAAATATATATACATGATATCAAACAAATATGTCTGTCAAAGAGACAGCATTAAACATTATATTGAAGAGCAAAGATCTCACGGATAGTGAGAAGAATGATCTTATATACTTAATAGAGAATAATATTGACGTAGCAAGTTTTATTATAAGTATAGACAAGTTGCCAGGGAATCTTCTCAAACAGTATGCATGTATTTCTCAAACTCGTAAGTACTTGTTCAAGTGAATAGATCTTATGATGCGTTCGATCGATACTGACTCTCTTTCACTGTCCCCATTCTGAAAGAAATGAATACCAATCCCAAGAAGATGAAGGAACTAGAGGACTCTCAACATCAACAGATCTCCAAGAAGAAGCAGGCCGGAGAGTACAAGGAACCCTCCGGCCGTCGGGGGCTATCCGACATCACCAACCAATTTACCAACCTCAACATCCACTCATAGGGATGATTATGATGACGAGACACAAGCCATGATATTGAAGAGGAGAGCCAGGCAGGAGCAATCCGAGAGGAAGGAGAGAGAAGAGGAAATCCAACGCCAGAGACACAGACGCAAGGAGGAGGACAAAGAGGAGCGAGCGGAGAGAGCGCGTGCATATGAGGATCCAGAAGCCATCGATCTTGAGGAAGTGGCCAACATTGAGAGCGCAGTCTACATATCACAAATTCAAAGACAACAAGATCTGTTTCATCAAATCACACATACACACTCAACAACACCCTCAACACCTTCAACAACATCTTCAACACGATCAACACCACCATCTGACACAGAAAGTGATATTGCCTTTATGTTTGAACAGGGCAAGAAGACTTTGGATGATGATAGTCCTATGTTCAAGAAGACTTTGGATGATAGTCCTATTTTCAAGAAGACTTTGGATGATGTTGATAGTCCTAAGTTCAAGAAGACTTTGGATGATGTTGTTGGTCCTAAGTTCAAGAATGCATTGGATAGTCCTATGTTCAAGAAGACTTTGGATGATTTTGTTAGTCCTAAGTTCAAGAATGCATTGGATAGTCCTAAGTGCGAGAAGACATCGGATGATAATGACTCTAGATGCAAATGCCGTGGATTCCATCCGTACCCTCAGAAGATGGACGTATCACGACAGATGTACACTTGTACGAATTGTCAACATTCGTACAAATATCACCCTGGGTGATCCCCAAACCGTACTCTGTGAGTCCGACTCATGTCACTTCCAGCAATGCACCAGACACTCTCAAGAAGAACAAGAACTATTCCAAGCCGTCGGCCAAGACGCATGTCCCCAGGAAGAAGACTGCCGTCAGGAGGACTAAAGCCAAGAAGAAGAATACAAACAAGAAGACAACTAAGAAGACAACCAAGAAGAAATAGAACTCTATATCTATTGCCACGTGTATTTGGTTGAGAGGAGAACTTTCAACGCTGTACACACTCACTCACTCACTTTACAACAATCATAAAAGTAAAGTACTTTACTTTCCAATACAACCTAACATGTATTCAAGGGATGGTTGGCAATCCCATGAAGGTGTCAATCACAATGCTGCAATGGATGCTACCCATTGATGGGCTCCACACCCAGCATTGATTGAGATTTATAAAGTGATTTGACCATCGGGGCTTCAACTTCATGTGGTCGGAGAGGTGGTATCGCCCATTACCATCAATTGTTTTCAATGATTGTTCAATTCAAGTTGAGTGGCAACCTTGGATGCCATGCGATGCCCATTACCAAAACACATGATTAATCATGTCAATCCACTTAAACCATGGTGGATATGTTATTTTCAACCAATAAATCATTTAATTCTATTATCAGATACTCAATCAATCAATCAATCAAACATGTACATGTACATGTACTTGTTCATAATATGTTTTGTTGTTGAAGTAGTTAGAACTCAACAAGAATTCATAAATCCACTAAACAATCATATTTATTCTATTCAACTTGGATCATATTCTTGGGAGGAAGCAAGACAAGATGCCTCTAGCAAAAGTGGATACCTTACAACAATCACAACAATGGATGAGAACATATTTGTTCTAAATCTAATCAGAAGTAGGTATTCGAATGATCCAAAGTAATAATAATATTAATGCTAACACTCCTCACCTCCAACTACAACAAGATCAAAGTCATAACCTTGATTACTTGTGGATTGGAGCTAAAACAAATATTGATGGATATAGTTGTACATGGGACAATGGTCCAGAGAATGGTATTATAATGTATAATAGGATTATGAACAAATGTACTGGATACTGTCAATGGGCAACTGATCATCCAAAAGGAAATCAAGTTGGAGGCTACATCAACTTTGGTCCTCAAGGCTGGGAGGAGACAACCAACTCTGACAACAAAGTGATTGGATATATCTTGGAGAAGGGTGGTGAGAATGATCCTGTACCAATCGCCACTGATATGGAGACCAGTGTCATGTCCATCGTCAATATGAACCGAACCCAATTCAATCTAAACAAGTTGTCCATCGTATTCCAACCCTTCTACAATGTCCACAAGCCCTTCGATTGCACTATCCTGTCTTTCAATCAAACCATTGTCACTTGTCAGTCAGAGTACACTGTTGGTCGATACAACATCACCTTCAATGATGGTCTCACATCATTCACCTACCAATCATATCATCCAAATTGTAAGTACTCTTTAACACGATCAATTAATCATACTCTCTTACCAATATTGTTTATTGTAGTACCCTATGTATCATCGGTGATACCAAGTTATAGTGCCCAAGGTAGATTGACCATAAATGGAAAGAACTTTGGACCAGATATTACGTATATCAACAATGTATACTACTCATCACAATCAATCAAATGTATTCCACTCACTGCTTTTCTCAAAGATCGATCATTCTCTTGTGAGTTGGCATCCAGTGTATTCAAGAATGAGACCACTGGAAACACAACAACACGTACTCAACTCATCACCATATCAGTTGGACAGGTGCCTCTAACGATCAGCCGTTTCCCAACTTGTAAGTTGAGTTGAGATGATCATTTCTCAACTTCTATCCTAACACATGTTACTCAATCATATTGTACTAGATTCTAAAGAATCCAACACTATGATCATGTTCACCTCCAATACTGATGAGTATATCTATACCTATCTGTCTGAACATCGTTCAGGATATATATTGGCGCCAACAACACAAAGTGACATCATAATGATCCGCAACTTGTTTTACTTTCAGTTGATCTATCCATCATACCATGACCAGTGTATGTTATTAGTTGAAGTTGAATGAACATGTATACCCTCTAACTAATGATGACATCACTTCATATCAGCTGCCTATTACTTCATCAATGGACCATACCCAAGTCAACCATTCCTCACAGTGACTGGTGGAATCAATCATACCTACATCCAAGGTATCAACAACTATGATATCAGTGTGATCAATAACATCAATGATCGTAAGTATTAATCAATCAACTGATTCACTCATACTAACAACCCAACACCAATCAATCAAGTCAATGCATACCTTACTTTGGATACCAACTCAATGACATTCATCAATGACACTCCGATCATTGGTACTGAATCATACTATGCTGTAAAGTTCGAGTTGGGGACCCAACCTCCATCGTTCTTCAATCCCAACCAAAGTTACTATGCACCAACACAAGGTGGATGGATAGTGATTGAGGTGTCCAATCTGCAACTTCCAAACTCTGTCTACACCCTGAGGGTTCAAGGATTGCCTCCAATCACTCAGCTCATACCATTCACTGACAACTCTTCAATTGGATTCACTGCCCCAAGTGGTGTTGGCAAAGGATATCCGATAACAGTCAGCGTAGATGGTAGATCAACAGCGGATACATCGGTATACCTATCATACTATGGACCATCAATCACATTGATACAACCATTCTTTGTTAATCAATCGGGTGGATTGATTACATTGTTTGGTCAGAACTTTGGCAACAATCAATCATCGATCACATACTCAATCGATGGAGTGATCAATCTATCCAACTCAATCACAATCCTTAAGCCCCATGAACAACTGATTATAATGGTACCACCTGGTACCAATCCATCACTTGACATCATACTCACTGTCGGTGGCCAAGCTACCGAATCATACTCATACCCTCGTCTAAGTAAGTACACTCACATCAATCAATCAATCACATGACTAACATAACATACTACACTCCTAGTTGTTGAGTATGCTTCATCAGTTGAGAAGGGTGTTGGAGGCATTGTGACTGTGTTTGGACATCACTTCTATAATGTGAGCCAGATCACCATTGGAGGAGTGATGTGTCTGGGTCCAGTGTTGATCAACTCATCACAGGTTACTTGTTCATTCGATGGATCTGCTTCATCTGATGGCTCCAACCCTTTGCCAGTGAGAGTAACTGCCATGGGTATTTATTCAGAGTCCTACTCATTCCTTTACCTGAATAGGAGTTCATGTGGCATGCCTCTTTGCTCAGGTCATGGACAATGTGTTGATGGCAGCTGTCAATGTAACACAGGCTATGGTGGATCAACTTGTCTTACACCATCAACTCCATCTAACAACACACCAAGTGTGGATCCCAACAATGGTACCATTGGTGACTTCTCCGTATTCTTTACTCATATCCGTGAACTTGACTCACTTGGCAATCAAATATCAATATACCCTACATCATTGATCAAATGGAACATCACTACAAACACATCAACATTACGCATGGCTACTGGAAGATTGAACTCTACATCCACAGACATGTCCAACTTTGTGATCAATGTTAAATCAATCATATTCCTTGAGGACACATCATATTGGTTCGCTGGACAGCAGATGTTGATGTCAAAGAATAGCTTCAAGTACCAAGTGGACCTTGCTGGATGGCCCTTCCAAGGCCGGGCCAACTATCTACAACTTGTGTACCAACTCCAATCACCCAACACCAAGGATGACGATGATTGTTCGTCAGATCAATCGACCAACACCTACAACGACAAGAACAATCTCCTCTGGGTACAGATTGAACTTGGCAACAAGTTATTCTTAACAAAGTTCTCGGACCGGGTCTACGTTGATCGCAGGGTGCTGGCCAGCAACACAATCATCTTGCCATATGATCCTGCTTTGGCCCATGGCAAAGACACCAAATTCAACACTCCATATTCAAACAATATCCTTGTTGCCATGGTCTTACCATTCTTTGAACAGGCCACCATTGACCCAACATTCTCATTATTAATCAATCAACATGTGTCATCTGGTCAATGTGGAACAAAATCACTCTGGTGGATTGCACTCATAGTACTTGGTATATTCCTAATAGTTGGAATTGGAGGTGGAATGTACTTTGTACTCAAACGTAAACGTGCATTTGAAAGGAAACAACGTTTAAGTTTCCAAATGATGGAGCAACAGATGCAACAACATTGATTTACTTGGTCAAGTTGTAAATGTAATATTAGATTGATTAATTGAATAAAAGTGAAAGATGTTTATGATGTTGTCATCATCTCAATTAATCAATTAATCAGAGTAATCAATCAAACAATCTGAAAATATATATGTAACAATGGACGAGTCAATGTGTAACCTTTATGATTCGTCGGTCCTGCAAATAGATCCATATGGACAGAAAGAACCTGGAGTCCTTCAATAATAAGAACTCATTATCATTAATGTTCATATTCCAGCCCAACTGGATCAAAAGGGGCACCATCAAAATGTGTGAGATGCACCAACATTACCAATTTCAGACTTTTCACCTTAGATGAAATTGATTGGATTGATTGGGGCATTCATTCCTGTTTGGTGCCAGGATCATAATCATCCATCATGTGATTGATTATCAATCCATATGGATTAGTGATAGAGTGATTGAGTGAGTGAGAGGACGTATATATTACTGAAATGACACAATCAATTAGTCTGAAAGAATCCCTCTCTAAATGAAACGACACAGGAATTAAGTAATAATATAGTCTCAAAGTCATAGTCACCCCGAGAATGTTGATGTCCAAGTAGAGCGACGGAGTGGAGTGGACAACATCACCCAACATGTAACCCATCGTGGTAAAGACGAGAGACGACACGACACGACCACATGGTATCCTATCATATCCTCGCTTTGTTATAAATAGCACGACCGGTTTATCAATTATGAACATCATCGAATCATTCAATCAAACAAATACATATACATACACATAACAACAATGTTCAAGCTTGCTGTCTTTGTCCTCGCCGTTGTCCTCTCTGTGGCCTCTGCCCAGACCAGTGGAAACTACTACACCTTTGGCCCATCAGGTATTGCCTGCACTGTTGGCAACACCAACTGCCCACACTTCTTCCTCAACGAGGTGAACGGAGGCGCTGTCCACGTGCCAATCGTCAACTTTGTCTATAGCAACGCCAACCTCGACCCAGTCGTCGTCCAAGGAGGTGCCTCTGGTGAGGTCGTCCTGTTCGGTGCCGTCAACGGTTACGATTTCGAGATCTACGAGGCCTACCGTCTGCTTCCACTCATCAGCGGTGCCCCAACCGGTGCCCTCTACACCCTGCACCCATCCAACTACATGTGCCCAGTCACCGGCCCATGCTACCGTCTCAAGGCCCTCGCCCTGAACAACGGCACCGTCACCCTCGCCACCTCGTACACCGAGCCATACTCGTCGACCATCTCCTTCATCGACACCAACTGGTTGGCTGACCGCATCATGGCCTCTGCCCTCGTCCAGGGAAGCGTCATCGGAGGTGTCTTCACCGCCACCGGAGTCTACGTCAAGGTCGACGACCAGATCTCCTGCCCAGCCTCCCCACAGTACATGTGCGCCATCGGCAACGTCCGCGCCTACAACCGTGACATCAACAGATGCTGGACCCTCGTCGGATGTGTCCACAGCGGAATCTGCCCACACTTCCTGCCAGCCTGTGCTGCCGGATACGACCTCATCAGTGTGCCATCTGCACCAAACGGATGCAACCACTTCTACTGTGATGCTTCATTCTTGACCCAGAAGCATTAAGTAATCCATTTACATTATTATAATAAATATTGCCAATGATTATCTATTGTCCTTAATATACTTAAACATATATGTATCTGTATCTTTACATACTTTATCTGTTTGAGATTGGTTGAGATTTAGAAAGAACATGAAAGTGTGGTGTCTCTTCAACTTTTGAACATCACCCATCTGATCTGAACTTGCATGTTCTTTCATTCATTCATGCATTCATACTTTGTGTTAGAGATAGAGATAGAGATAATAGGTATATATATATAATGGATACAATTACATTTACATCTAACAATAATGTTGTTGAAGAGGATGAAGATGATGTTACTTGTTGTTATAAATGTACTACACATTGCTTGAGAATAGAGTTTATATGTTTGGATTGTGATGGTTTGTTAGTATGTCCAATATGTCTGGCTCGTAGCCACAGTGGTCACAAGGTAGACCATGTAGGTAATATTAGAGAGAAACTAGTCAATCAAATACAAGAAGTACAAAAGATGAATAAGACACATTCATCATCCCCTTCACCATCACCATCACCATCATCACCGTCACATTCGTACTCAACAAGATTGAATCATCTTTGGAAGACATTACAACAATGTACTGCATCTTATCAATCATTACAACAGACTCATATGGAGATTAGTAGTCACTTTGATCAGTTGATAAAGGTAGTATTGGCTCAGGAGCATAGGGTAAAGTCGCGTGTCATTGAGCAGATGGATCGTATACAATCAACAATCAATCATATAAACAAAGAGATAAGTACTATCAATAATATTATCAATATGAATCTACCATCATCATCGTCATCGTCATCAGTTGATGATGATCAGGACATGTCCAAGGTCGTCCAATCAATCTCTTCATGCACATCGATTGATCAATACATGTTGGTAGGTGGTAAGGACCAGGATCAACATCAACAACCCAATGACTACCAACTACTATCAATGATAAGTGAACATATTAGAATAATGAGATTGAAGCCTTATGTTGATGAGAAGATACATCATATCAGTCCAATGAATATCGATATTGCAATGTTGAATGGTATAAAGAAACAGATTGAAGCATGCTTTGAACTTGATCCACCTGCTCCAAGACTACATCATCCAACTGGAACTGCGCAAGACAGCTCTCTACTATCAGGCAAATTGATGTCCCTTCATATCAACGAATGCTCACTGTTCTCTGGAGCACATTCTCAGTGGACCCCAACAAAGGGTATATTCATGAGACCTGTCAATGGTGCCAGCTCCTCCCTCGTGTATGCACATGGCAATCTCTACCTATTCGGAGGCATGACCTTCATGGCTCACACCTACTCGTGGTACTCGTTGGCGGCCAAGACTGTCCACCACGCTGGTATCTTTGGCGTTAGTGGAGGATCGTCCATCACTGCATTCTATGATGGGGACAAGTACATCTACTTGGTCGGTGGCTACAACAAGGAGACCGACAAGTATTTGAACCGTGTCGATCGCTTCAATATTCACACTCATCTATTCAGTCACGTTGGCAACATCCCTCCCGTGATGATCTACTCTGATGCCTTCCTACACAACAATGTTATGTATGCATTTGGTCGTCGCAGTGTCAATGATAAGGATGGTATACTAGTTGGACTGGATATCAAGACATTGGGGTCATCAATCAATATTCTCAAGATCAATCAATATTCCTCAAGTTGCTATGATGGAATGGATAATATATATATATTATACAAACAACGATCATTTATTAGATACTCAATCTCCACCAAGAAGATAACAACACTCATTCCCTCTCCTTATCAAAGTAATCTAAAAGGAGGGATGATGTATGATCGAGTTGAAGCTTCAATTTATTCAATATATGGTCGTGGACATAACTTTAGATACTCTGTACAACTTGGCAAATGGATTCTACTTCAAGACAATGACCATGTCAATGATCGTACCAACTTTGGCCTATGCTACATTCGAGATTGAGTTGACAACTAGGTCCATGGTCATCATCATCATTCAATCACTCAATAAATAGACAACAAAGAGGGTCAAACCCCTTGCTCAGTGGTGTGGGGTGTGTGATCAGCTGATTGATCGACAGAATGATGATCATTACATTTTGAGTCTCAAAGATAATAGTTATATAGATAATGGATTTGTTACCAGAACTAGCTGCCAGGGCAGTTTTCATGGAACTGAAAAATGAGTTGGACATCATCTGCATGGCGCTCACTTGTAAACGATGGAATAGCACTTTGAACAACATACCCAACTTCACATGGACCAAAGGTCGATGTTCATGTCCTTGGAGCACATCCACTTCCTCATCAACATCATCGACCAACACCATCGCGACAACTACGACCACAGCAACTACAACACCAGCTGGACAAGGACGTGTATATTGTGCACGACTTGATCTTGTACCATCAATCGACCCTGCCACGACCAGACTGCTACTGGACATCAAGATACCGACACCATCTGGATCACTACCTGCGTCACTAACAGACTTGATGATGGGCTTTTGCTTCAACTTTGAACTGAGCCCAGGCTTCCTTCCTCCAACTCTAATCACTTTGATCTTTGGTAACAACTTTAATCGAGTTATCAACGCTGATGTGCTCCCGCCATCACTTCAATTCCTCTCATTTGGATATCGATACAATCAACAACTTCAACGCGATGCCCTGCCCAACTCACTACGCACACTGACCTTTGGAAACAACTATTGTCGCGACATACCCCTTGGAGCACTGCCGTACAGACTTGAAACATTGACATTTGGACACTCGTACGACAACATCATCGCGCCCTTGGTGCTCCCCGAGACACTACACACACTCAACTTTGGTTACATGTTCAATCAAGAGTTGATTCGCGACTCACTACCTCTATCACTCAAGACGTTGGTGTTTGGGGATTGCTTTGATCAGATGATCATGCCAGGATGTCTGCCATTGGCACTCACATCACTCACATTTGGATCGTACTTCAATCGGAGTCTTCTGCCAGGTGTGATCGATCAATCAAGTACGCTGGAAACACTCACCTTTGGATACTGCTTTGATCGTCCATTGCTCAACTTGCCATCATCAATCACAAGTCTCACTCTAGGCTTTGCCTTTGATCAACAACATAGATCTGTCAAATTGCCTGCTGGTCTAAAGACATTGTCGGTGGACAGCATCAGTCAATTAACATACTTGGGACCCACCCAATACCTTGACACTGCCAAAGTACGTGCACTACCAACATCACTATCATCTTCAAAGTATCGCTGGCTGTTACAATCAATCAAGGTCAAGACATTGATACTCAAGTGTCACGAGGGTCTGGCCGAATCGATAAAGTACGTCAAGAAGGTGGCCGATCTATTGCCTCTGGTCGAAACATATCAACAAGTTGTACAATATCCACCATCAAGTCCAGCTCTAATACATGCAGAATATCGTAGATTAGACAACAATAATGGTTTATATATATTTCGACCTGGTGGCAACATAATCATTGACATTGATACACTTCCCAATCAAGATCGACTACTATTCATACATCATCCACAACAACAACAAGGTTGTCAACGAAACATAACACAATCAATCAAACGATTAATCAATAAACTAGTGCCATCATCGTCAGGTGGGTCCTAAGCCTAAGTGGAGTGGGCTGCCACAACTGGAATCATTCCACCCATACTTAAATTATTCAATCATATCACAGTTGATCATATCTAGGTATACTCGACTTGATTACACAAGACAAACTATGTTTGCAGGGTCATCACCTGATGGTTGTAAGGGGGGGAAATTTCCGAAGTATCTGATTGATGATCATTCGTTTCATTCACATCACACACATTGATCACTCAAAGATATATATATTAACAAGAATGAACACTGGTAAAGCAATCAGAACACTGATCAACAGTGCATCAATGCTCCAAAAGAGCACTGGAAGACCAATCACTAGATCATTCTGTTCCTCCACACATGAGGTATGATCACTCACTCATTCAATCAACCGATCACTCGGACATGTGATCGGGATAGCACTTACTGACGTCCAATCAATATGATCATTAGACTCGTCCACCAATCACAGAGTTCACACCAGAGGAGAACATGCTTAGAGATACTGTGGCAAAGTTCTCGTTGGAGCGTGTCAAGCCATTGGTCAAGGAGATGGACGTCAAGTCTGAACTCAACATGGGCCTGTTCAAAGAGTGCTTTGACAATGGTCTGATGGGCATTGAGATCCCCGAGCAGTACAACGGCACAGGTCTCAACTTTATGTCATCGATCATCATCATTGAGGAGTTGGCCAAGGTGGACCCAGCACTCTCTGTGATCGTCGACGTCCAGAACACATTGATCAACAACTGCATCAAGCGCTACGGCAACGAAGAGCAGAAGGCCAAGTACCTGCCCAAGCTGGCCACCGAGATGGTGGGCAGCTTCTGTCTGTCCGAGACCAGCGCCGGCTCCGACGCCTTCTCGCTCAAGACGCGCGCAGAGAAGCAAGGCGACTACTACGTGATCAACGGCTCAAAGGCCTGGATCACCAACGCCAAAGAGGCTGGCGTGTACATTGTCATGGCCAACATCGACCCGGCCTCCAAGCATCGCGGCATCACCGCGTTCCTGGTGGACCGCAACACACCCGGCCTCGAGATCGGCAAGAAGGAGGACAAGATGGGCATCCGCGCGAGCTCAACCTGCGAGGTCATCTTCAACGACGTCAAGGTGCACAAGTCGGCCGTGCTGGGCGAGTTGGGCAAGGGCTACAAGATCGCCATCGAGGGGCTGAACGAGGGCCGCATCGGAATCGCCGCGCAGATGATCGGTCTGGCGCAGGGCGCCTTCGACTCGACCATGCCCTACCTGATGCAGCGCACACAGTTTGGCAAGCCGCTGGCCGAGTTCCAGGGCATGCAGTTCTCCTACGCCGACCTGGCCGTCGACATTGAGGCCGGCAAGCTGCTCACATACAACGCCGCTCGTTTGCAAGAGGCTGGCAAGCCATTTGTCACCGAGGCGTCGATGGCCAAGCTGTATTGCTCACGTGTTGCCGAGCGCGTCGCATCGACCTGCATCACCATGCTTGGTGGTGTTGGCTTTACCAAAGAGTTTGACGCTGAGAAGTTCTTCCGTGATTGCAAGGTTGGACAGATATACGGTATGTTATAATCATGATCTTTTGGGGTCGTTCCAAATGCCAAGTTTGGCATCCAGGATTCATTCATTCGTTCATTCACTTACTGACTGACCCTTGGTCCATGAACCAACACCTGCCAACTACCAACTACCACCTCCACACCACACTTTACCACCAACAGAGGGCACTACCAACATGCAACTACAAGTCATTGCCAGGTCGATCATGGCCAAGTACAAGTAAAAGGCCACATTCATTCAAACAAACGATCAAACAATCAAACAAACATAACCAATCAATCAATCTACAAATCTTGGATCGATACATATCTCACCCCCCAACAACAACAAACAAACACGACCAAACAAAGGCCCGATCGGTTCGAGAGTGTCTCTGAGATCAAAGCGTAGTAGGGGTTTGTTTGTTTGAACGGTAGGTCGTGTGTGTTGTGGGCGGGGGCTTGAATGCTACCAGGTCCAGATCCGGATTCTTTTTTGCAAGGAGTTTTGTTTGTTTTTGCGCTACATTGTTCAAATAAAATTAGAAAATAAATCTAACCTCAACGATTGATCACAATCATAAATACGCAACAACACCTTTAAACCAGCATACCTACATATCCTTGCTGTGTGTTCCCATAAGCGCCCATCACGACCTTCTTTGTCCAACACATTCCTTGTCTGACTGAGACCCTAGGCCCAGCCCAGCCCAGCCCACACTTCTTAAACACTAAAACCCAAATCAATCATTCATTCATTCAGTCCATCAAGCAAACATTCAAGCAAACAAATACAACTCAACAATCTGACCCAAGATCATTCATCCACTCATAATATATATAACTACTTATACAAGTACCTACTTGCTAGATAGAGTGATTGGTTGATTTGATTGATTGATTGAATGAGTGTGTGAGGATCGTCGTGTCTTCGTTCATTCATCCAACATCAACATCATCAACGACGTCGTCTTCACCAACACTACAACAACAACATCATGATGTTACCTAAATCACATCGGACGTCAAAGAATCATAATCATAGTAGAAGTAGTAGTGATCATAGTATAAGTGATAGTATTAATAGTATTAGTAATAATAATAGTTCGATGACAGAGGAGAGAACTTATGTGTCGTCGTCACATGGAGGTGTGGTGCGCGCACCATCCATGGAGAAGGAGGATTGGGAGCTCACCATAGAGGAGAAGAAAGAGATCATTAGGATATTAGTCGAGGAGCATCAGAAGTATGAGCACATCACTGAAGAGTACCTCGATGCGATTGAGCAACAACAGCTCAAGAAGCGACTGTCTGCCACGTCCACCTCGTCGTCCTCCTCGTCACTGTCGACATCGTCATCATCGTCATCGCTGTCATTGTCATCGTCCAGCGTCAACGTCACAAACCTGATACAACATCATCAAAGAAGGATCAACTCTGCAAGCTTCCCTACATCAGCTGCCGGCACAAGTACTACAACAACGAATAGTAATGTCAACGGCAATGGCATTGGCAACGGATCATCATCGTCTTCTTCGTCAACAACATCATCATCATCGCCGTCATCACATTCAAACACGAATGGCTCTACAACAAGCTCGTCTGGAACCAAGAGGATGAGCAACAACTCATTGCTAACGGCAACACAGAGCATACTTAACAAGCCAGTTGATCTGGTATCGATGACAGAGGGTATGGATCGAATAGCACTGGTCCCATACATTCGCGCAGCCATCACTAACTTAGTCACATCCCTCCCACCAAAACAGAGGACATTCTTCAAATGCTCAATGGATTGAGGAACAAGATCTTTGGACCAATATCACGCGGAACGTTCAGGAGCAAGAAGCATTCACTTCCAGCTGGAGCCAGCACTGGTAGTAGCTCCAGCAGCAAGTCCAAGTCCACCATGGTGGACAAACATCAACAACAACCAATGCTCAACAAGAAGGTCTCACATCAATCGTCCGCTGTGATGCCAGTCCACGAGACGTACAGTTCTGTTACACCACAAGATAACCTTCCATCATTCGTTGTTCAACAACCAACGATGGCTGATGACAAGCCATCAGTACCACTTCATCTGATGCTCTCTGGCATCAAAGTGGAGGATATACATGGCAACACAGTGGCCTTCACCAGTTTCTGGCAATCAAAGCGTTGTGTTGTGGCTGTGTTCCGCAGATTTGGCTGTCTGGTATGTCGCATCCAGGCCATGGACATCTCGTCCCTGAAGCCCAAACTCGATCGATTGGGAATCTCATTGATTGGTATTGGATTCGAGACACTTGGACTCCAAGATGTATGTAACATAATCACCTGACTCAGATGTGTCCGTGCCCTAACTCCCAATCACCAACCATTCTTAGTTCATTGCTGGAAAATACTTTGCAGGCGATATATACATCGACAAGTCACGTGCTGTCTACCGTGCATTGAGCTTGAGGCGCATGGGCTTCTGGGACTCAGCCGTCGGACTGATGGATCCTCGTCTCTCGGTATATCGCAAGTTGGCCAAAGAGACAGGAATGCCATCTAACTTTAGAGGTGATGGATTGTAAGTATAATCAATCAACGAATATCCAGCACATTGATCATCCAACTCACCTCAATCAATCAAACAATCAAACATTGTAGACAACTTGGCGCAACACTTGTGATTGGTCCAAAGCCACAAGGAGCACATTATGACTTTAGACAAAAGACATTTGTGGATGCATTCGACTTGAATAAGATATTGTCAGCTTGCAAGAAGCCTTATCCAAAGTTGAATTATGCAGAGGGTGTTGGCAGCGGCCAGACGTCGGCAGCCGACAGTCATCTCAAAGACGTGGTCATCTCATTGCCCACACCAGTCACCGTGTCCATCCCTCACAAGTTCCATCTCAACGTTCCAGAGTCCAAGCACAAGATTGAATCCAATCCACTCACGCACAATCCATTCAAACAACAACAGACGCAACATACATCAACGAATGGCTCCACGCTCACCTCAACCACCACCTCCTCATCCACACTTGTACATAATAGCAACAACGTCAACGGCAACGGCAACGGCAACAGCCCATCCATTGTCAGTCCACGCCAGATCAAGTACTCTGGCGCTACTCAAACTGTATATACATCATCTTCATCATCTACTCAGACTACCAAGGTCACCTCGTCAACATTTGGCCCACAGGCCAAGTTCGCACCAACAACTACGCCAACCAAGCCCCTAAGCAACTTCCATGTCAAGCCACCCGCAAAGATCCCATCGAGCAGCTCCTCTCTCCTAGGCTCACCGCTCACAACTGGTCAAGTCGCACCACCAACACAAACAACGCCAACTTCACCATCGTCAACAACGACAACAACATCAACAACACCACTGACGAGGACTAGGTCTACGATGAAGCCATTGCCAAAGCCACCAGTATCGTTCACCATCACGCCTGTCAAACCTACACTACCTCAATCACCTGTTCATACCCAACCTCAGACACAAGTTCAGACTCAGACTCAAACTCAAACTCAGACTCAACCTCAGTTGCAAAAGGATATCAATGCGCCAGTACTATCACCTGTCAATGTCAGTGCATTCTTCAAACTCCAACACAATACCGGTGCTGGCGGCAGTACAGGTACTACTAGTGGCGGTGGTGTCAAGTCCACGACATCGACCTTTGTCAAGCCAACTACCAAGAGGAAGATTGGTGGTAAGGTTGAACCTGTAGTCTTTTATCCATACTGAGCGAGCGAACGAGCGAGTCAGCAATCCAATTGCCAGGCTTGTCTGTACATACATACCTACCATATATATATAATTAGTAAAGCAGGGAGACTGCCCTGCTCCATCCACAAGTGTTTGGCGTCCGAATGGCGCACACACAATCAATCAATCCAATTATTCGGTCGAGCGCAACGCTTGAACATCGCCATGTTATTTATTCGACACAGTTGAACTGAGTACCACCCAAACATTGTGGAGGCAATGGACCCTTCCAGGCATCACACTTGGTGCACCAGTCGTTGTGACATTCGGCCATGTACAGCATGCCATTCTCACACTTGACGCGGTAAGGAGCATCACACAGTGGCAGTGGGGAGATGTTGAAGGCTGCTGGAATGGTTCCATTGCAGTTCTCATCGGTGTAGCTGTAGATGGCAGTGTATCCTTTGTAGACCTCGGTGATCTCATCGAATTGGAGACAGGTGTTGTTCTGGTAGTATCCAGAGCCGGCGTCCGAGCACTGGCCAAATGGCAGGACATCAGTATAGTTCAATCCTACACATGGTGCCTCATTAAAGAAGTTCTCATAGGCGGATGTCTGATTGCATGTGTAACTCTGGTATCCAGTGCAAGCATTCTCAATGAAGCTGATTGTTTGTTCGAATGTTCGTGTGTGTTAGTGAGTGATCAAACAAACATCGGATGTTGGACGTACCCATAGACCTCCATTGTGGAGCTGCCTCCTGAGCAGTCGGTGGAGTTGGCCCATGTGTTGACGTAGAAGAATGGAGAGTCGGAGGAGAAGGCGCCAATGACCATCAAGGAGCACATAACAATAACAATTAATGATGATGTTGTATTCATTTTGTATATATCTATATTTATAACTAAGACTCTATAATGGTAGATAAACTTCGAGTCTTGGGTCTGGTCTTTTGCAGGGTCTTGACTTTCGTTAGTTACACACTCGCATTGTTGTTGTTGTTGTTGTTGTTGCTACCTCCATCACAAGGACGAGGTCGTTTCGTTTGGAACAACGGGGGGTGTTGTTGAGAGATACGATAGTATCTCCCGTGGTGTAGGGATGCATGCGCGATAATCTACGTTCTCGCAAATGTTCAGAAAGTTCAGGATACGATTCTTAAGGGACTGTCCCTTCCCTGAACAAACCTTCACACGCGGAGAACCAGCCACGCTCCCAAACAAGAGCGCGATCATGATTTTTTTTTTTTGTTGTTGGCAACGCGTTGCCTCCAGACGGCGACATCATCATTAACTACCATAGTTTAGTCAACATCATCAACAATGTAATATCTATCTATCCTATCTCTATCTATTTATTTGTGTGTTACTAAATATTTGTTTGGATAATGAATGAAAGTGATCACAAAGACAAAAGATGCGAGCCACACGTCCCATCTTCATTGTTTGCAAAGTGATGTTGATGACGAGGCACTCTGATCAGAGTGAGAAATCAAGTTTGCAATCTGGTGTAATCACTCGATTTTGTAAGGGGGATTAGGATGGCTTCAGCAACATATTAATATCTACGTTTCTTTAAAGTTTCAATGAAGCTGGTATTGACTGGACTACCCGGTCAATCAAGTTTGATAACAACAACAGTTCTAGAGAGGTGCGTGTCTCTTTAAATGATCAAAGTCTGATGTCATTTGCAAAACAACTTCTTCACTCTAAATATTTATATATATATATTATTATTCATCTATTATTAAATTACTGTCATCAAACTTTGCTTGTTGATTGGTAACGCTTTGAGACCCATTTTAAAATCATTAAAATATCAATTTTGCAACAACTCAGGGAGGGCGGCCTGGTATTCAATGACCAATCAACGTCAAATTGTCAGAGAACGTGTTGCTGTTGCTCGTGCACGAACATTGACAATGTATGTATCTGTACCAAATATCTCATTCTCGATACCATGCATGATCACAAGTCCTAAACCGAACGATCGGTCGGTCGGGGCACCCACACACACTCACACACTGACATTCACAAACACAATCACACACACATAACAGGAAGAGTCACGACAACATAAACAAACCAATATCAACAGTTGGTCTTTCGCTACTTAATATATTTGGTGGCCTGATATTTGGATACAACACTGGTGTGATTGCCGGTGTACTCCAGGTGGATGAATGGAAGTCGATGAGTCAGATTGACTTGGGCTTCCTGACATGCAGCATCCTGCTCGGCGCAATGATTGGCTCATTGGCCGCAGGCATCATCACGGAGCGTCTGGGCCGCCGTCGTCCACTCTTCGTGGTGGGCATCCTCACGCTCATTGGCGCCATCGGCTCATCACTCGTGCCCACCAACCTCTGGTACGTCAGTGCCTTCCGTCTGGTGCTCGGTCTGGGCGTTGGCGCATCGGCCATCATATGTCCACTGTACGTCGGAGAGATGGCACCACCCGAGAAGAAGGGACAGCTTGGTACACTATTCCAGATTGCCATCACAGTTGGTATACTCATTGGCGACATCATTGGCTTTGGATTCCTCCACGTTCAATATAACTATCGTTGGATGTTTGGCTTTGGTGCACTACCAGGTATCCTACTCTTTGGACTTCTCTTCTCAATCCCCGAGTCCACAGTATGGAGGGAGAAGAAGTCAGCCATGAAGAATACTCAACTCTTACTAAATGTATGTATCTGGAACCATTCCCATCATTCACTCATTCAATCAATTGATCACTCACCAATCCATCCACTGAGAACAGAAGGACCCAACTAATGATGTTGGAATCGGAGCATTGTTGTCAAGAAAGGATGGTAGATTTGCATTGTTCATGGGCTGCATCTTGGCCATCAACAATCAATTGACAGGTATCAATGCATTCATGTACTTCTCACCAAAGATCTTTGAGAAGGCTGGCATCAGCAGCAACAATGGTCAAATGATTGCCACCGTATGTAGTACACTCGGTCACTCACTCACTCAATCAATCGTATTAACATGTTGGAGCCATTCCAATATAGATATCACTTGTGGCATGGAACGCCATCACTACATTCATCTCAACACTATTTGTCGACAGACTCGGAAGGAGGAAGCTGACTTTGTACAGTTCGATCGTGATGACTGTGAGTTGTCTACTGCTGGCATTGATGTTCTTGCTGTTCAATGGCACCACGCTGGGCGTGTTGTCAATCATCTTGTTGTTTGTGTTCATTGCCGGCTTCGAATCAGGTGTCGGTCCACTCTTTTGGATAATGGCCATCGAGATCTTCCCACCCGAGTGCAAGGATGTTGGCAGCAGTCTGCTCAACGCATTGCAATGGATATTCAACATTGCATTGTCATTCAGTTTCCTCTCACTGGTCACACTCATTGGTCAATCTGCCATCTTCTGGATCTTTGGTGGCATTGGAGTTGTATGTCTTATTGTCATGTACTTCCTTCTTCCAGAGACCAATCACAAGGATTACCAAGAGATCAAGAATACCTAATAACTATTCTGGAATCATTCCAATCACTCAATCACTCAATCATTCAATCAATACAATAATCTTATTATTACATTTATGTTCCATCCTAACGTTACCCCACAACTATAATCAGATTTTTGATCAGACGACAGTTTTGTGAGAAGTGGGGGTTCGTGTGGGGGTGTGAGTGATGATCATTGATTCAGTGCACTCATTCATCTCATCAGTTCTTCTCATTTCGACACATCTTTATTTATATATATCTTTTCTAATCAAATAAACTTAATCAATCAATCAATAATGTTGTCATTAGTTACATGTACAGCACCAGTCAACATTGCCACGATCAAGTACTGGGGCAAGAGAGACGAGAAGTTGATCCTACCTTTGAACGACTCGCTCAGTGGTACACTGCACCAAGATGATCTAAAGACAACTACCACCGCCATGGCCAGCGAATCATTCACCGAGGATGCACTCTGGTTGAATGGAAAGTATGTTGAATGATTGATTATACCTCGCCAGCAGTCTAATCACTCACTCAATCAATCAATCACCATCAGGAAGGAAGACATCAACACTACACGTTATCAGAATGTATTGAAGACTATTAGATCTCGCGCTACTAAGCTCATGGATAAGAAGCATTGCGTGCATATTTGCTCGGTGAATAACTTCCCAACTGCTGCTGGTTTGGCCAGCTCGGCAAGTGGCTACGCATGTTTGGTCTACGTGTTGGCACAGCTTTATGGAGTGGAGGGCGACGTGTCGGCCATCGCCAGAATTGGCAGTGGCAGCGCCTGTCGCTCAGTTTATGGTGGCTTTGTCAAGTGGGTGATGGGCGAGCACGCCGACGGCTCAGATTCGCTGGCCGTGCAGGTGGCCCCCGAGACACACTGGCCCGAGATGAACATCATCGTGCTGGTTGTCAATGACAAGAAGAAGGAGACCAGCTCCACCAATGGCATGCAGCTTTCGGCACAGACCAGCCCCATGATGAAGGAGCGCTGCGCCACCATCGTGCCACAGCGCATGAAGGACATTGAAGCCGCCATCCAGGCCCGCGACTTCCAAACGTTTGGCGATATCACAATGAAGGACTCGGACGACTTCCATGCCGTCTGCGCCACCACTCAGCCACCAATTCACTACCTGAACGAGACATCGCGCTACATCATCGATCTGGTGCACAAGTTCAACACGGCTGCCGGCAGCATCAAGTGCGCCTACACCTTTGACGCCGGCCCCAACGCCTGCATCTACCTGCCCGCCGACAACGTCATCGAGGTGCTTGCACTCTTTGTCAAGCACTTTCCAACGTCGGATCTGGCCGCCTACTACCGCGGCGATGCTGCCAACGTCGAGAAGATCGCCAACTACCAGCCACCCACCAACACCCAGTCGCTCTACAGCACACCGAGCGCCGCCACCCAGGAGCTTGCCGGCTCGTTGAAGTACATTCTTCACACCAAGATTGGTCCAGGACCATGTGTCTTGTCCGAGAGTGAATCTTTGATTGACCCAAGCACTGGCTTACCCAAGGTCGTTGCTGCTGACCCTTCGGCCATCAACAACTAAGTCGCGTCTGCCATCACTGGATGCATGGATCAGGCACATACACATACACACAGGTCCTGGAACCAATGGAGTCAAGCTTATTTCATATAATCTACCATTTCGAATAAGACCATCGTCCAGGACATTCGTCCTGGTCCTCAATCAATGTTATTATTACATGTGTTATGTTGTGTTGTTTGTGGCTTGGCTAGGCTGTGTGTCCTTGTCATGGCATGCCAAGTTAGAGTGTCTTGAACTCTGAAGACAATAGACGCCATCCAGCATTGACATGCTTCTCGATTGTGATGAGTGCGTATCTATCAAACTTGAGTGGACCAGCGTTGATCACTGCAGCCTTGCCATAGTTTGTCATACCTGGAGCAAAGTGAGTGTGACCATGTACATTCAGGAACACCTTTGTCTGTTGATTGATTGATTGAATGAAGGGTTGTTAGTTGTTGCGATGATCTTGAGTTGGACTCACTACGTACATGATCAATGATGAACTGTTCGATGGCCTTGCTTCCAGACATGATTGGTGATTGGTCTGTGTGCAATCTGTCGATGGCGGTGCTTGATGAATGTGGACCAACATGGGTCATGAGCAATATACTGTCAGTGTCCTTGAGAATGGGATCGGCTCCGGATTGCGCCTCTTTGTAGGTGACGTGCAGGTCGACACTGAGTTGCTCGTCTGTCTGGTAGGGGTAACCGACCCAATGCTGCTTTCCATCGCGGTAACCTGGCAGACTGCCTCCAAGACCCATCAACACCAAGTCAGGCGCTAATCTAATACATCTCTTATGTACATTAGTTGAGAATGTAGTTAATTGAGGTCGTTCATTAACTGGGTTCAACAAAGATGTCTTTGAATCGTGCTATTAGAGGTGATGAATGAATGGATGTTGTTGGTTAGTCAGGTGATATTGAATGAATGAATGACTGACCTCAGGCAGGTAATTAGACATACATTGCCTGGGATATAAAAGGTATCCTTGTGAATGTTATCGAGCTCAATGATGGCGGCACTCATCTCTCCTTCGCATGCAGCAGTCTTCTCTGCCTCACCCTCCATTCCATAATCATCTGGGTCAAAGTTGGATATGTCACCGCTACACAAGATATAGTCTAACCTATATTTGATTGATTCATTGTTAGCATTTGATGGGAGGGATGTAGATGTTTGGAGTATGATCATACTTCTCATTGGCATTGATTATATCCTTGCCAAGCTTCTTGATGTTGTCAAGATTCATGTGTAAGTCTGTCACGAGGAGTATCCTCAAAGTAGTGTTTGTACTTGGTGTTGGTGCCATATCTTCTAACTTAATAATATGTTGGTTGTTGTTGTTGTAGTTGTTGACTTATGAATGAATGAACTTGCTTCACACTTGAAGGGTGTTGAGGGACTAGGTCATCTTGCCAGCTGGCCTCATCACATGTGTCATTCAGACTCCCTCTTTGAATTAATTTTCAAGATGTCTTCCAACAACCACTGATTGGAACAATCTGAAGAATTGGTGCACGAACAGACATGAGTCACGACCTCACATCGATGAGATCTTACCTAATCAAGTAATAACCATCTAGGTGATGATGCAATCAATCACATCAACATTGGAGATCATGAATAATGATTGATGCACTGGTACTTATACTATTATATATATATATACTATACTATTTATTCAATTGATCGGCTGGTAATACGTCCACGAACTCACTCGCCTCGGTAAATGACAAAGTTGTTCTCTGTCTCTAGTATTTTGACTTCGTAGAGTAGTTCGTTTAGACGCTTTTGGAGTAGTTGGAAGATGACTACACAGAGGTTCTCGGTGGTGGTGACTACGCCTTCAAACTCCTTGACATCGACCTCTAGATTCTTGTGATCCATACGATCCATGACCTCCTCCTTTATAATCTGTTTCAGTTCACTAATGTTTAAGAACATTCCTGTATCGGCATTCAACTTTCCACGCACTGATACCTCCAATGTATAGTTATGTCCATGTTGATTTATACACTTTCCATATATCTCCTTATTCTGTTCAGGTGTCAATTTATCTGAATATAATCGATGACTGAGTATGATTGAGTGAGTGAGTGATCGATCAAGTGATTGATTGATTGATTGAGTGAGACACATACCTTGCGGAGAACACTTCTCTTCTTGTCAGGATAACAGTTTTGGCAGCGGTAGTATTAGTCATTGTATTGTTGCTTATGCTAGTGTAGGTGATGGATGGATGGCTGGCGGTCTGAATGCTGGTATGTGTATACGTATTAGTTGAACAAGTCAGTGTTTGATGTCGTGTGAATGCCGATGTGGTCCTTGCCACCTTTATTCATTCATGTTGGTTGTTGACTTCCCCATGTTTTCTGCTTTTCAAACAACACACACAAAACACGTATGTCATTACAGATCTTGAACAATGGACACATCATGTTCGCGAACCTTCAAATACTGCTTCCTGCGATCATTCATTCATTTATTATTTATCTTCAGTAATCCCATTCCACAACCATCTCCACCTTATATTTGCATTGTTTACTTCTTTAACTTGGTATTGCCGACGACACTTTAAACTTGACATCCATCCATACCTACTGTACACGAAATCACTTGTTGTCACTTCCATCATTACCCTTATCCTAACTTAAAACAATGGACAATAATAATAATAACAATAACAACAACTCATTGGTCGTTGGAGAAGATGAGGTCGATTCAACTGTGATAGCGGCAATAGAGCAAACAAACATTAATAACAGTGCATCAGATATAGTACGTGCTTCATCACCTTCTTCATCACCAACATTGAGCGCTAAACAACAAGAGGATGCTGCTGCCATAGAACAAGCTGTTGTAAAGTGGAGCATTGTGGCCACGTCCAACAACCCTTCACCTCGTTTCGGTATGCATTAATGATCGAATGAATGATTGAAATAGAATGAATGAATGATCGAATGAGTGACTAACCTTTAAAGTTATTGGACATTAGACAACACAATGTCAATGTATAAGAATCATTTGTATCTGTTTGGTGGACATCAAGGAGAAAACTCGACATCAAGTTTCTCTTACTTCCAAAAGTTGGACTTGAATACATTCGCCTGGCAATCATTGCCATGCACATCGGTCAAGACAAGGATATTGCACACATCAGTGATTCAAGGCGATTCAATGTATATATTCGGTGGCTGCATATATGAGGAGGAATCAAAAGGTTGGATATGGGGCGCGAGCAAGACCAACAAGTTCTTGAGGACATTGGGCGATCTGATCAAGTACGACTTCACCACCAACGAGTGGCACACGCTTCAGACGGGACAGGCACGCGACGGCCACTGTTCAGTCGTGGCTAACAATGAGATGTACGTCATTGGTGGATCGGTCACACAGCACGACGCCAAACGCAACATCTTCTCGACATTCTTCAACTGCGCCAACGTTTACAACTTTGAGACAAACACTTGGCGCGAGATCCCCGCCCCCACCTTTGGCAGACTGGGCACGGCGGTGACGTACCGCGCGTCCGAGCAGTCCAAGGAGTATGTGTACTACTTTGGCGGCTACGATCAGGCCGGCCGTTCGAACAACGACCTGTGGCGCCTGGACACCGAGACGGAGATCTGGCACCTGGTCGGCAGGAAGGAGGGCGCTCCATGGCCCGTCGACCGTCACTCACACACAGCCAACATCTACCAGGACAAGATGTACGTGTATGGTGGCTACAACAAGAGGGGATTCGTACGCGATCTCTATGCATTTGACTTCTCCACCGAGTCCTGGCAGGCAGTGCCCACCGAGGGTCCTCCCAAGAGACGTCGCTGCAACAGTGTGGTGCTGGAGAGTGGTGGACGCAATAGACTATTGTTGTTTGGCGGCACCTATCTCTCATGTTACTACAATGACATCTATGAGTTTGTGTTCCCATCACAGATCAACATACCCAAGGACCGTCTGGCATTTGACTTCTCCATTCTCTTTGACAATGCTCAAGAGTACTTTAGCGATATCACATTCGTCGTGGAAGGTAGGCCCATCCACGCACACAAGAACATCCTAAGCGTCCGTTCCAGTTACTTCAAATCAATGTTAACCTCTGGTCTCAAGGAGTCATTTGGTATGTCAGTCTTTGGAACCATTCCATCACCCAATCAATCACTCACTAACATGTCCCAATTATTATAGAGAAAGAGATTGTGATCAAGAATGAAACATTCAGCGACTTTAATACGATGATTAGATATGTTTACACTGGCGATGAGTCATTGGTCACTGTGGAGAACTGTATTGCACTGCTTCATCTTGCTGATTGTTATATGTTTGATAGACTCAAGACCATTTGTGAGGCCAAGGCCACAGAGGCCATCGATGTGGACTCTGTCGTATCATTATATCGCCAGGCTGATTTCTACAAACTGACCAAGCTTCGTCAACTATGTATCACATTCATTGCCAAGAATCACAAGGATGTACTAGCCACTGGCACTCTCAACAACATGGATTCATCATTCCTACTTGAGGTGATGTACTGTTTAGACCCATCTTTAAATCAAAGTGGTAGCACATCATCAACAAGCAACACATTGCCATCATCCAGATGAAGAAAGACACTTCCTTGTAATAATAAATAAATAAACTCCTCCAAACCAAGACCCAATGGGACCTGTCCTGACATGACCCTGGGCTTGGTCAAGCCTTGACTAACTCCGAGTAGAATGCGGTTGATGTCCTACAAGGGTTACATGTCATATGATAATGGAACTGTCTCGGACCATTCCATTGATACTCAGATCACTTTTTCAGAATAGATGGAATACAGTCAGGACCACACACTTGTCAAGTGTCGGTTGGGCTAATGGCAGTGTGGGGGTAGGGTTAGGTCCGCACAACAAACGAATCCGGCGAATGCAAGTTGCGCTGAACAACATGAACCAGGTGTTTTGTCAAAAGTGCGTTTGTTTTGTTTTGTTTTGCTTTGGTTTTGATGTGTGATGAAGGGGAATGTGAGTGGACATCCATTCCTTCAACTTCTCCATTTGCATTGAGACTTTGACTTGACAGCGAGACGTACGCACCTCTTTGACTTATATAAACAGATACATAAATACATTCAATAATAGGATTAATAGTGATAATAGAGAATGATTGATTAGACATTAGAAATAGAACATAGATCTCATTCATTTACTCATTCAATCACTCTCAATCAATCACAGACAATCACTCAAACAGACACAAATTGACAGACATGTGGTTGGAGATGTCTAACAGTCTGTTGAGTGACAACTACAACTTCAACTTCAACTACAATTACAACAATTATAATAATTACAACTATAGTGGCAAGGTTAATGATGGCAATACAGCCAACGGCACAACATGTTTGGAGGGTGGACATTGCTCATTCTGTCAATCAATACTTATGAAGAGTATTAGTATTCGCGATTATGAGACATCGATCAACTTCAACTTGGTATTCGACATCATGCTACTTGGCTACATCTTCTCGGCGATCTATCTCATCTTTCGTGTGCAGAAGTCCTACACCTACATGCAGTCCACCAGCATCAAGTTCATCAGCGGCACCAACAACAACGAAGACAAAGGTGCCAATGGTGCCAGCGGGAGTGGACATAACAGCCCCAACATAAATGGCGAGGACGGCGTGCCACTGGTACCCCTTCGCATGTCGGGCTACACATCGATCAACATCCAGGAGGAGAACTCAATGCTCTTTGACAAGAACGCAAGCATAACGATCAATCAACCCAAGATCATCGTGTCCACATACTTCAAGCATCTCCTGTTTGTCATCATCTGGCTGTCGGTTCAGTCGCTGGTCATGCTGTTCCTGCCGCCATGGCCCGGCGTGCTCTATCCCACGCTGATCGTGATCATTCGCGGCGGCCAGATCATCTCGGACAACTGGATCCTCGTGTTCATGACGGGCAAGGGCGATGACAAGCAGTCGGCACGATTCTCAATCTTCTTCTGTCTGATACTCTATCTGATCATCACATCGATGATGCTGGCATCGATCTATGACGACGACCAGCAATGTGGCTCGCCAACCGAGTGCCAGCTATTCAACATGTTCGAATTCACACGTCTTGGCATCCACTTTGTCTATGCCGTTGTCTATGGCGCCGTGCTCTTCATCTCATCACGTGGTACATTCATCCGACCAACCGCACGCATCTGGCTCACATTCCTATTCATTGTCAACTTCTTCTCTGCATTCTCCTACCTCCTCAGTGTATTTGGCGTTGACTTTGGCGAATGGTAAGCATGCATAATCACTCCCCTCCACTTGATCACATACTCACACTGATACCAATCACTAGCTTACTCAGCCTTGTAACGATCATCAGTGCCTTCCTCTATGGATTCCTCTTGTTCAGGACTTGTGGAAATGACTCCAACTTGTTGCGCGCAAGGAGTGAGTTTGAACCATTGCTAAACAACTTCCGTATGTATCCCATCACATTGTATTCAATCAATCACACTAACATCAATCAATCATACACAGAGGAGTACCAGAACTTGTTTGGAATGGACAATATATCATCAATTGATGGTGCCAATGCATTACAGTTGGCAGCGTTCAATATTAGATTCTCAGAGTTTAAGATGTGCGAAGTGATTGGCGGTGGATACTTTGGCGAGGTCAGAAAGGCCATTTGGAAGGGCGCAGTAGTGGCCATCAAAGCCCTGCACAGGAACTCATACCGACACACAGAAGACCAGGACGACAATGTCTTCTTCAAGGAGGTGGCCATACTCAGCATCCTGCGCCACCCCAACGTCTTGCAGTTCCTTGGCGTGTGTGCCGAGCAAGAGAAGAACTGCATCGTCACAGAGTACATGGGCGGTGGCAGTCTGGAGCGCCTGCTGCAGGACCGCTACCATCTGTTCACCAACCACCCCGAGCTGGCGTGGAGAATTGCGCTCGACATTGCCAAGGGCATGTTCTACCTGCATGACTGGAAGCCCAACCCCATCCTGCATCGCGATCTCTCGACAAAGAACATCCTGCTGGACGAGGGTATCTCACTGGCCAAGGTGGCCGACTTTGGCCTTTCGCGCGAGCAAGGCTTTGAAATGACTGCCTCCGTCGGATACCTCCCATTCCAAGCACCCGAGGTATTTGTGGGCGAGATGTACACATCCAAGGCCGACGTATACTCGTTCGGCATCCTGCTGTGGTGCATACTGACGGGTCAGCAACCCAATGGCGATCTGCCACCCCTCAAGATGGCGCACATGGCCTCGTACGAGCAGTACCGTCCGCCTCTGCCGTCAGACTCGGCCGTCCCGATGTGGGCGCCACTGATCAGTCTGATGCAGATGTGCTGGAAGGCCACGGCGGAGGAGCGACCCACCTTTGCATTCATACTCGACTATCTGGAGGTCAACATGCCGTCCGAGGCGCTGACCTTCTTCCAGCGCACAACATTCACCAACAGCAGCAGCGCCAATCACTCCACCAACAACTCAAACAACAACTCATTCAGTTCGTTCGGCACGATGATGAATGCTTCGGTCACAGTCAGTCTGCTGCCCAACAATTACCATCATGGTGGCGCAATGCACAACAATCACACATCATCGCCACCCGCCATTCGAGAGGAGGATGAAGAGGACGACGATATATTTAATCAGAATGATTATCATTATATAGGAGACTAGGACAGACAGACATGTCTGTGTGTGGATCGACCAACAAACAATTCATATTTATCAACAACATCAACATCAAGCTGGATATGTACAAGGACATCCATTAGTTAATGTCTAATGGAGGGGCAGACATATCATCACATCAATCAATGGCACGCCATCATTCAATCATTCATTCATTCATGGACTTGGCTCACATCAAGTGCACTGGCAACCATCCACATGTGGAAGCCAATCAATCATGTATATTCTATTAGGACAAAGAGGCTAACTTATGTGCAACCCTTGGCACAACAAATAAACTGGATGGATGTGATCCATCCCTGATGGCCCACCTGGGCATCAACAACATCACTCTTGATTGATTGATTGATTGATTGATTGAGTGGTTTATTGAGGTGTGTACAGGTGTATCCAATAACCTTATCTTATTAAGGTCACTTGGGTACTTGGCCCACGTGGGCCATGGGCTGCCGCCGAAAGCCAATTAGTCTGAATCCTGGTTACTAATCTTGAACTCGTCCATTTCCTCCCATCCATTGGCCTTGGCATAGCGGAGAAATGCCCATTTGGGCTCCATCCATTGAATCTTCATATCACATAGGTCGTGATATCCATCTGTGCCCTCCATCATTTCGAACCAGCCTTCATAGTCATAGTCCTCCAGTCTATGTGCATATCCTCCCTTTCCATTGCCACCCTTGGCAGCACCGCCCTTGGCACCACCTATTGATACAATTGTCTTCTTTGGCACAGGCTTAGCATTTGGCTTTGGCCTTGGCCTCTCCTCATCCTTGGCACCAGCACCTATTGATACAGTTGGTTTCTTGGTGACAGGCTTTGGAACAGGCTTGGGCTTTGGCTTTGGCTTCTCCTCTTCCTCCTCGGACTCTGTCACATAATCCTCATCATCATCCTCTTCTTCGGACTCTTCCACGGACTCCTCCTCTTCCATTTCTCTTGAAAAATCTTCATAGTCTGAAGAGTCGTCGTCATCGTCCTCTTCCTCGGACACTACATTGGCAACTTCCACATCCTTGACAGGAGGAGCAACAACTTTTGGTGTCTTCTTTGGTTCCAAAGATTTGTTGTTGGAAGTTGTTTCATTGAGTGAAAAGTCCCTTTTAAGGTCAACAGTAAGGATTGATGTTGGATCATTTTGTTGTTCAATTATACCTAATAGATTGTTTTTGATTGATTGATTGATTGATTGATTGATTGATTGATTGATCGAGTGAGTGAGTGAGTGAGTGAGTGGAGAAGAGTGGAGTGAGTTGAATGATACATACGATCAGCAATCTCCACCTTCTTGCCACTGGCCTTTAGTCCTCTCTTTCTGGCAATGGCAGCAACATCAACGTAGAGCATGGCAATAAGATCATCCTTATCGTACATTTCAACAACTTCATCTGGTTGTAAAAGTTGTTCTTTCTTTCTTGCGACCATTTTGATTACGTTATATGTTTTGTTATTGAAATATATATATATATTTGAATGAAGTAGATTGAATAGTGAACATTTAAACATTTATATTGTCCATCTGTTTCCCACATTTCAACGAACAATCCGTTTGCAAAGGCGCTTCACAAAATTCMAAATTCAAAAACAGAACCAAAGGCATTCACCCCTTTGTCTGACTGTTTGGTGATGGGGGTAAATAAGTCTGGTTATTATTGTTTTAGTTGATGCAGATGATGTATACAGTTAGTGTTACTTTCGTCACTGTCGTATGTTTGATTTGGGTTAGCGACATCATAAATATAGTACATGTCTTGACATTAATAATCTTTATGACTACACTACTGTTTATTATTATTATTGATGGATGAGTACTGAAACTTTGGTTTTTTGCAAGGGGGCACTTGGGACTTTCAGTGATTCTCCGCCACCTCTTCAGAAGACCAACCAGGCCGTCAAAACAAACAAAATACGAATCGTTAAACATTAATTACATTACATAAAGTTTCCACACCTGATGGCGCTTTGGCATCATTTTTTAATTCTTTTCTGGTCTAACAACAATAGATTGCTTTTGTTTACCGACGTGCTCCAGGGAAAAGAATCCAAAATGGAAAGGATATATAGACAAAATTATCGCGTTATGTTGATCGATCATTCTAAAAATGACTTGACATGGAAGGTTACTGTTCATAAGGTTAGGGTTGGCAATAATAAACTTGAGAGTTGATGCTGACTTCAACGCAGGTATGAGATTGATGGGCGGATTGAGCATAAAGTGGGATGGATGAAGATACACTTGAGGTATTTCTGAGTGAAAAATAATCTCGTTGATCCTCCTTTGTGGTGGTTGAGTTGGCAAATATATAGGATTGTGCATAACTAATGTGTAAAGATTTGGGCATCTATCAATAAAATCTATTTGGTCGCCATAGTCAGGGCCAAGAGTCAATGCTCGGACGGAGTAGATAGATTCAGGAAGCAGGGGCATGTCGTACCCTAATAGACAGAGATCGGTCAATGAAGGATGGAATGTTTTTCTGGTAATTGGGCGCATGTATCCTCTACCAAGTGATAGTGTTGAAACAGAGTGTGGGATGCATCCTTGATTGATAGTCTTGTTGAACTTATTGCCAAAAACCAATGTGATGACAGTGGAAGGTATTGAACCAGGATAAATTTTTTGACAAAATTCATCTCCGAATACCAATGTTGTGATGAACAGTGGTAAGAACTCTTGTTGAAAAGAAATGTTGAATTTGCCCGTAAGTCGCAAATGTTGTACAGATGAGGAAATGTTGCTGGTAAGTTGAGATGATCCCTTTGAGGAATAAAATGAGCAAGAATGAGCATTATAACAAATATAGATATATATATATGTATAACTGTATAATGTATAGAATGCCCGCTTTATTAGTGTATTATGAATGATGTATATATACTGATTAGATGGAACATGGAATAGTGTTCTGTAGATTCCAGGATGATGACTCAGCAATGATAGAATGTATGAGTCATGGTGACACATCGTGAATCGTATGTGACAAGTCGTCACACTCACCTCTTCTTCTTAGAGGTAGACTTGCTTGACTTGGACTTAGTCTTGGACTTGGACTTGGAAGGTTCGTCTGTTGATTGATTGATGATGTTCTTGAGATTGTAGGCTTGAAGGATGTCTACACAATGAGTGAGATTATCTGATGTTTCCCATGTTGCATTGGCTTCATCGTATCCAAACCACTTGACCAAATACTCGACACTCTTGTTCCTCTTGGTGCGGTGGTTGATGATCCTTTCCACCTCGTGTTCGAGCTCTCCATCTATGATCTCGCCGTTTGGCTCAGAGTTTGGTCTCTCCTCCTTCTTGAAAAGGTCATCAGCGTTCTCAATGTATAGTTTGATGTCACTGACATTGAATGTTCTGATACGCTTGGCTGACTCTGGTAGGTCGACTTCGACCAATGACTTGTTGATGATGCGCGCAACCTTGAATGGACCATAGTAGTTTGCTAGCAGCTTGCTCGATGTCTCCAACTGTCTCTCATAGCTTGATGGGAATGACTTGCGCGTGACCAACACTCGTTCTCCAACTTTATACTCATGTGCTGTTCTGCCTTTCTCGACGTACTTGATCTGTTTGTTCTGAGCGTCGATGATGTTCTCCTTGATTGACAAATGATAGGTGTTCAACCATTGATGACGTTCTTCTGCTGACATGCCATCGCTCTTGATGCCAAAGTTGAGTGGTGTTCTTGGATCAAAGCCATACAATGCTTTGAATGGTGTCATTGCCGTTGATGACGATACTGTGGTGTTCATTGCAAACTCCAGTGCTGAAAGATGTTCGTCCCATCTCTCGATGTCCTCGAGTGTCTTCTTGATTCTGTTCTTGAGTGAACGATTGGTGATCTCGGACTGACCGTCTGTGGCTGCATGTCCGCTTGTTGACATGTTGAGATGTGTACCCAATTGTTTGAATATCGATTGATAGATCTCTGCTGTGAACTTGCTATCTCGATCTGAGATCATCTTGACAGGAATGCCAAACTGTGACACAACCTTGTTGAAAATGATCAATGCTGTCTCTTCATTGTTGATAGTGATGTGACAGGCTGTCAGCTTGCATGTYTTGGAGAAGGTGTCCACGATGACCAAAACATTGTCAAAACCATTCTTTGACTTTGGGAGTTTAAGAAAGTCCAGGGAAATGATGTCAAATGGTTTGTCAGCTGGTGAGTTGGGATACAATGTCGATTGTTTCTTGATGAGCTGATTGCGCTGACATGAGTGGCAGGAACGACAGTAATGTTCAATGACTTGTAACATTGATCTGAAGATGTAGTACGGTCTGAGTCTGAGATAAGTCTTCCTTGTGTTGAAATGRCCGGCGTACAGGCTGTCGTGTGCCTCTGAGATGAGCTGTTGAATGATATGCTTGTCTGTGATGATGAGTCGTCGGTTCTCGCCTTCGACCAAATAAGATAGTCCATTGATATCAATCACGGTGGTGTCTCGTCTATCCTTAAGTTGTTGAATGAACTCGTTGTTGATGCTTGATGTTCTGATTTGATCTGTGTACTTTGATGGTAATGGTGACTCGTAATCCTCTCTTCGAGACAGGGCATCCGCAGCGCCGTTGGAATTTCCATCCACATGATCAATCTTGTACTTGAATCGATTGAGGTACTCCAACCATCTGAACTCCTTGGGTGACAGTTGTTGCTTGTCCTTTAAGTACGTGATATTGAGATGATCAGTCTTGATCAATAACTCTGAATCGATGAGCATGCTCTCATACTTCTTAAGTGTCTCGATGATTGCCATTGTCTCTCTGATTGTTGTTGTAAACATCCGTTCACTCTCGTTGAGCTTGCGTGAGAATGCTGCGACCAATTGAAGTGACCCATTGTCATCACGTTGATTGACAGTTGAACCCAGCGCAATGGATGACGCGTCTGTGTACAGTTCCAAACACTTGTTTCGATTAGGAATAACCAATTGACTCTTGTCACTGATTGAATCTTTGATAGTATTGACCAAGTATGTCTGTTGCTCAGTCAGCTTGATGTTGCCCTTGACCTTTGCCACCTCGTACAGTTCACTTGTCAACTCTGCCAGCTTGGGGATGAAACTGGAATAGAAGTTGACCAAACCAAGGAACGATTGCATTGCTTTGCCAGTGGTGGGTATTGGGAAGGTCTTGATGGCCTCTACCTTGGAGGGCTGCGTGATGATCTTGCCGTCATGTACTTGGTATCCAAGCACTTCGATCTTGTTCTCAAACAAATGTGTCTTGGACTTCTTCAAGTAGATGCTGTTGTGACGACACTTCAGTAAGAATCGTCTTACATTGATGGCATGGTTCTCTAGTGTATCTGATGCCACATACATGTTGTCAAAGTAGTTGAACTGTGAGTTGTCATTGTCTTCTTGTAAGATGGCTGCGATCGCTTGATTGAATACGCTAGGAGACGAGGAGAGACCTTGCGGTAGTACAACCCAGGACCACATACGACGACCATCGCTGAAGTTGAGGTACTTTGAACTCTCTGGTGAGACACGACATTGCCAATAACCATCAATCATATCTGCATCTGTGAACCACTTGTTGGATTGAAATCGATTGATGATGTCGTCTGTTCTTGGTATATTGTCTGTTGCTGTGACAATGTTGTTGTTTACTGGTCTGAAGTCAATGATCAGTCTTGGTCGTCCATCTTTCTTCCAAATGACATTGGCTGTGCATCCATGTGCTGCTGTCGATGGAATGATGGCACCTCTCTCATACAGTCGCTTGGTTATCTGATCCATTGCCTCTTGCTGTTTGGGTGACTTGCGATAAGGGTAACCACGCATGATCTTGTTCTCATCAATGAGTTTCAACTTAAGGTCAGTTGATCTGGCTGGTGGCAATCCAGTGGTGATCTCATCCACAATGACGTCACTGAACTCTTCCATAAACTGACTCTCCAATTCCCTTGCTCGCATCCATTCTCTTGCTGCTGTCTCAGCTGCCTTATTGTTGCCAATGATCACCTTATATATCGCTCTGATAGGTGTGACAACGAACAACATTGTGAACTTGTGATTGTTGATATCTATCTCTAAGTTGACTGACTGATTACTTGTTGTTGAAGTGTTCTCAAACACTGGTGACTGTATATTGAATGTCTCTTTGTTGCTGATATCGATCTTCATGTCTGCAATAATTGATGGATCAATGAGACAGTAGTTGGCCCCTGTATCGACGATTGCTGAGGCAACTCTCTTATCTATCTTGATTTGAATAACATCGAG